ATATTTCATCTACCACCTCGATTTTCGAGGTATTTCGTAAGATATTTTGAAATTATTGCTGAAGCAATTTCGAAATTCAAATACCCCCATGCATAACGAACTCAAAGCTTCTATGCTCGTTCTATTTGGGGTATATAATAAATTTCGCAACGTGAAATATAGCTATATTATCTGCTTGTGATAGAAGTGCAGGTAAATCGCCAGCATCACCCGGATCTTTAAACAGATTTTCTTCTGCAGGAAGTAGAACATTAGCATCGGCGCTCCGAAATGAGCAACAACCCACGGAGCCATTTAAACCCCACTACATAAAAACATCTATTAGCGAAAACAAATCGTAATAAAAATTTACCACATGTTTAACGATTAAATCAAGAAGATGTTCAATAAACTGCCGCGTTGAAAGAAGAGATTGTTTATTAAGTTGTTCATACCGTAATTCATAATTTGAATGCATCGGATGCATTAAAGAACAAAGCATTTCTACCGTTGCATGATCAATCATCTCATTTGCTAATTTCAACATAATTATAACAAGATTTCCTAGCTTTTCACGAATACTGAAATGCAAATAATTATCTAACAGAAGATCTTCGAAAAAATAATCGAAAAACATCACTGCAGCAAAACCTTATGGTGGAGCTAAACTGCATACCCAGCAACAGCAGTAAATGCTTGAAAACCACTCTTGGAAGCAAATAATCGTCGTAAACAATACAACTGCGCTTCACACTTTGATACTGAACTAATTTCGTCAACTGGATACAACTCTCCTAGAACAGCTTCCAAACAGCCAATAATCAATTTACCCTTATTTTCACTAAAAAATCCCTGAAACAAACAAGTTATATTTCCAGCAATATAGGTGATGAAAAATCTATAGAAGTAAAAGAATAGTAAACTTACTTCTTGCGACACTGAATATGTTAGACCACTGTAAGGGATATTAAAATTAAAGCGACGAATAAGATCACAACGTTTAAGACCCGCTGAAAATACAAATAAATTATCATTGTTGCTCAATTAACTTAACAGCATTGGCGAGAACTGTGCAGACAATTACTACTTAAAGTATGATAGAATCAGAGACTCTATCAATATTAACAAAACGTTATCGTTAAAATGGGAATTTCCAGTTTTTAAGCAAATTAACTTACGTGGTGGTGATATAATATGTCTCATACAAAGAGATTCACTATCCTCATCCAACAAAAAGCCATGAGGCAATAAACGAAATGAATACTGATAGGAGGAACCCAACACATGTACATTAAGATTACCCGATGCTCTGGAACCATCCATAAGAGAAGCTAATATCAAATCACTGAAATTAATTATGATTAATACAGTTCTAATAGATTTCCACTAAGACTTCTTGAAATACTAACAATATAAAAAGAAATGGCTTAATAAAAATATTAAAAAAAGAAATAAAAGGAATTACCGTTCAGCAGAAGAATAAACTTTTGATTCATTATCTTCATAGACAATGGTGAATTTTTGTGGGTCATTTTCATCCCTTGTCATACAAATTATCTGCCAAATTTAAATTTATTTTATAAAGATATTTTTATTAATAAATCAATAAAAACCAAAATATAAAATATATATATGCAAATATATATAAATATATATTTGTTTTAAAAAATATTAATTTTTTTGGTTCCAGAAAATCCATAAAATAAAATAAATATGAATATGAACATAAAAGTTTTCCAACATAAAAGTAAACCGATTTTAGGAGATGAGCGCATATAGGGCAATAAGTTGCCGGATCTCTTTCGATAATGCAACTCTCACTAAGACAAAGGAGCCTTCGTACTGGCTTTTCATGTCTTGAAGAAAATTTTTGAACTTTGAATTCAACATACGATGTTAACTGCTCATCTCGACTGAAATTTTATCCCAATTATTTCTTCTATGTAATGAGAGAACTTTAGAAAATTATATTTCGATATTACATAAATGATCATAAGAAAAAGAAATCGAAAAATACCTGCAAATTCCTAATCGAGTTTGCATAAAATCGTTAGTTGAAAGACTTTCATTTGTCACTGATAATGCTATCCCAATATATTCACCCGCAATTTTCCTCATATATTCAATTAACTCGTCATATTTTTCCGACGCGAATAAATGCTAAAATAAATAAAATAAAATAAGATAAATAAAATGCATAATTTTCTCTTAGTACTATTATCAATGAATTAACTATAATATTCGCAATAAAATTCGTAATCCACTAAAAATAATAAATAAAAATAATGAAAGATTTAAAAAATTAACTAATTATTTAACAAAAAAATGAGATTTATAAGAAATTTAATATACAAACCCTGCGTCTTTGTTCGCCATATTCAATAATAAATCCCCCAGGATATGAAGACGATATCTGAAAATAAATTCTAGTTAATTGTATTATTATTTCGTTAGCCAAATTGTTAATAAAAGTAAATAAAATTCATCTATTAATTAAGTATATAAATTGAAAAAAACACAAAACTAATTACAACAAAGCTAATAAAGCTAAGAAATGCTAGCAGATATAATTCCAGTGATAAAAATTGAAAAGTTTGAGAAATTACGATAACCTCTTTTTAGTTAATACCGCATCTTTTTCCAAATTATTGGTAAGATACCTTAATTATTTGCAGTATTGATTTATACTTGTAAGAAGCAAGCACATGCTGCTGATTATCAACCTGTTCGAGAGCATAAGAATTGGCTTGTAATATTATAGGAATACGCCGATCAGACCAGTCGTGTTTGTATCCAGGATATTTCTGAATAAAAGAACTTTTAATCTGGAATGGATTAGAAATTACAATGGAACAGTATCACCAACAGATTACATATACTGAGTATGAAATTCCACCTATATGAGACGGTTTCAGACACTTCTTTAATTTATTCCATTTTTAGATTTTCCAAATGCTTCTAACTTTGCATACAATCTACGAAAAATTTAAGAAAAACTGTGTACCACAGGCTGCGTGCCAAATCGAAAAATAGATTGTCGTTCAAGAACAGTAGTTATGATATCAGCAACATTTTCGGACGAGAATCTCATGTTATCAACCCTTTTCTTCATCCGAACTTGTATTGTAAACTCATCTTGACTTTGTGCAGAGCGAGGAATTGGTTTGATTGATATGAAATCTTCGTATAACCACTAAAATATATATCTATTTATAAGAATATAAATATAAGAAATCTATAATTTTATATATTGAAAGTTCAAAAAATATTAATAAAACTCACTCGATACAAGAAAATATTTGTTAATATCAAAACAAACTTGATTAGTTATTTCCAACGTTGATGGATTGTACGTCGAAATGGCAGTTGTGCCAATCGAAAATATCCTTTTAAATCTGGAAAATGAATAAATCATGGAATTTTTCGATGTCAAATGCTGAATTTAAACATAAGAAAAAAATTATGCATCAACTTTCAATATTATAATACATATTTTCCTTCAAAATATCAAAATAATGGCAAATCTTAATTTTAATTCTAATATGCTGGATGAAAGAAAAACATCCGAACTTCAGATTATCAAATTCTAATAATCAAATCCTAATTCACCGTAGTGAGAAGGGTTTCTGGCTGAGTGATAAAGAGTGAATAATTTAATGGTTCTTATTTTAAAAAAGTATCGCTGTAAGTAATTCTGAACGAAAAAAATAACTTACTTTCCTTTCCAAGAATGTTTCGTAACGAGAAAACAAAATAAATCGCGATTCTCAGCTAATGTCATCATATATTACAAAAATAAAAACAGCTATATATAAAAATACAAAATTCTTGTTTTCATATAAATTCCGGAAAGTTACAAGAATAACTGAAAAATAATATGTACAACTCTTTCAAAATAAATGCAATAAAGCAAAAAAAAGGATTTAATATGGAGATTGAATGGATCAATGAGTTGTTGTTTTCATTTCGAAGCGCCAACTCTGTGCTTATATTCCCGACAGAAGTAGACCTGTCCTTCAGAAATCTGGATGGCACTCTTCTTCTTCACCTTCTAACAATTTTTATCAATAAATCTTTAATTTTACAGGACTCAAAAATTTATTTATTGACTCCATTATTCTCTAATAGTGCTCATAGTTTCCGGTTAGGCTCGCTTTGCTGCCCTGTTAGACCAGACAAGTATTGCTGAGGGGGCAGAATGGCGACAGAACTGCCAGAATTTTGAAAAAAACCCACGCCGAGAGTGGAACTCCAGCAAATCTATTTTATTTAAATTCTATTAATTGTTTTATCAATAAATTGTGTTAAACTATGTTAAAAATTCTTAAGAAATTCATTAGTTCATGAAAAGCGATTGTAAAAATGAAATAATTCAAGAATTTCTTCATTAACAAAAGCTTCAAATAAAATTTTACAGAAATGAAACGATAGCAACCAAGACATGTACGGCTTATTTCAATAATTCCTCTTCTCCTTCAACCCCCCCCCCCCCTTCCCTAACCCTCCCCACGTTCCCCAATCAACTCTCACACTCCGTCTTAATCCGCTTCAGCCACAATCTCTCTCACGACCTATAAACAGCAAAAATTCTACTGCGTAAAAATAAGTGCGGCCGCGGCACTTGGTGCGATTTGGACGATAGCATATGACGGCGCCGTTTGGAAGCGTTTTACCATTGTAGCCGTTGGAGCAGCCCAACCAGCAATGGTGAGAGCCGTTAAGAGAGGAGCAATTCTTCGGAACTAATTAATCGTTAATCAGTTAATTAATTGCGAAAACAATTGGCGGGTTTTTTCGAGTGTCCAGCGATGATTTCCCGAAAATGCATCGAACTAAATTTAGCGAAATCTGTCTTTGTGCGTACATTTGCGCTTATGAACCTATAAAATAGCTAAAAATTTTTTAAAAAGTTGATGTTATAGGGTGAAATCTGCGCAAATCTGCGTAATGCGTTTCGAGCAACCGCTTTATATAATTTCCTCGAAATTTTTATTATTTAGAATTATATTTTTTAATTATATTAACAACTACATAACATGGCTTAACGTGAAGTTTGTCTTGCAGTTTGTGTCTTTTCTATAAAGAGATACGAAGTCGCCAATGGAATCGTTCGTTACTGGACTTATACCTCATTTACTGGGAATCATCCGTATGACGAAATCTTAAGCTGTGAATATTTTCAATTGTCTTGACACGAATTTCTGATCTCAGTATATTAGCTGTTGTGAAAACTATGTTTTTACGTCGGTGAGCGGTGGTTCTCTTTGCATATCGCTGCATATTTCTCGCTGTGAAAGCGTTTATTTGGTGCTGTGACCAAGGTTTCGCTGAGTTTTCTCTAAGGACCTCAGCTGAGCAAATTTTATATCAACTGCGAAGTGATCTATTTACTTACTTCATGTAAAATTTTTTGAGTAGCAGTGGGAATATTTCAGTTTCGATTGTAAATTTCTTAATAAATGGAAAAGCGGTTGAAATATCGCCAACATCTAAGTCGAATAATTTTATTACTAATAAATTCCAACTGAATTTGATTAAAATTTTTACTTTCTTTGAATAAAAATTTAAATAATAAGCTGTTTTATCTGTTTGAAATTCTTCTTCTTCTTCTTCTAACAGCTCTCACCATTGCTGATTAGGCTGGCTCCGCTGGCTACAAGAGTAAACTCTTGTAACTCTCCAAGCTGCCCGGTCCGACGCCATCGCTAGTAATAATAGAAGTTATTCCTTATTCCATCGTCTAAGCCCATATATTGCTGGTCCACTTATACGTTCAAAATCTTTCCTGACCGTATCAGTCCAGGTCCTGATTGGTCCATCTCGCTTTTGACACGGCTTAGCAAATCACACGATTTAGCAAATAACGTCGACTCCTGTGGTGGACGACGGAGAATGTGCCCTAACCAGCGAAGGCGGCGCTCTGTGATAACATTATTTATGCAAGTGGAAATTATTTTTTTAATCCTTTCAGTCTTATAAATTTCTTCTCGGAAAATATTTCGGTTTCGATTTTTCTTGCTGCCGATTTCGAAATTTCAAAATTCTGAAGTGGAAAATTTTAATAAACATTGATATTTAATATTGAAATATTGTGGGAATGCACTGGTTTTTATCATCTAGTAGGGCCGTCAGGAATAAAGTTTGGCAGAGACTGATTTGAACTTATAAATAATTAGAAAATGCATTTTTATAATATAATAATTTTGAATAGAGTTTTCTCCAATATTATTCCACCCTAAAGGATTACTAATAATATTCCTTTCACATTAAAATTATATTAAAATCTTCAGATACGTCCAATCATACCATTCTGCAAATTTGCATCTCCGCTAATACTCCTTAAAGTTGTCCTGAGTTCTTCTAACGTACAACTATAAAATTGCCCGGGCCATAATCTATTAGTTAGCTTCTTTATGTGACATTAAACTATTTTAGTCTAATATAATATTTTGGTTATTATGATCTAGAGAACATTTCGTACCGCACCACATTTCCAATATTTCTTTTATTCTCTTCAAAAACTTCACCAAACCTCCATAAAACTTGATACATATCCTCAAATTTCTTAATTCTATGTTTAATCCCAGTAGCATCCTGGTTTGTTACCAAAATCTCATTTATCCTGTTTCTTAAATACTCTAAATGCCTTTTGGTGCAAATCTTTGTTGCGTATATTATCCATCTCTCTTAGTATCCAGTACTCTCTTAAAACCCCCAAAATTCCACCATGTTATTTTGCTATTACTATAATCTATTAATGGCATTTATTAATAGTTTCACCTATTGTTTTCACCTTTTTAAAGTTTAATACCACCTATTTTGCATTTTATTCAATTTTCCATCAAACTTCGCTGTGCACTTTCCCAAATCCGCATTTGCTAGTTATTTATATTTATATATAAAATCATAAAATCATTGAAAGGACTAAATAATAATTAATGGGCTAACGAAGTAGTGAAGGAGAAAGTATTAGATTTTAGGGATTTGACAGGTGTAGAAACACTGCATTCAGATTAAAAAAGAAGCTTAAAAAAGAAGCTTCTTCTAAGATTTATTATTAAAATAAATCTTTAAATTTATACCACCTATTTAATAAATTAATTCGACCTTTCCCCATTTTGCTTTTCAATTTTCCACCCGATGCATTTTCGCGAAAGCCACATTTGCAAGTTGTAAATTCATAAAATCATACTGAAAGGACCAAATGAAGACCAAAGGACTAGGTAGTGAAGGAAAAGGTATTAGGGAAGGATTTCAGGCATTTAGCAAGAATAGTGAATGCATCCAGACTTGAAAGAGTGTTAAGGGAATGCAACATATTCTTAGTGAATGTCAAGAAATCTGCGAAAGTGCGTAGAAGAATACTCGTCCATTATACCGGATTTCATCGCAAATAATTTCTACATCTACTTTTTCTGCTTTTAAAAGCATTTACTATTCTTGCCTCGGTTTCTCTGCTAACTGTTGGAACCGGAATCTTTCTCTATAGAATCAGTCGACGAGAACTACAGTTCAGACTTCAACATTGCATCAAAAAATGCTGGAAAATCTCTAAAATAGAATAAAAATTTGCCTTTGGTAAAACATGATTTTGTTGAAATAATATGGTCTGGAAACATAATGAGAATCTGATAAAAAATCTGAATTATTCATAAAAATCACCAGGATTTATATAATAACCAGGTTAGTAACTAAATTTTCAGGAATAATAAAGGGTATAATGGTTTAATGAGTGTAATCAGTACCGCTTCGCGTCCTAAGAGGAAATAAATTATTTCTGTTAATCAAAAACTTATTTGTCAATGCATTCTCCGCTTTTCTTTCGCATTTCGCTGATTTTCGCTATTTTTCGCTGTTTTTCGCGCTTTTTCGCTTTTCTATTAATGAGTTATAGTATTACTTTATTTGATGCAGTGATTTGTTAAGGAATAGAGCTCAAAAAGAAATCGCAGTAAAAAAAAGTTTCAACCTCTAACCTCTAAGTTTATATAGTCTCCTAATGGTGAAACTGAGGATATAGAAGTAGATTCCTGGATAACATGTGAAGAACTAGCGACAACATATTTGCAAAATAAGTTAGTTTTAATTTAGATCTGTTTTTCCATCTGTGAACTCTTCGTATACATGGTTTACCAATCTCATTTTTCTTTTTAGAGGACTAGGTGAATCGGATGGCTGGACAATAACAGTTACTAATTCAGTATGGGTAATACACGGATACATTAAGTTACATTATACATTAAGTTTATATAAGTTTATATATAGATCTACTTATACAAAATCTTTTTAATCTCTTACAAAATCCTAGTTCAAAATCTTTTCTGACCATACCATTCCAGATCTTGATTGGCTCCCCTCGCTTTTGACGCCGGATTTAGCAAATAACGAAATATATCAACTCTTACAGTAGGCGAAAAATATGCCCTAACCAACGGAAGTGTCGCTATGATGGTACTTGAGCGAAGTGGATGCAATCATGTGAGGTTTTATCCGCTCGTCTAAAATTTATTTTAGACATCTGTGGTCAAAGGCAGATGGCTTCGTAATATTGTTCACTCTTATCAGCTTGCAGCCATATAGCAAGATCTAGCGGATTGGAGTATGGGCGTGTACCTTCGCCCTAAAGGGTTCATCAACCAGAAGAACCCATTTCTAGCTGCCATCCAGGTTTTAATTTCGTCTTTTACCTGGTCATTTGGGTGAATTTAAGTTCCGAAATATCTTTATACTTAGGAGAATTCAAACAAATCTTAATAAATAGCCTTCTTGCTGGTTGTTGCTCGACATTTTTTCTTTGAATTACCTTGTCTTGAGGATACCTAGTAAATTTCCTTGGAGTTCCAAATCTTTCCACTTAGTCATTTCTTAAAATTTTGCTTACGTGTTTAGCGTTTCTATTCGCTTTTTTTCAGATTTTGGAAAGATTTGGAACTCTTTTGGAAAGAGTTTTTAATTTTTCCTAGGCATTTGCTATTGTTTTAAAAATAAAATAATTGCATACCTTTGCATAAGAAATACGTTGGTTTTGACTTTTTTATTGTTAGGATTTCGTTACAATTTTATGTATTTTCGATTGGTTATAATTTAGACTTAATTTTTTTAACTTTCGATTAATTTTTAATTTTTTAAATGCCTTGTTTATATACTTTGTTTGGCATTTTCGCCCAATCGACATTGTCAATCAGTCATTCGTTACTATGCAAATATTAAAAAATAATTAATTCTCGGATTTCGTTGCCCTTTGTATCTTCGACTAAGAAATGGGAAATCCGAAATCGGCATACTCGAATAGCAATACATTTAATTGGTTGCTAAAGAAGATTTCGCCATTTTTGGTGAGTTTTCTTCTCATTGGAGCCAATTATATTTTTTATATTCATAATTTTTAAAAGTAGAGCGAAAAATTCCCCTTAATGGAATCTTTATTTTCATTAAATTTATTATTTATCTATTAAATTTTTAACCTATTAATCTATTCTTTCATATATTTTGAATGATTTTTCTCCCATTTTCTCGTAATATTATGACTTTGCTGTACTGTTCAGTATCCCTCTCGCTATATTTCAAAACTCGCTATATTTCCTTAACTTTGCTTCGAACTTTTTTCACCTACCAGGTTTTCTCAGATAATTCTTCCTCAGTTCCCTTTTTCATTCTTTCAGTATTTTCAATCACCGCCAAGCTACCTTTTGCAATTTATAATTTGTAGTTGCAGACGCCACATAAGTTGATTGTGCGTGACCACCTAGGAAAAGAATATTAGCCTACGTTAATGGATAACAGTGGAAGCTCTTCCACGAAATATCTGATTTTAGAGGTTATTTAAAAATTTCAAACCATAAGAAATTTAGTAATTTGAGGGCATTTTTTTCCAGAAGTGTATTTCCATAGAGTTAATTTTCATGTTAAGATCTGTGCTATATTTACTGATTATATGAACGCTTGAGGAACTAAAAAAATTTTTTTTATCCGAACCACCTATTTAAGGATGTCGGTGACAGACTTTTTTGTTTTGTTGTTCATTCTTAATCCACTTTCGTAATTCCTTTGCAAGTGAGAATTATGAACAATGAAGGAGGTCAAAAAATAACGTTTGTTAAATAATCACTAAACAAGATAAATACTGTCGTATCCATCGATCCATAGATTTGTGAAGAAGCAAATTTTAGTGAATAGCTTTGTCCGTGGTTGTTGCTCTCCAAACTTTTGCTTTCGTTGAAGCACTAATAATAATATTATAATAAAGTGCACATTGGATTGGTAAAATTTGAGTGTTTTTCTCATGTTGCAGTTTTCTTTCTTTTTAGAGTACTCACCACTGCTGGTTAAATTTGCTTTGCTGGCTTGTCGGACCAGACAGATATCTTGGCGATAGAAGTGCAGGGGGGTCGCCAGCATCACCCGGCGATTTATGTTACATGGCATAACGATAGTTTCCTTGCTCAATTTTGCATCTCTATAATATTTTCGAGATTTATACGTTTGAAGATTCACCTGCTTAAAATTATCGGGTCTGGTCGTTTTGTCGTTTTCGATGGAATTGCAGTCATTCTTCGATTGCTTGTGGTTGTACTGTAAAAAAATAGTTAGTTACCATTATTTATTACTTTAATGATTTTATCATAAGATAACACAATTGAGGCGATTTAGATGTTTTTAGTAATATTGACTTTTTCGCAGACTGCCTGTAAGGTTCTTCGCCAAGCAAGCGAACTAATTTACAAAAAATAGGACTATTTTCCCGGTTGCATATATCACTCGGCTTTGTTGCGTTCTAAAATTGATAAAATTGTTAAAATTATCGTTTTGTTTAAAAATTAAAATTTACGATTTATACTTTATCGAAATTAATTATATATTAATTATATAACGAAATAAATTATAATTATTTCATAAGTAAAACTAGTTATTTACTTTATCAACAAATAATTTTGTACGGAATAAACGTACATCAATGCAAGCGCATAAAATATCGTCGCAGTGTTCGCGTCCAAGTTGCTTATCATAGCAGTTATCATGATCGATGCAACAATTATTTATAGAAACTGAAAAATAAAGTTAATAAAATAATGCGACGAAAAAAAGGCAGACAAACATACTCGTATAATATATTTAAAGATTGAAAGTATAGAAAAATATAGTATAGAAAAATAAAATTTTCATTTATCTATAAAAATAAATCCATTACAAAATCGAAAATTGCCATGTGGTTCCCCAGTTTACTATTTCATTATTATTATATTAATAAAAATAATCAATGAAACCAATTTTAATTTACCCGAAAGTTGTGGACAGTCGCGCTCAACGATAGCTTGGCTTATCGTTTTTGAAAGTGTTTCTGAACCGCATTGCCAATTTAAATTTCCAGCAAAACCTAAAATTCTTCGATATATCACAGAAAAAACAACCGAAAAGGAATATTTTTTTAGCGCAAAAATGGCATCATATTAATGAACACTGAGTAATGCTACGGTTGGAGGATTAGAATGGTTAAGGATTAGAATGCCTTCAATCCGGAGCACGATATTGAGGTTCTACTCCTATCGAGATTAGATCTGTCTAAAAACCGGGATGTGGTGCTGGCCATTCACCTGTATTGCCATGGAAGTTTAACACGAGTCTAACCAGTAATGGTGAGGGCTCTTTAAAAAACGAAACGGTTGATATAATGAAATTCCGAGTATAGAGTAAGAGAACAGAGTGGCTGAATGGTGGTTGATTGCGTAGATTATCACTTCGAGTATTGTAGTTCCACCTTCTCCCTTCAGCAGGAGTTAGCCTAAAAAAAGTTCCAGAAATGTGGTTAGGTGATGGGAGCAGTTGTACACCTATCTCTAAATGGCTTTCAACACCTTACGTTGTTCTATCTTACTAATAACCAGTTGAGCAAGTCCAATCAAAAATAAGTGCTAAATACTGACTTTTTTCAAGTGTAGCGAAAGCCGTTGCCGACACATTATGTATAGCAAGAATCTGATACCACAAGACGATAGAAATGAGGAACATCTGTAACACAACCAAGAAGATGATAAACAGTGCATTTATTTAAAACAGCATTACTCGGTCTATCAGCTTAATCAGAGATAATTACAACCTTTTTTTACGACATGCACTTTCTCGACGGTTTTGTAAGATCAAACCTTCTTGAAGCCTATGGACGTCTCTGGAATGTTTTTGAATTCAAAACAAAATAAGAAAAGTAAAAGCGGAAAGCAGCGGAACGAGAATGAACGAGATTGGAAATATCTATAGTTTATACTGATAATACAATCTACTCAGAACCTTCAAAAGTGCTACATTTAGTCGTCGGAAATTAGTGGAAAAAAGTCGTGAAATTTTTCCCAAACAAGTAATCCAGTGCTCCAATGCATTCATGGAACGATGGTTAAGAATGAGTGGTTAAACGCTACACATTCACCCAATCTAGCAATTCAAATTGCCTATGAGACTGTAATTTTTTCACTGGCAACTAGTTTCAAATTCGAAGTGGCAAGTTTAATGCACAAATTACTAAAAAACTCTCGCAGATAAAAATAATGCATTTTTATATTAAAGAGTCCACTAATACTTCTAAACTAGTTGGCAGCCAAAAATACGATATTTTTTCTCTTCAAGAGCTCACCTATTCTTTACCTTCCATCATAGCATTTAATTTTTTCACCTTTCACCTTTCGTCGCTCATAGAAAATGCAATAAATGAATTTGCCCCGCTGAAAATAAATATTTTCATGCCAACAAAATGATTATTCAGAAACGATTGCATGAGAAAAACGGCATTTCAACGAAGAAAAACTGGATATGATGACTAGATATTTTATTTTCATCAGCATTAATATAACATTAATTTCCAATTCAATCATTTAGGCTAAACAAAAAAAAAAAGAAATTAGTTAATTACAACACAGAGTAGATGCAACAGCGCCGATGTTGACGTTCCACACCAGGCAGGAGTGAACCTGTTTCTGAAAAAAATACGGACGATGCTGACGACTCGTTTATACTTCTATCATCAAGTGACTCTATAGTAAGAATACTCTGGTCCAACTAAGTTAGCGGAGAAAAATTGCTAGAAGTAACAGAGAAACAGCTAGAAAATTTTTAATGAAGATAGAATTATGAGAAACACCAGAAATCTAGCCAGAAAATTTATTTGCTTAATAGGTTTAAGAGTGCAAATGATATATTTTCGGGTAAGTACAGCAAGATGGTAGTGACTGCAAATGAATTCTGAGTTAATGCCCCCCCCTCCCCCCCCATTTAAATTGTTATGCTTTTCCCATTTTCCGTTATATGCCATTTTAATAAAATTAAAATGGAAAAATACTATAAGAAAAGAAAAATAGAGTATTACAACAATAAAATTTGAAAAGTTCCCAGCTAAGTATTAGCAGAAATGAATTCCTACAATGCCTTCTTCTTCCCTTTTCTGTTTTGACCTTTCAATTTCATATCTGCTGTACACCTCAAATCAAAAAATGTTTTTTAAGGTATCACAGTGATTTTTTTTATTAGTATAAGTGGTCGTTAAAATTTTGCCTTATTTATGTATTTTTGCATTCGGATTAGAGTTTCTAGATGGAAAATAAATTCTTGGAAGAAAAAAATGGCAAAATGAAGAAATCCATTAGCGAATATTGCTGGCCAGAAGAGATTTTGAACTTAGGGATTTAGCGGTGTAAGGGTATAGACGATAGAAAAAGGAATATTCCTCCTTTTACCTCCAGATTTGGTATCACTTAGTATATTTTACCGTTATAGCTAACGAATGAAGCCTAACCAGTAGCCGTGCAAACCTTTGGTAGATGATTATAAATAAGTTGCATAATATAACATATCAGTACAATATTTATGTGGTTATCAAAGATGACGCTAGTGATAAGGGATGGTTTATATTCTCGAGCGAAAGCTGCTAGTTATTGCTCCATCAGAAACAATTTTTTTCTTCCTGCTTTCCTTTCCTTCTTGCACAATCAATGCAGAAAAATAGACTATAAACAAGGTTGATATCAGCGAAGGAAATTTTTTTATTCCTTCTTTTATTCTTTTTCTTCTTCTTCTAATATCTCACCATTCTGGTTGGCTTGATTCGCTGGCTATAAGAATATTATGTTTTCGAAGCTTTTTTTACAGGGCTGTTATTTATTGTTATCTTTGCTGCGTTGTTACTGTATTCTTTTACGCTTATTTGTGAATATATAATGTAAAAAATAAATAATGCTTGAAGCATAGGATTTCGCTCGCCTGTCTGGCCTGTTACTTGTTTTAGAATAAATCCTTTATCCAGTTTAAGAATAACCAGAATAAACAATGATCACCGCATGAATTAATAAAAATTTTATTCGCCACCTCAAAATTGGGTAATTAAACACTGTAATACACTGATAAGAAAAATAATATTCGGTATAAATTTTACCCACAGGTTAAAAAAATAATAACAAAAAAGAACAAATAAGAAATGAAATAAAAGGCATTAAATGACAAAGTATTGAATATTGAAATATTGGGACCTAATCGCTCGGATCCCTTGATGGCACCAAAATAAGAAAATAATTTTCTTGAGAAGAATATACACTATACACTATACACCATACACTATATACCATAAACCTTTATCTTTTATTGACATATGTGAAAGTAAAGAATTAATGATGAAAGGCTTTATTTGGCTGATCAGGGTCACCAGTTTGAATCTTTCGAGATATATATATATATATATATATATACATAGGTATTTGAATGGCTGTTGGTTATTCCCACCACTTCATCTTACTCTAATGACAAGTCAATCGCTACATATTAACCAATAGCCAACGACTCATAAACATGCCCACTCTCTTAAAAGCCTTTTACTACTCAGTATATTTTAACCATTAGTCAATTTCTCGTTGACTTTTATATTTTTGTATATTTTTCATTCGCTGCATTCATTATATTTATGCAAGCATTTGCTCTGAAACCTGCAGAAATATTTTTTGCCTTATATTTTTTTATCCTTCGGCGTCAAGTTTTTTCAACAAAATTCCGAAGAGAAATATATGAGAAAAATCTTTGTTAATACTATAAACAAATTTTCGACATGTAATATGCGATATGCAACAAAAGAAGTAAATTTCTTTGCTAATTTAATCCAACTTTTCACGGATTTAATGAATATGAAATTCATTAAATTCAATAAGCTGAAAAAGAATAATACTGCACAAAATGGGGATTATATTTAATTCGCACCCAAGGACGACAGATGGTCTTTTTATGCGACAGCCATAGAGGGGCTATGTTTTGACGCGAACTTACTAGGATGCCTCGAGCATTGAATGGTATTGCATTATGCTTGCTCATCTGTGGTGCTATGAAATTCCCTTGGAATTCTCTTGAAGCATGTTGCACGCAATTTTAACAAAAAATAATAAGAATAAATCTATCATAAGGTAATGTTTCTGGCAACATTAGAAAGTCTATGAAAAAACAAAGCCATGAAAAATGTGAAATTAGGTGATGTTGGATATAAATTGCGGATGAGAACTGTAAAGAAGAAGAAGCGCTTTATATTCTCACTGTCAACATTTCTCCAACCTGCACGCCACTTATAATTCCATGTTTTTTTTGATATTTGCTCCTTGATATTTTGATATTTTTCGATGTTTGTGGATAAGCATCTACTGGTAAATTCTTCCTATAAAATTTTTTTTTGTGATAATTAAATTCTAGTGGTATCTACAGAAAGTTTGTGCTGCAAATCCTAGGTTAGAGGGTCAAAATAGCCAAGCATTCTTTAGTTTAACTGTAAACTCAAGAATTGTAGGATCAGTTTCTCTTTCTCTTGGAATTAATAAACCAAACTATTGCAAAAAGTGAAGACTTGTTGACCTCGACGATTGACTCGTATTTTTGCTATCAACTTTAAGGACCTTGCCAGTAATTCAAGCTAACCATTCACAAATATGGAGAAGAAGATTCCATTGCATAAATTTATTTTCTAATTTAATAATTTCAAGGATTCAAAGTTTCCTTCATCTTTTTATAAATTTTTAAGAAATTTTTACAATAAAAGAATTAAATAAAGAAAATTTTAAATGGTTTTACTCGTTATTTTTTACATTTCGTTGCAATAAAAACTTATTTAAATCTTACGGAAAAGATTGAAATATTAGCAAATAATTTTAATAATTTTATTAAAAAGCCGCGTTTTTTTTTTGTAGGCCAAACGATTCGTGGACGATATATTCATTATAGTTGCTCCATAGATAATTGAATCATTAGTGCATCGATGCGGAGCGACTTCTATACCACATTTTTTAGAAAAAAAAAGCCCATCCTATGGACATGGAGAATCATTTTTAAACCTTGGCATACTCCTTGACCTTTCCTTGAAATTAATTATATTACTCGCAGATATCTATAATTCTCTCTTAAACCCATATTTCGGATGCCACCACCATTTTTCAATTATATATGCTGAGATTCGATTCCCCGCAGGAGTAAAACCTGTACAAAAATCCGGGTGATGCTGGCGACTCACCTGTATTTCGCCAAGGGACTCGCTGGCCAGTGCGACAACCAGCGGAGCGAGTTTAACCAGTAATGGTGAGGATTCTTAAAAAAAAAAGTGGCTTACGGAGGGATAATTGTATCTAAGAAACTTTAAGCAGGGAATTAAAGTGATAAAATAATCTAAAGTATTTCGGCAAAGCGAGATAAAAAAAAGAATGTATAACAGGATGCGGGATACATGTTTCAAAAGCATGTCGAGTACCAGAGGAGATTGGATATTCTCAACGTGATGGCTGAGGCGAATTTTTTGTCAATCATTCAAAAGAATTTAAGGAGAATATTGTGGTGCCAAGAAAAATACAAAAAAATGTTTGGCAATATATGTGGTACCACAGCGGGGAATTAACACAGTATAAAGAGAAAAAGAGAATTCATTTTAAGACATTGTAACGATCGATTGTTTAATAATTTAACATTTTTAAGCATGTAGCGATCTCGTGGATGTAGAGAATATAGTTCTTGAGGAAATTTTGCCGTCCACTCCAGTTCCCTTCTACTATTAATTCTCCGTTCGTATAATATTATCTTTTGTAATTCTGATGGGTAACTACTGCTGTGGTAAAAGAATATTATGAAGTGATGGCATATTAAAGGAATAAAATGGTGGAGAGTGGTTTTGGGATGATTAAAACGGTACAAAGGTATTTAAAATAATAAATTATGGCAAATGAATAGCGACTTTCTGGGAATGTTAGACGAGTTTAGGAAAAATGTAAAAATGTTTTTATGACAGGTTTTAATGCGAAGTAAATATCTGAAACATGGCGCCAACGCAGTATTTTTTTTTAAAGAGTCCTTACCATTACTGATTAAACTCGCTCCGCTGGCTAGTCACATTGGACAAATATGCCAGGGAGTCCCTTGGCGATGGAAATACGGATGATCGCCAGCATTACCCGGATTTTTTTACATCACTCCTGCAGGGAATCGAACCTCAGTATCGGCGCTCCCAACCGAGTAACAACCCACTGAGCCATTCTGTTCCTAAAGCAATGTAATGGTATAATAGGTTAACTAAATGTAATAAAATGGCACAATATTGGCAATATTTTTCGTTAGCTGAAATCTGAGGAATATAGTTTAAATTGACGCTCTAGTTTTAGTAAAAGAAAACGATATACAATTTGAAAAACTGGATGTTTAAAATAAGGATTTGGGGATTTTTGGTAAGTGAGAGGTTATAACAGGTTCTGAGATATGAACATGAAATATAAAAGTAATTAAGAACTTAAGACAATATGAGGGATTTTCAGATGGGCAAAAGAGGGCACGAAAATGATTTTAAACGGGAGTAATTAAATTTAGGGATAAGGCTAGTAGTAAAATATAGGGAATTGGCAAAATTTCGACAAGATTAGGCAGGCTGGAAATAGATATATTTCTGGAAATAAAAATAGTTATTTTTTTCCAGGTGCATAGTAACTTCAAATTATTATAAAGATATGCCATAACTGACTGTGATAGTACGGACGGGAGTGTATTGGTAGTTTTTTTTATTCCAAATATCTTGCTTTTAGCCTTTCACTTGACAACCATGAAGAAATCCGAATGGTGGGATCCCACTGGAGTCACCTGTATCCCCGTCCCCTTTGTCACTTTCTATGCAAATGTCTCACACCAACAGCAAGTGGAAGCATGTCAGAAATAAGATATTTGTTGTTCATTCTTTTCATTCAATATTCTTATGGCTTTATTAAGAATTTCCGAAATATGTAACTTGAATAATCGGTTTCATTCATTTAATTGCTATACTTTGTCATATTTTTCCTCTTTTCATTGGATAATCATAGACATTCTATTGTTATTTATTTGAGGAATTGATCAAGATTTTTCTATATCGGTCAGATGAATATTTGTAATTTAATGTCGCCTGTCGCAATCAGTTTTACTTACTAGCTTTCGATATTTTTGGATTAAATACTTATAAATGAATAAAGTACAATTTAAAAAATAAGAGTTCAGCATTTTTGAATAGGCGAACCGCTGGAGCTCCTCGTATTAGTATGGTTCGAAAATCTTTCCAAACCTTTACAGTTAATGAGTTAAATTCACGTCTCCAAAAACCTTCATACATTCACAGAATTCTTATCATTCTTATTTTTAATTTAGATGCAAAAAGTGATGTGGGAGCCTTACTGTGATCTTCTGGCTTTCTTAGAAGATTTATTTCTGCCAATAAACAAGAATGGAATCTCATGTTGCCTCAGGCGATGCAAAATACAAAATACATTAAAGCTTACTCAATCGAATAACTGCAAAAAAACTATATCAAAAATTAATCAAAAGCAAATAAAATAAAGAAGATTGACTAAAGGAAAAAAATTTTTTCAGGAGATTCATCATTACTGATTACCTCGTTCCGCTAACTTGTTGGACCAGACAGATTTTGCCAAGGAATTATTTGGCAATAGTATTTTTGAAAGACAGGTTTACTCATGCAAAACGTTAAGGCCCGGTACCTTAAGCCGAATAGCTGAATCATTCTACCTCATTTTCCTTCTCTATTTAACGAGATTACAGCTCGAAGCTTGACGTTGATTCGAAATCGAGTTATTCTCTCAAGCGGCAATTATCTTGTCATTTAGACAAAAAGATGCATATAAAGCAAAGAAGTGGCAATTACTCATTGAGAATCCTGAACTTTTCAACTTTTTTTTATGGAAAGTTTCGTAATGGCTAATTATCGCGGATTCCAATTCGGAGAGAAAACGAGGGCGGGTTGACAGCACTCTTTTATTCTGAAGTTCAGTTCGACTAAAGAAATGTCTAAGTGGCGCACATACGGTCATTATTTTCAATATTCATTACATATTGACCGTTCTTTTAGCGAGTATTTTCTTATAACTACTCGTTCCTTCCCGCCACAAAAATTTTTTTGGAATCACTTTTTTTCCTCTATTCTAAAAGCGCTTATCATTACTGATTAGGACCACTCCGCTGGTTTGGTGGACTTGACAAAAATAAATTTTGTTAGGGAGTGAATCATTTTGCGATTAAAATACGAGTGAGCGGCTAAAATCAACCGGGATTTTTGAATGGCAAGTCCTTCTGCCTGGAGCAGAGTCCCAGCATTCTCGTTCCAAGATTTCAAGCAGCAAGCCATTGAGTGATTCTACCTATTGCAATTGCACTCATTTCTTTCTATATTTAGCACCAGTATTTACTGCTTCGTTTTCTTTCGCTTATTTTTATTTTTCAGTTCAACAATAATCATTAAGAAATCCAGTTAAAAAATTGCCAATTCCTTTCTTTAGTTAATTTTCATTATAATTTTTATTTTCACCTAGAAAAATCAGATTGCGTTTTTCAGAATTTGTAGTGCACCCACAAGTTAGGCTTTTTTTCATCATTAATTGTGCTATTTCCTGAGAAATTTCCGTTGGATTTACCAATTTTTTCTTTTTTTATTCCATTCAATGAAAATTTCTTTATAAGTTTTATATTTTGCGTTAATGAAAATTTAAGATTTGGCTTCCCAATTATCTTAAATATTATTTTATTCTACTTTTTTATAATAAAAATTTCCTATATATATTGCCTCGGCAATAAAAGTTGAGGCATAAAGAAGCTTCTCGTCAGCAGTAAGCGTGTAATTAGTTTATCTTTATATATATGCATGTATGAAATCCCTTTCTCAGTGCTGCTTGTGGTAAGGATCGTCCTCAACCTCGGCTCCTCTGCCAGAGGTCTGGTAAACTGAGGGTTCTGCGCAGTACCCTAGTTGTTGCTAATAGTGCGCTCTTCTGGATAGAGAAATTTTACTATGTGCTCATCATATATGTGATGAATTATTCTATATTTCAGTTTAAAATAATAAGAAGCTTACAAAGAAGGTTAACTCGTTGGTTTCCCAACAGTCATGCATAATTTATATATGGTAAGTTGAAAATTTTCAAAAAAATTTTCTTTTGAAATAAATTGATTATCTGACCTTTTGCATTATTTTCCACTCTGACATTTTTGATTATTTACCTAAAAAAAAAACAAAGTTTATTACAATTCGATTGCTATAATTCACACAGCGTAAGGATAACTTTCATTTCCTTAGTTAAATTCGCTCTACTGGCAGAGCGAAACTTTTATCAGCGAGCCATTTCGTGGTGAAAATGCAGATTGATCCCCGCAATACCACTCAGACAGATTATCTTACATGGAGCGCAGCAACGCTCGCAGTGAAGCAACAGTTACTTCGTTATTCTATTTTCACCCAATATGCATCCATCAACTTGTTAGGTGACTTTACTAGGATGAGGTGATTCCAAGACTCTCGATCCAATGCCGTTCTTATTTGGTATTTATTGCTTTCTTCATCCATCCATCTTAGCATGCTTGCGTCAATTCCGGTGATAGATGGCGAATATAGTTTAATCAACGCACTTTATTGCAGTCGAGTGAAGCAGTCGGAAGAGATTCTATCTGCTCGATAGGCATGCAGAATATACCTTAATTATGAATGATCAGTGGTTCTTACTTGATATCATTTAATCTCATTGGTCATGTTTCACACCCGCTTAACTTACCCGCATATATGTCTTCTATTCATCAATTTTTCAGAAGTAGTTTGATTAAAATCCAATCAGTGGAGAGTTGGTTATGATGTCCTACTTGTTATTCAGATATTTCATTTTGGTATGGAACTTTATTCTCAAAAAGAAAATTTGCTGTCTGAATTTATAGCCACAGAAGATAAGCAATTTTTATAGAAACAAATTGTTTCATTGAATCAAACCAATGCTTTTTCATATATGGCTAATCTCATCATTTGTTCACAGTCGTATAATAATAATTAATAATAATAGTAATATTAATTATTATTTTACAGTAAACTCATAGTAAAGTATTGAATTTAAAAGTAAAATTACCTTTCTAGTTATTGATAATTTTCAAAGTCACGTCGGCTGTAACAATCGACAACGAAATCATTGGAGATCCTGACATTGAATGTTTGGATGAACAAATCCGAATTTTTATCACAACTAAGAAAATTTTTGCTGGTTTATAATTTTTTGTTCTAAGTTGGAAAGTCTTTCAAGGTTGATTCGATATGCCATACTTGAATCCTAAAATCACTCGAAATTTTTCCCATTTTTCAAAATTTATGGGCTTCTTTTAGGCCGAATATATGCCAAAGGCAAAGCGGATAATCCAGACTGCTCAAGAGATGATTATGCTCCACAAAGAACGAGAAAACCGCACATGGTTCTGAGATTTGGTACCTGCGGCATGAAAAGCCTTCGATCGGTGAGTTCTGGAATAGTTTTTTTCTTCATGGTGTAAATCTAATCAACTATATTTTGAAACCATTAAACATTGGTAAAATAGTCAAAACTTTAATAATGGAATCGTAGAAAAACTATTATTTACTAATTTCAAGCATTTCCATCCAACAAGTCCTATTGTCCTTTTTAAAGCCTACCAAATTTACTTAGGTTGATCCACGTGGAATGTATTATGGTATCACACTTGTGGTTTCTTTCCATACCGTAAGTTTTCTTTCAATTATTTTTTAAATAATTATTTATTTATTTTTTGCTAATTATTTATTAACTAATAATACAATATTATATAACTACTGATAATAACGATTTAAGATATTTTGATTTTTGTTACTAACTTAAAGATGTTTATCACGAAAGTTGATCAAGCTTTTCATGTGAAATGTTTCTTTGAAGAGGCAAGCAGAGGTTTGACTGTCGAATTGGGTGTCAGGTAAGTTATTTTTAAAACTATTTCTGTGGCCTAGTAAAATTTATATTTAATGCCTCTCACATGCCTTTTTTTCAAGTTTAATATTGAAAAATTGTAGTTATATTAGCTTAATATAAGATAGCTTAAATAGCTTAAACGATAACTGAATAGATAATTTTTCACTATGAACATGTGGTGAGGCAAAAGCTCGATTTTTTCTTTATAATAAATTTGTATCAAAAAACTAATAATACATGTACTTTGTACTTTTATGGGCAAGTAGGCAATCTTCTTGGCGAAAATTTCTAACCTATCACACTTGTGGTCTCTACAGTGAAATGATGAGCGCTACCCACTTACCATTCAAATATTAAAATATGTTTAATTTTTTATTTCAAGTCTCATTCGCATAATGCTCGTATCAGCCAAACATAAATAAATCTTTTCAAACATTTTTGCGAATCTTAGAAGAAATTTTAATGAGTAATAAATTGAATAATAAATTTTAATGAGTCATTTCGAAATCAAACGGTAGCTAGTTAAAATTTTCATAGCTGAAAGCATGGAAAATCTCCATTCTTTTTTTAAGCCCTCACCATTACTTGTTAGGCTTCTTCCGCTGGTTTATCGCACTAGACAAATATGCCATGGAATCCCTTGGCGATAGAAATACAGATGGGTCGCCAGCATCACCTGGATTTCCAGACAGGTTTAATCTAGTGGGGAATAAAGCCTCAGCATCGGCGCCTCGAACTGAGTTCATTCACAAATCATTAAACCATTCTATGCTCGATTGTTCCCATTATGAATATTTCTTAGTTATGCCATGTGAGACGCCAAGACACGTTTGACCATGGGAAATTAATGGTACAATCAAAAATTGATGATTGCCGATAATCATGCCGCAGAACATTCTTTGATGTTCTATAATATTTAATTTGTCGGTGTTTTTTATACTTGGCAAATGAATTAGAGAAATTCATGCCAAAAATAAAGTGCAGTTTAATAGTTCCTTCGAAAATAGGTCAACGGTTTTTTAGGTCATATTTCCGTCTCCATTTTGATTCATAATTTCACAATAAATGTTAAATTATTAAATTTGCATGACAAACAGAGGCATAGATTAAACTCAAAAAGATTTTTAAGGAAGAAACTTATCGATATTCCTAAAATTTAATCCCTAAATTTTGTAAAAACTTTTCCAATTTACATATTATTTTACTGTATTTTGGATTGCTCCATTGCGGGGGAGGGGGGGAGCGCTGAATCAATTGAGAGAAGCCTCCGTTAAACTATTATACTCTTTATAATTTGATATAGGACGGAATCAGGCCCCTAATATTCACTTGCAGGATGGTTACGCGATAACATTATAAATCTTCTTCATCTAACAGCTCTCACCATTACTGGTTAGTCTGACCCCGCTCGCTACAAGGATAAGAGCTACAAGGATACACCATAAACAATTTAGACAACTAAGGAAAGATTATTTAAAAATATTGTTTAATAAAGAAGTTTTTTTTTAGCGCATAAACAAAAATTAATGCCTGCATCGTCCTGAAAACATCTTATTTCCCTTTGTTTTAGTTTCTTAAAATTTGATTGATCTAAATTGTCGATTTGAGGATGAATATGATTTAGTATGATCGCAACAACCGAGGTGGAGGCTCGGCATTCAATACCAGGTTGTATTTACAGCATTCATTCAAGTTCTGTTGGAGAAATCGATTCAGGAAGGCCAGCCGGTAAACCGATTCGTTTTGCGAGAATAGGCGACCGAATTCTTCACCAATGGCACTGCGACGATCGTAAATCATTACTTGAAACTGCACTACAAATAAATCGCTTTCAAAAAGCAAAACATTCACTATTTTTTATTCACTAAATTAGATTAAAAGTAAAAGTAAATGAATCGATTTCTTATGAATTTTAACTAATTCCAATAGGTAACAGTAATATTTAAATTGCAAAACTTTTTTTTTTCATCTTAAAGAAGAGTTCGAATTTTTTCGTTAGCAGATTTCCCATTTATAAGATAACATTGATAGCTAATTTTTACCTTTCATCTACGGAAAATAAATTTTTTTCGATTTTTTTAACGGAATCGCATCTTAGAAATGTTCGGAGTATTAATCAACAATTGCTATGTAACGGATGGGTTTGGCAAAAGGGCAGACGTCGTCGATTCGAAGGGGTTAATCCTTCCAATTTTTTCTTCTAATGCTTCTTTGTCCCATTTATATATTTTTTTGCCAATTGCAGTACCTCTGCAATGCAATTTTATAAATCGCCCGTCCAAATGACGAAAGCAAAAGCTATTTTTGAAGTCAGCTGGCCTTCCAGTCTTGCTGGGTACCATTTAGTTCAGCAATATCTTTGCTTCGCATTGCATTTTAGCTTTATTTATCAAATATTTTAGATGCAGTATTGACCCGATTTTAATGACTAGAATACGTTATTCACCGGATTTGCAACGAGCTTACGCAGAGTCACAAGTATTTAAATTTGCTGATAAACCAGGTGTTTGGTTCTTTTGCCAAATACAAATGTGTATGAAGAAAGCTGGAATGTGCGAAGGTGTAACGGTAAATGGAAATTCTCAGATTCGAATAAAAAATAACTTCAACGATCCAAGCTTGCCTAAATAAAATATTAAAAATTTAAGCCTCCAGTATGTGAAGCTGAAAAAGTCTCAGAACTAGTCGACGAAATCGATGTGCACAAGGCTAATGAACGAATTTTAGCGCAATCAACTACAAAAATATCGCCTGACCAATTTGGAGAATATTTTCGTGGCGATACCCTGGAAGCCTATCAAACTACAAAGTTTATAAGGTTAATCTATTTAGTGAGTTACTGAGAAATTTCAAAGATTATCTCGTTTTAGGACTTTTGGCACATCACCCAAATCAATCACAAGAATCAGGCCGAAATTTCCTGTTCCAGAACCACTCATAGATGCATTTCCTACCCCTGGACCGATCATAGATATCTTTCCAACTCCTGAACAAATACTGGGAAAAGAACAATCTCATGCAAGCAAGAAATATGGGAAAAACAAAAGACCTGTTGTGATTCGGCCAGGCGCTTCAGTTGTTAGTTGCAAATGCTTTCAAAAAAGGATAGAATAAACACTTTTAATTCTGATTGATGCATTGTTTTAGACCGATGTTACAAGAATTTTTGAAGTCGATGAGCACTATGAGCCACAGAGGAGATCGAAAATGCCGCGTATACTATCAACTGATGCATTCGAGAATGGTTTAAATTTTCAATTCCACCCAAATTTCCCTTTTAATTTGAAAATTTCTGACTCCGCTTTTTCTTTATTTTCACCTAAGTGAATTGTTTTCGCTTATTCCAATTGGAATTTTCACATATTTTATGGCTTCTCCTATAAAAATTTTAGTTTTCGCTAATATTTCTAATCACCATGATGATCACCATCACCACTGATTTTAACCATAAATTTCGCTATAAAAAAATCAAAGAGAAAAAATTTTGGCAATGGAATGAAAATTTCTGAAAATGATTAATTCTCATTTAAATTTGCAACTTATTATTATATGTCGTCGTTTGGCTCATCTGCTGTCAATTCACTTACCCTTTATGAACTTATGATGTTAGTCTATGCGCACTATGTCATCCTTATTAAGGCCACGAAATTCTTCGTAATTTACAGATTATTACGATGGATATGAGGATTTGACTTTGCCACCAAATCTGAGTGATCTCTTAGCGAATCTTCCTGATGATATCAATGCAGATTCTTTACAAAAAATGTTCAGAGATTCTGTTGAAAGTCGACGAACATTATTACAAAATTTCGATTTCCTAATGAACGGCGTAATCTTTCATTTAATTCCTTAAGATTGCGTTTACATCGAACATCGCTTTTTACCACTTAGGAGGGTCTGTGAACTTGGATGGGAAAAATTCACATATTTATTTCTATCCCCAACTTTTTTTCCACGTATTTTTAGAAAATATCATTCGGAGCCCACAAGAATCGATTTCAAACGGTTGCCAAATGAAAACGAATCCATAGTGTACGAATTAATTTATTTAGAGTTAGGCCATAAACAGATCCTTTATGATCTTTTCACTTCATACTGATTATTACTGAACATCTACTCTGACTGGTTTTTCTTACATTCTGACCTAGTACTGATGAGGTGCCACCTATAAAAATATCAAAAAAAGTCTTTATTTGAGGGACTTTCAATATTTATCAATATAAATTGCTTATAAATTTCATTTTTTGGAGGTAAAAACGAAGCATTTTAATAGTGATATATATAAGTCAAGATTTCTCGAAAGAAAATTTGCAAAAGAACCTCCACAGACAACTGATTCAGTTCAAGTAATTCTTAGTTATCATATCATACAGTATGCAGTATGTTAAATCTGAAATTTTAGCCATGAATTTTTGAATATATTCAAATGAATATATATAACTGAAAATATTTATTTCAAAATCTATTTTTTGACATGTTCTACTGAATAATAATCTAGATATCGTGGAATTCAAATCGCATGGCTGATATACCTCTCGATGAAAGCGTTAAAGCAAACCCACAAAATTATCGTCAAAAATTAGAAGTACCAGTAGAACAAAATGTATCTCCAATGATAGGCGGTCAACTTATAATTTATGACATAGATGAAGAGCCTCCAAAAAGCTCTTTGAAACGCTCTGATAATGGTTTGTTTTTTTTTGGTAAAAAATGATTTATGATTAAATTTGCCGTCTGATAAGAATTGTCAGATTTTCAAAAATTACCAAATTTTGCTCGAAGAACTTTTTATTTTCAGATTCATATATTCCTCGGAAGAACGATTGTATTATTGGTCGTCAGGCTTTTTATATATTCGCATCAAGCCTTGGAGGAATTTTTTCATTATTTTTCTTAACTACTTTAGTGATGTATGCACGATTATCAAAAGATATTTTAGCTAGAGGTAAAGAAAAAATTATTTTTGAGCCATGAATTCGTTTCTGCCATATATTTTATCACATTACATCTCATATACCCTTACATACACTTTTGTTAATAAGCAATATTTTTTGGCTATAAAAGCCACTATAAATTTTGAATTAAAATTGTGGGCAAATCATGAGCTAGGGACTAACTATGGATTAGTGGGCTTTATATAATATAATATTTTATATAATACAAAGCATTTAATTTTCAGATACTCATTATATAAAAACAATGCCGCTAGGGCCATCAACATTATGCATCACCGACGATACTAAATCGAGGTCTAAATCAAAGGATAGCACCAAGACGCTTGATACAATGTGCACTTGATTAATTAATTATAGATAACAGCTGGATTTATTGTTCGTTATGATAACTGATGAGATTGTATTGTATATTTTGTGACATTCAAAGCATTTGATAACTTTTAAGATCATTGATGATCCTATCAGTTTGAAAAATCATTTTTAGAATATTAAATACAACATAAATATTAATTACAATAATTCATGGCAACGTTCAAAGTAAAGTTCATGTTGAATAAATGGATTCAAAATTTGTTTAACATTTGTTAAAAAAAGTTAAAACGCGAAAAGAAATTGCAAAAAATTTATTGCAAATAAAAAACACAAATATGAGCGAAAAAATTGGAGCGAAATCAGGAAGAATTCGAATCTGCTGGAGAAAGTTCAATGAAACTTAAATTTATGCGAGAATTTTTGCAAAGAATTTAAAAAATTATAAATTTTAAATTTTTGATAAATATGAATTTAAATATATATACAAATTTCAAATAGCTTCTGTAGATTAGGGAAGAAAATGTTCTGTGATTTTCCTCTTCCACGTAGAAATTGGATTAAAATCATCGATAAAAGCATGGATTCGCGAGTAGAAGTCGGATTCTCCTTTCGCAGGAATGGAACCGCCTGCACTATTTATTTTATAAATTATAAATTGCATTTTTTAATATAAGGTAGTTTTATGTAAAGAAAATTTAATAGAGATTTGGAAAGCTTATTTGTAAATAGAAGGCAGGAAAACGAAGAGGATATTGGCTCCGATTATCCTGTTGAAAAACATGGGCTTACCTTTTACTTATGAGTAAGAGTAAGCCTTAGGAAATTCGAGTGCTCTATGCGACCTGCACTTCTACTGCCAAGTAATTCTCTATTGTTAAAAATTTGACAGCTTGCTGAAAACCAGTAGGGCCAATTTAACCAGAAAAGGCAAACTAACCATTTTCTCATTTGGTTAGCTGTTTTGTTCATAAAATAAAAATTTAGTGGCACAATAAGCCATAATGATCCATCCTTACACATTATAAAAAGCCAATAATTATTATTGAATAATTATAATAATAAAAGCCAATAATAATTGAAAAGCCAACCAGTAATAAACAATTTATAAACAATTCATCAAAATGGTTAATTAAGATTATTTCCAACAATTTTAACAAAAATTTAAACTAACAGTTATTGATCAATTTTTATCATACAATATTAATCTTTTGATAGGTAAACGCATTAGAACAACAATAATGTTTTAAAATGTCCCACAGATCGACGCTGACCAGTTCATAGGTGTGATGTACTGTCGTCTCTTAACTAATTTCTTAAGAATTTATTACATTTTGGAAATTATAAAGATAAGTTTTAATGATAATGCCTATTGAGATGATACGAACTTCCTAGGGAATTTTGATAAAAGCTGTGATGGTGTGAGGATCTTCGGATATCACCATATTTTCATCGGTTCCCTCTTTAGCCTTTCTGCTTTTTACGAATCACTAAATCAAATTTTTTCTCAGAATTAAAGGAAAAAGAAGGCTAAATGAGATATTGTAAAATATATCCAAAATATTTTATTCGATTACATCTATAATTTTTTTTATATGCAATATTATAGTACAAAATACAAATATTTATATACTGATTCATTGCAAAATTTTTCAAATAGTCGGTTAATTATAATTTTTTTTGCTTGAATTTTAAGCATAAGAGTTTGAATTTTTTTCTGCAATTTTTAGCAAAGTTTGTAAATCTTCGTTTATCTTTTTGCGTATTTCGTGCAAATTGTTATTTATTTTTTCAATAATATTTATTAATAAAAAATAAATTTATAATTTGGATTCTCGAATCTATTAAAAAAGCAATGCATTTATGGTATTAATAAAGAAGTACTTAACCAGTTCCTAATTAGGTTAACTTCGCTATCAGCTAGTGCAGTAAGAAACTTTTATCATCCAGTAATTTGGCTGGGAGTACAGAAATATAGGTACCACTCAGGTTTTAAAGGAAAAGTTTGCTTCTACAGGAAGTAGAACTCGCTATGAAACAAGTCACAGAACCATAGAATCTGTTCTATCCAAATAATTCGAGACAATAAAACAATTTCCAAGTTCGCCTGTTCATTTGCAAATAAACAACGAATATTTCTAACAAAAATTTTGTTGTGCGAACATTGAACTTTATAAATTAGTTCAATTTATGTATATTTTCATTGATCTAAATTGATCTAATTTTATACGACCAATAATGATCGATAAGCGATTCGAATAGTTTTCATGAGAAAACCTTGAAATTTTTCAACAAATCACCCGAAAAATGGTTGATGCGTCCGTCTTTAACATTTCAACAACATTAATTCATATCTAAAACATTATCGATGAATATATTGCCTCATTATTCAAAGATAAATTTCTTGTTCATCAAGTTTCGAAGCAAATAGAGAAGAAAGAAATGGATTGAAGGAAACCCTCCCCCTCCCCCTCCTATATTTTCTTTCATTTTATAAACCTTTCTATTTCAATTCGTTTCGTTTTGATTTGATTTTATTTGATATGAATGATTTAGTTCTTTTCCTTTGTTTATTTTTAAACTCCCGTAACATCCTTTTCTTTAATTTTTTTGCATTTTTTTCTTCATTTTCCTGCATCGATTTTTAACGATAAAATTTTTTCCGCAAAGAAAGAATTAAAATTAGAGAGGAGCCTCGACGGACTTATATGGGCCTACATTGGCCTTGCGAGCCTATACCTGCCTATTTATCTATTCACACAACATTCGTATTTCCTATTGAAAGATGGGTATATTTATTTAATGAAATAATTGGTGCCCCTTGAATTGAAATGACCACAAGTGACCAACCACTTGCCACTTTATTTCATCACAATGAAATGATTATAAAAAGTAAACATTAACCTATTTTTGACGAAGTATATTTTTCGATAACTATAGCAATAATATAATGAAATTTGTGTAAAAGAAAGTGTAAAAATGGTATACAATTTTATTTTTATTTACCATAATTTTTTATTTTATTTCAATTTTTTAATTAGCTAATGAGGACTATCATATCCGAGCGCTGTACTGTTTAGATTATCATTTTATTGAAAAATTCAGCTGATGCAGATGATTCTCTTTGTCCCCAAATCGCTTTTAACATAATGGCCAATGAAACGAGCCCAATTAGAAACTTTAATTTATTAACTATTATTCTGCTACTATAGTCCCGCTCAGAACTATTCATTTTTTCCCATAGTTATAGTACAGAATAAGTATATGTAAAAGCCATTAATTTACCCAACTATTGGTTCTCTCTTGGATTTTCTCTAAAGCATTGCTGGTTGAATATCGTTTGTATATCGCTTTATTTTCAACAGCAAACAAATGGTTCAATTGTGGTCCCGGTCTCCTAATGGGGAATCCAATTGGCTGCTTACTAGCCACCTGCACCGCCAAATCCAGATGGTTCTTTCACAAAAAGGCCTCATAATAATCAGCTAAACCAGTAAGGATGCGCGTTAAAAAAAGCATTACGCCCATAACATTCTACATTTTCTTAAGAATTTACAGATTTAATTTTGACTAAGATATCTTGCGATAAAGATACTAAACACTAGAACGAGAAAAAAAAAGCAAAGAAGCACGCCTGACTCGTTTCGTCTTTGCTTTACGCGAATCCAAATTGCGCGTTTTTCTTTTCCTTTATCGAAAAATATTGAATTTGGAAATTTTCCGAATGCTACAGTTAATTTTCCTTCAGCAATTCGCTTAATTTTCTTTAGCATTTTATTTTTTAAATCACAAAAAAATTAAAATTTCTATTTTTATTTAATTTTTTGCGCAAATTAATATTAAAAAATTTCCATAAATATTGTTAAAAGTTGTAATGATTTGCGATTTTTATTTTTATTTCCTCGTTGTAAACGAGCGAATTTAAGAAGTATTTCAGTTGGCAACGAACAATTAAAACTATTTACTTTAAACCGAAAAGTAAATTTTTCGCTACTTTAAATTTTTAAATATTAATTTCGCTATTGCTTGCATAATAATTTAAAATAAATAACAATAAGCGTTTGTTCCTCTCTTTAATTCCTCAAACCCAGTGCGTTCTCCTTACTAGTGATCGGTCAATTGTTATTATGCTTGTGCATTGTCCTCTCAAGAAGCTCGGTATTTCCTCCAAGCATTCATCAAATGCAAGTTTTTAACACCTCAAACCTCTTTCTACCTGCGGAAACTACTGCATTTGGTTTGTTGAAATAAGCTTTTGGTGCATAAATTCTCAGTTAGAGTATTTCTAGCATTTCCTTTTCAGCAAATAAATTTAAGCTTTTTATGTAATGCCATATGGCATTGTCGATGTTGGAAAATGAATGCTTTCAGCTAGAGGAAGGTAAATCGAATTGTTGTAGCACTCTTTTGCTTCTCTCCCTTTTATTGCATATAATTACCCTATGTTTCTCTGTTACATTAATTATATAATAGTGTATGAGTAGTTGTACTTAACAAAGAAACTGAAATATTTGCAAGGGAACTTATCCTGAATTTTTCGTTCACTTTTCTCGGAGTTTTGCTCATGACAGTTGTAAGAGACAAGAAGGCGTGAGGAGATAATATAAGAAGGAGATAATAAACTACTGAAAAAATTTCCTTTAATGATCCAGTCTTCATTTACCTTTTCCTTACTCTATTACCTTTATTATTTGCTATTAATAATGCGACTAATCACTATTGTTATTTTTCTATTTAATTCCCCAATCAGATAGGAATTATTTGTGAAATTTTGCTAATTTTCATTTTTCATAATTTCTTTTTTAGGTGAAATCGAAGTTAAGAATTACAGTGGGAGAAATTCAATATTATTATTTCTGCGCATAAATGCTCTTGCTAAATGCTAAATGAACGGCAACGATACAACGAAAACCTTCGATAATCGGCGAATATCAGTTACATTGCAGTTTGGCACTTTTAGAGAAGTTCTTATTCTCGAGCGGACTGATGACCACCGGGTATTTATCGTTAACATTTTCCGTCGTACCGTGGCTGCCTTAATTTTTGCAACAAATATTCTTAATAAACTGCTCGTTTTCACTTATAATGTGTATAAAGAACTCCATTTTTTTCTCATAAAACTATTGAAATCGAAGAAATAGTATTAAATATCACAACGCTTATTCACCCAGTCTTGCGTTCGTTATTTCTGATTCGGTTCATTCTACTTTCTCGTACAAAGTCGACCAGGGAAATCACTTGGTGATAGGTGTCACCAGAAATTGCCGAATTTGTGAAAAGCAGATTTATCTTGCCAGTAGTTAGTGGGCCTCCAATACTAGTTCATCAAAAAGTGTGAATAAATGTTACAATGATGTCTAACATTATTCTTCAGCCTGAAAAAATCTTCAGAAAACAGTAGTAAATTATGCAAATTATTAACATTCCTATTGAGCTGAAACCGAAAATTCGGATTCTCATCGCTAACTTTTTATAGCATCTACGTCTACAAATCGTTTCACATTTTATTATTTACATTCCACTTTTTTTGGATATGCTTTACAGAGATTTTCAGGCTAGCATTTTCGTGACGAACATAATGGAATGGTTACTGCAATTTTTAAATCTGCCCTTTCAATTTCAATAGGCTTCTTGAGGCATATTCCACATCCCTATAAGTCATATAAGTAATCCTATCAGTAATCAGTATATTAGTAATCCTATCATATAAGATAAGAGACAGCGGTAATCTGGATATATATCCCTATTTTTAACCACCTGTGCGATTCTATCACTGATATATAAACGATCGCCAAGCAAAAAAATTCTATTTTTAGTTTAATAAATAAATAATTTATTTAAATTATTTAAATGAATTTAAGATTTTTAATTCGTTTCGCCAACGAGCAAGACAAATCGCCGAGAAACAATTCGAAGGCAAATTGGATTCATATGTTGAACTTCACCTCTTTCGGCATGATTACAATTCACCGAATATTTTACAACATCTTGGTTCACTTTCGCAATTGGTTCGCTTCTTTTACGCAATAAGCAACCAAAATTTTTTTCGTTTTAATATTTAAAAAATAACAAAAATTCTAAAATTCCAAAAAAAGTAAAAAAAACTGAATTTACTATCTTCGTTTTGTTCATAACAAACATTAATTTGCAATTTGTAATTTTTTAAAAATTGAAAAGTCTTATAAGTAATTTAATTTATTTATTCATTTATTTACCAATAATTTCATTAAATTTTCAATCAAAGTTTTCGATTAAATAATTGGCGATTTTGATTGCAACAATTCGGCAAAAGCACTTTTTTTGCCATTTTTGATGAATGAATATGTAAATTTATAAGTTCTATGAGTGCGTAAGTAAATTTATGTACTAATAAATAGGCCAAAACTACTAATGGAAGTCCCAAAAATACTTCGACGATGGCAAATAGGAATAATAAGTTTGACATTGTCAAATTGCTAATTTTAATTCCAAATTGTTTGAAAGATTCCACTTTCATTATTTTTGTCAAAATTTTGATGTTTTTTGAAAGAGAGAAAAGAGTAATTTGAATGTAAAATTCTGGAATATTATTGCATTTTTGGGATATTATTATTACTTTGCTATATAAAAATTATTATTACTTTGTCGTAAGTTGTTACAAAAAAAAAATCATTTAAACTTCTTAGTATTTGATAAATTTAAGCAAAATTCATGAAAAAATGACAAAGAATGAATGATAAAGATTTATTGAAAATATAAAATTTGTGCAGTTTTTCTTCATTTTTCGCATTTAATTAAACGTTCAAATGAACAGAAAAACGAAAAAATCAAATGAAAAAATTCAGATCCGACTAATCATATATATATTCCAAGTATTTAGGACAATGGTGGCGTGGTGGAAATTATACTCATCGATCGACATGAACGCCCTACACGACCTCATATACTTACAGTCACTTCATATAAAACACCAACTTTTTGTGATTATTGTGGCGAAATACTTGTTGGCTTAATTAAACAAGGATTGCAATGTTCAAGTTGCAGGTAAGTCTGCGTCACAACAATGAAATAACTATGAATGCCCTAAGGCATCCAATTTTACCCTTATTTTTAACACTTTGTTTTTAATAATTTTATTTTTAAATAACTTTTAAAATAGTGTAAAAATAATTTTAAAATCACTGGCAAAAGGTAAAATAGAGACTGAGGAATTTCAAATTGTGCTATATACCGAAATGAGTGATGCTTTTAGAGCCTCAAGGAAAATATCAGCTCAAACACCTATAGCCTCAAGGAAAATATTAGCTTGCGCATCTTAGTCTCATTGGCTGAGAATAATATAATATTAGAAACTGCGTTAATAATCACAACGAAATAAATTTTTTCCGATAGTCAATAATTTTTTTTTGTAGGGATATGAAGTAACATAACAGTGTTTGCCAATCAACTTAGGCTAATATGATTAGAAGTTTTGCCTTCGTTGATTTGCTGTCAGCACGATTAGATTAAAGGTTTTGAACAGTATTATCTTCCGGTTCCGCAAAATATAACAATACGATGTTTCACTCCGTTATTCAATTTGCACGTCAGTTGAAATACAACCGTGGAGGGCTTAACGATAAAGTTCGCGTCCTCCGCTTGTTTTAGACACTCTTTGATTATTTATGAACCAAATCAGTTAAAATTGAAAATTTCTCTTGCTATTGGATCTACAGTGGTACTTATTTAAATTGTAATTGCTTTATCCAGTATATTTTGAACTATGATGCGAATTGTAAATTATTTTCATTTTCATTTTTGGCTTCCCTAAAGGTTTGGTTCATTCAATTCTGTGAGATTCTCGACCACTACATTCGTTTTCATATTTTGAGGCATTTGGCAAAGAATCACATAATTTGAAATTTTCAGTCTATATTTTCAACGGTTTTCTATATTTTCATTTATTAAACATAAACATAAAAATATTCGCAATTTCATTCGCAATATCTATGATATAACGCGGATTCAATTAAATAGTTTCTCTCCTTATTTTTTTATTTATGTTATTTTAGATGTAATTTTCATAAGAAATGTGCTTTCGCACCGAGAAATAATTGCGCCAAATGTTCTATGCAGATTATGCCGTCAGGTAATTTTTATCAATAAATAATCATTTGATAAAGTACGATAGTTAATAACACACCGGTTAAAGGAAAGTAGCACGGGTTAGATTTCTGCCTCTAGGCAACAATAAACCCTAAAGTTGATATACGAATGTCTTTGTCCCTGAATGATTCCTGTCTCTAGAGAAAGAAAGTCCTATCTCTTATCTTTTAAGGCATATAAATATTCAGAGTAAAGCCAGCCAAGCTAGGAATGATAAGTGATATCAGCAAAAAAAGCCGCAAATGCGCAAAAATTTTCATGTTCATTATGAAGATACTTGTAGTGACCAACATTACTGATTTTTTAACTTCATATTTTGTTTTATATATATATTTTTATATATCCCTGTGGATAACACTTTTTGAGAAGTTTTATCAACAACTGTGAAGAAAAATCAAATTTTAAAGTTTTAGTGTAAAAGTTTTAAATTCTTAAAAGCTGAGCTAAGTCGTTAAGGAATCCTATTTTTTTTAGATGAATCGTGTTCTAATTCCGCAGCATTTGCACTACCTCATACATTAGCCATACATAATTATAAGACTTTAACATTATGTAAAGTGTGCGATAAAATGTTGATTGGCTTGGTGAAACAAGGTTTACGCTGCCGCGATTGTAAGGTAAAATTTAAAATGCTACCAATAAAATTAAAAAGCTCCTAAAATAAAGTGCAAATTAAATAAATTTCCTTGCATTATTCTTCCGTTAGTGGAAAATTTTTAGAATTTTTAACATTTGTCAACATTGGCAAAGTTATCTTAAAAAAAGGTCAAGAGCTCGTCTCGCTGAATTATCATTTATTGCTATAAAATTGAGTCCAAAATTTTTCAAAATGCAAACTAATTTGAGCTTTTCATTGACCTCAAAAAACAGGTTAATGTGCATAAACGATGTGCGGCACTATTGCCGATGAATTGTCGAGTCGCTGACGGTGGAATTACCCCTACCTTTGACCAAATGACGGTTAATGATTTTGACTCAGTCTCAGAATCCCATAGAATGAATGAGGAAATTATTAATGAAGATTCGATGATACCTCTTGCAAGATTGCCAGGTCAGTGGTTTATAATGGTTCGTCTTATTCCTCAATCATTTATCAGTTATAAATTTTCCTCGCAAAATTATATCTGTTTTTCCATTTTTTCCATTTAATTGCAAAAATTTATTTAATTTGTAATAAATGATAAGCATTTCGTAGAAGTGCAACTAAAATTCAGCGAACTGTACAATTTAGGCAATGCATCAACGCGTGCTGGTAATAGGCAACCATTAGCTGAAGGATGGATGATACACTTCATGCTTGATCAGCCAGATCGTCGTTTAAGGCATTACTGGGTTCTCAGTGGAGATTCGATTAATATGTATAATGAATATAACGATGGTTGGTTGATTTGCGAATTAATTACGTGGCTCATATAAGATACATTTTTTAAAAGAACCTTATTTCCTATTTATAATTCTATTTTAATTATAATAGCTAAGTGTACAAAAAAATGTATAAAAATTTAAAAAATTATAAAAATTATTTAAATTATATAATTATTATTATAAATTATAAAAATTAAAATTAAGATTAAATCACAATCCATATTGATTGCGTTGAAAACAATTCTTTTATTATTTAATAAAGTAAAATTAATCAAATCTGATTAAATAATTTGTAAAAATTTTAACAGTCGACGAAAATCTAAAAAAAAACAAGAAAAACATAGCTATCGAAACCTTTTCTTTCGTTTTCCTTTCTTTTTTTCCGCATAAATCGTCGTTAAACTTACTTCGTAAAAGACATAATCGTGAAAAATATTGAGTAACCGTTTCAAAATCCTTAAGGAGTTAATCCACACCGCGTATATCGCTCGATTCGACTTGGTGAAATTCTTACTTTAGCACCATATAATGGTCCTCCCATTCACCCAAGGTTTTTTTCAAATATATTTTTTTTTATATATGTCACCGTATAAGATCAAATCAATCATCAAATAAATATTGTCACTTTTTAAAAAGCTTTTGTTGCAAAAAGCAATATTTTGTCACCAAAAAAAAGTCGATGAGAAACATTGGCGATAGATCTTACAAAATTAAATTTCTGCAAATTAAGTTTTGATAAATGGAAAAAATATGAGGTGATGAAAGCAAACCAGTTTTCGAGGTTTATTTACTAGCGGTCAAAATTTGCCATTGTTCTTTTTCACTTATTCTTGTGGTTCAGTAATGTCACGTAAATGACATTTGCAACCTTGCGTGCGTCACCTTGCATCACGAATTAATAGTTAATAATGCAGCAAAGTAATGATTAAAGCAGTGTATCCAAATGTGAAGAAGTGATTATCGAAATCTGGGAATGTTTTCAGCTTCAAAAATCCGGTAGATTTTCAAAAAACCGATAAAGATTTTGTGAGTTTCACAGTCGAAGCTGGCCCAAAACAAACAATGGATGGAAAAGCTAAGAAAATATAGATTAAGTTAGTTATAACGGGCAATCAGGTCATGCGTGGGTCAAAGGTCGGTTTCCTATCAATTCCAAAGAGTCTTCAACGATCTGCGCTATGTGCTTCGCTTCTTTTTAAATAGGAAGAAGAACAATTTTTGGCTGTTTGTTGGTAGGGGGAATAAAGGTAACAAATCATTAATAGCTATTTAAGCCTGATCACCGAAAACGCGCGTCAAAAAAGATATTTGGCTGGGAATCTCATTTCATATTTTTTTGATATTAATCCTTCTAATTTCCATCAGTTCAGATTTCTGGAGCAATATTTGATGGAATTCCTTCAATGACTTAAAAAATAACATGGAAAAATGTCCCAAATCCAAGGAAATAACTTCTAAAAAATGGAATCCGAGAGTTTTTAGATTTAGAAAATGATTTACTAGTTTTATTTTTTTGATAATATTTATTTGATGAAATTTGATTGTTGATATTAAACGTAGACTCCTGCGAACATTTTTTAAAATTTATTTTGAAATAATTCCTGAGAGAATTTCTAAGAGAACTTCTTTTCAGTTATCCTCCACATCATTTCGAAATAAGAACAAAATCACATATGATTTATTGCGTTGGTGAAAATCTTGAAGCTTATGGTGCACCTCCATCAAAAGTTCCAAGATTCGCGGAATGTAGGCCAGTATCGAGTGCAACAATGTGGTTTCGAGTAAATTATTGCATTTTAATATCTAGCACAATTTCGCACATTTTTTCGGATTAAGAATCGCAGTGGAAAAAATTTTTGCAGGTCCTGCAACATTCCCTACAGCCGCCACCCTCACGTCATGATAGCCTGAATATGGAACCTGCACTTGAATTCTCTGAGATGTATCAGGTAAATTTATAAACCTTATTTGCCTAAAATGGTGACTGGTCACTTTATAAAATTTTTGTAGATGAAAATGGAATAATAATAAGGAATAGTAATAAAATTACTACCGAATTACTAGGTATTACTGAAATATGGAGAAGTGATTTTTCAGATAAACCGGGATCAAACCTTAGGATCCGGTCAATTCGGTGTGGTTTTTGGCGGTGTACATAGACAAAGTGGACGAGAAGTTGCAATTAAGGTTACTTCTTGCAATGTTTCTCAAACATATAACTCCTTATTTTATATATTAATCTATTTATGCCTTAAAAGTTAATATTCTGATAATTATGAAAAAACATCTCCAGAAATTAAAATTTCTTTATCATTTTTGTTATCGTTTTATCATTTTAAATGTTTTAGATGGAAATTGCATATTCTAGGTGATCGAAAAAGATAGATTTTCAAAAAGATCAGCGGCAGGTATTGAAACTTTACGAAGCGAAGTCTCTATATTACAAGCTATTAGCCACAAAGGAATCATTCGACTCGAATCTATGTTTGAAACTAAAGAAAAAATTTTCGTAGTTATGGAAAAAATGAATGGCGATATGCTTGAAATGATACTCAGCCAGGTAAATTTGGTTATAAGGAATCGTCTTGGTGTGATTAATTTTTTTTTTTTTTCCATTTGTGGTTTAGTTGGCTAGGCCACCTGGCTGAAACCATGCGGCAATGAGGCAATGAGTTGCTGGCAAATGGAGATTTCGGTTGAGACTTTTAATGGTCCTGGCAATGGCCTCAACCGAAGAATATAAGAACTATTCGACCATCGCTAACAACTTAAATAGAACCAATAAAACAACTCAGTGAAGCAAAATAGCTGAGAGCAATATTATTTTCACCTAAAATCTAGAATAGGTTAGATCCATATTTGTAAAATATAATCGATGACAGCATTGGAGCGAAATGTCAGCTGCATGAAGAAAATTCCGTACAAATTCCATGCAAATTTTATTTAGGCTACTGGTCGACTTGACGAACGTACAACGAAATTCTTAATCATGCAGATTTTATGTGCCCTGAGATATTTGCACGGTCAAGGCATAGCTCACTGCGATCTCAAACCAGAAAATGTGCTTTTATCCGATTTTAGCGCTTTTCCTCAAACCAAATTATGTGATTTTGGTTATGCTCGATTTATTGGTGATGCACAGTTCAGGTTGTGGTCTTTCTTTACGTATTTTATTGGTTAATATTTAGCTAGGACAATATTTCAACCTAAAATTTACCAGTATTCTATCTAGTATCTATCAGTACCAATTGTCGCATTAACAATCTTTTCACTTTGTGGATGCAAGGATTGATCGCATTGGTTCTATTTATGCATAATTTGTGGCAAAATTTTACTTGAAATCCAAGATTCATCAGATATTAACGTATGATATTTTAGGAAAACTATCGTTGGTACACCAGCTTATTTGGCACCTGAAGTGTTACAAAAGAGAGGTATCTAAAATTCCGTAATTTATACATTTCACTAAAATGTATAATATTTGGTGCTAATAAAACATTGATGAAGACAACACTTCTAGGGTATAATCGATCACTGGATATGTGGTCAGTTGGTGTGATTATTTATGTCACCTTAAGTGGAACATTTCCCTTCAATGAAGGTGAAGAAATCATAGATCAGATTCAGAATGCAGCATTTATGTTCCCAGCGGATCCTTGGAGCACAATTTCCAAAGAAGCTATTGGTCTAATTCAAAGCCTTTTAAGAGTTGAGGTAAGTTGGATGCTTTCAAAATCTAAAACGAAATTGCCGAAATTGACTAAAAATGGGTCCCTATGCTAGTTTCCTAGATTTTGCTTTTTCACATAATTCACCAATGAACTGAGTCCATTCATCCATCCCAAATTGTTTTCAAATCTAATATGGTCCATTTCTTATCAATTTTGTTTCGATAATTCCATTGTTCTGAAATCTTTAGTAAAGTTCGTACTGTAGATCGATAAACGCTTAACCATCGACGAATGCTTCGATCATTCTTGGTTACAAGATGCGCAAGTTTATAGTGATTTAAGAAGGCTGGAATTAAGAATTGATGGAGGGCGATATTTAACCAGTGAAAAGGACGACAAGAAATTCGGAGTGACAAATCCATGAAAATAATCGCTTAATATGCAATTGAAATGACTGAACTTGTAATTTGATTGCGTTTGCTCTGCTATTTATATTTATTTATTTATATTTATTTTACAATGTTTTACAATTATATTTACTCGAATTTGTGCAAAAAAAATTAATTTTTACTTTATTATAAAAGACTCAATATGGGCAGATAAACAGTTGCAACTTTTGACAATATACTACATTCAAAATCCGGTGAGCTTCTTCCATGCAAAAAAATTCATGCAAAAGCCGAAACACTTATTTCAATACATCTATGTTTTCAGTGCGTGTTATCAGTGATAACAGTGTTTAATGCTTGCAAATCTGTCATAATTGGAATTAAATCCATTCAAAAGATATAAGCTTAAAAGTGATACAAAGCTTTTTGTTATCGGTGTTTGGTGGGAAAAGTTCTTATATCTTCCTATTCAATTTATATTGTTTACTGTGTTTTAAAATGTTCTAAACAACTTTTCCAGGATCCAGAAGAATTCTCAAATGGCTTTTCTGGACCTCATTTCATTAATTCATTGTATTTTTTAGGATTTCATTTTATTAACAATGATAATAAAACAATAATTTGTTGCGGGTTACATTTGTTTTATTTCTTTCTCCTTTTGCATTTTTTTTTCAATTTTATTCGTATTTCGTTCATAATTTATTTGTGAAACCCAAGGATAATAAATAAAGACAACTATAAAATCATTCATTCCCTCCACTGAATCTGATATAAATTTCTAAATTTATTTGTGATAAATGATTTTAAAAATGAGAAGGAAAAGTTAAGAAAATGTTAAATATAAACCATTGATAATTGATTATTATAAATTTAATTCGTTGATAACCAAATTGAAATACTTTCGTTTCGATATCATATCATGAAATAATAAAGAAAAATAACTTTAATACCGGTGTATGTATCCATTGGCTGCTGGACATTAGGCAAATTAGGCAGCCAAACACTTCTATTTTGTTCATTTTTGCACAATCTACTGATCATTAATAAAAATAAATAATATAAATAAAGAATTTGCTTATCGTAAAAATTATGCATAAAGATTCTTCATAACTTTTATTTGATTAAAACATGGAATAAGAATAAGAATTAGAAAAAAATATGTAAAAAATATCTTGAAACTTGGGGAGCAGAATGATTCAGTGGGCTATTGCTCGTTCGTAGCGCCGATGCTGAGGTTCTACTGTCCAAAGAGTAAACCTGCCCAAAAATCCAGGAGATACAACGACTTATCCGTGCTCCTATGCCAGTGAATTTTCTGTCAGTTTTGTTTTTTTTTTGCATGTCCAGTGCGACAAGCTAGCGAAGCGAATCTAACCAGCAACGGCGATGGCCCAAAAAAAAAAATCCAAAATTTAACTACATCTTAAAATAAATCATAAAATTACTTAAAGAAACTGAGGCCAAAAGCCAAATATTATGAGGGATTTCTTCGGATATATCGAATCACTTTAAATTGCAAAGATGGGCTATTCTTCATTCAAAAGCTGGGATCAAACCGCGAGACGATCTGATAGGATCAGAAGCGACTTTTAACGATTCAGCGATATATGGTAGAGCAGAAGGTAGTTCCTGAGCCTCGGCTGAACCACCTCATCGGACATCACATGTGGCTTCAGATCGATAAGCTTGGAAACACCTTACTTAATACAGTTCAGTATGATTCAGATAATAACAACAAAATATCACAAACTTTAATCAATGAATGGATAAAAAAAAATATTACAAATAAAAGAATTAAGAATGCAGAATTTACCAAACCATTTAAGAATTGATGATGAGCCAAATATTTTCTTGCGAAGGTATGCATGCAATTTGTTTCTGTTCTGCATCATAATATTTCTCAACAAAAGCAGTTAGCCGACCAAAAATCTACAAGCAAAAATTTTAGCCTCAATAGAATTTATTTTTATTTTGATTTTGCGAAATTTTGCCTTTTACTTTAAAGTTTTACTTTAAAAAACCACAAAAGACATAATATAAAATAATATAATATAATATAATAATAGAAGATTCACATCAGCTATGCGCTTCTTTATTGGCTGTAGCAAAATATCTTCTGTATCTTTTACACCAATATACAAATCGAAAGACGAACGGATCTAAAAAAAATTAATAGCATTAAAATTTTCCAAAAATAATTATCGTTTAACGTCTGATTTTGAAAATTATATGAGCCATGTTATTAGAAATTTTCCTAACAGGTCTACATAAATAAATAGTCCAATGATAAAGAATGCGAAAGAAATCCATGAAAACTTTACGAAATATACTTGAAAATCTACCTCTGGCCAACAGTGTTTTAATTTTCGACTGGCTTGACCAGCAATATCTTGCAGATTATTCGGCTTGAGAAAATCTAATTTTGAAATATCGAAATCAGGTTCAGCTGCCTATAATATCAAATGAGCAGAGTACTAACCATTTATATTTGCAAAATAATACAAAGAAATAATATGAATTAAACCATAAAAAATATACCATAGCCTCAAACTTGTTGACATAATCTACAACTTCAGAAATAAAGATATCTGCGGTGTGTTGTATGAGAGCATGACAATGTTTCTTAAGTTGAAGATCGATTATACGACGACTATCACCTGATGATTCAGAAACTGCTATTGGAACCTTAAGAATAATTAGAGATTAAAATATTAATAATATTAAAATATCAAACAATATTACAAACAATATTATGCCTCTCTTTTAAGATAAATAAAAAAGAATATTTAAAAATAAAAATAAAAAAATAATAAAAAACTGTATAAAACTTATATAAAACTGTAAATAATAAAAATTATAAATAAATATTATAAAAAATATAAACGAGCCTGGAATAAAAGTTCCAAGAAGGCGTTGTTAGAAGTCAGTTCGAACCATCTCTGCCTTTCAAATAGCAAATGTGAAGCAGATTTCTTGTACTTTCCCAAATCCCATGAATAAGCACGTTCTGGAATCATATCAGTAGAGAATAGCCCTAAAAAAATTTAAACAGTTAACATTTCTGAAAATAAAGTGAACTTCAGACGCAATAATATGGCAAAAGCACCAAAAGCATAGCAACATTTTCTTAAACTATCACTTCATTATTGTAATCAATGATTCTTAAATTGATTCCTAAATTGATTATACTTGTTAGAAGAAGAAGAAACCTGAGGCAGTTGCCCTGTAAGGGCTCGTTTGTTCTCGAAGAATAAGCAGATGTTTAACTATAAAAAGATCAGCATCAAGTTGACGTTGACTTCGAGAAGTTTGTTTAGTATTGGTCGTTTTGATTGATTCAGAAGCATATTCTAATGATTCACAACATGCCTTTAAAAGATCACGCGCGATGCTTTGGAAAACTACTGACTGAAAATATTGAATCCTTACAAATGCAAGGAGAATTACAATATGAAAATTGAATTCATCGATAATTTGGTAATGAACATCAAATTATTAATTGTGCAAGTAATACCAAAAATTTTTACTAGAATTCCCAAAAAATATGGAAAAATATTAATCATGAAATCAAAATCAATTTTCGTACAAAATGAATAAAAATCACTTCGAGACATTTGAACAGTTTTGACAAACATACGACTGATCTGCTCACTGTAGGATACCACAAACAATGAAGATCGACTACTGAAATTGTAGTCAATGTGCTGGTTACCGCACCAGTCTAAAATTAATGCAATAATGCGCAAACAATATGAGTTATAATCGCAATGGATGTCTTAAAGTGTTCATGGTGTAATTCCCCTTGTATTTGAAAATAGAAAGAATTGATCAAAACATTTTTAATCACACGATATGAAAAAACCGTTTCATTGAAATATTACACAACATCACTTGCTTATATAATAATGAAAAGTTCATTTTGAAAAAAATAATTTAAAAGAATTAAAATTAACCTCGGTAGCATGCTCTCTTTCTATTTTTTTCATCATTAAAAGTTTATCTGGATAAGCCAAATCACCGCTAGATGGATTAAATCCAATTATATCGCTCTGGATATACAGCGAAGTCCTAGAAAAAACTTAAAATTTGAAACAATATGGGAATTTTGCTACAAAATTCATATTTACGAAATAAGTCAAATTTGACACCTGTAAACTATTCTTTCAGCAATATCGCCAACGAGCTCATTCATCACACGCATAAAACCACTGCGAGGATTTACTGAAAATTTATTAACTCTTGCTTCATTCGTTATAGCAGCATCATCTTCCACTCTTGTTTTTGCCATTGATATCATCAAACCACATCGTTTTTCGATCATTTCAACCTGCAGAAAAATCTAATTGGTTGGATAAGTTGAATAGACTATATCTTTCCAAAAATTAAAATTATTGAGAAAATGAAATCAATGAATAACAAGATACTTTTAATATTGTACAAAGTTCTGCCAGAGTTTCCAAATGCGGATTATGTATAATTATTGGGCGAAGAACATCGTAAAATATACGACATAATGACTCGATAAACTCGTCAAAAGAATTAACGGAAGAAATAAAAGGATTGAAGACTGCTTTTGTTACAGGACTTGACAGAGATGAATGTGAAGAAGTATCTGTAAAATATTTAATTTTAGGAGAATTTCAAAAAAATTTTAAACCCAGAAATTTGAAATTCGCCATATTTTTTTAAAGATATTTTCTTTGAAGTTAGAAACAGCAGTGATAAAATCGCTTAAAAACTACGAAATTAAAAAACCTCAAACTAGAAATAACCTTCTAAGTTGAAAAACTGTTTGTATAGCCTAAATTCATCATCACATAAACGCAAAAGAAATGCACATCCATTCCGAGTTAATGCACATGAACTGTCAGAGTTTCGACTGAAAGAACAAAAAATACTACTTGAATCATTTGAATTTAATAAGAAAAGTTATCATCGGATTTCTTTTTTGAAGAAAATGGCATATCGCCAATATTTTACTAGAAAGAACCAGGCGAAAAAAAAGAAAAATACTAAAGGAAAATATATACATTTATAATATATTTACAGTATGCTTATATTTATTACAATAAAAATAGGCAAAGAAACCTCAATAGTTGTTCAATTGTCTTCTGCAAAACAGGTTCAACCAACTGACGACGAATATTGAAATAAGCCTGCTGACAGTCAAATGCCATAGACTGGAATTCGGCTAACTGAGCAAAGCGTTGTTCGGCAATAATGATTGAAGACTGCACAGAAGCAGCACGAACAGCAAAAACACCATAGAGTAAAGCAAATTCATCTTCATCATTATTCTGACCTAAATGAACCTAAATAACTTCAAAAATTCTAGAATTTATAAAAAAAGAAAATATTTATTTGTTTCTTAAACTGATATTATTTATCTTAAACTGATATAATGTAATTATAATTATTTTATGAAAGAAACTTACTATCAGCATCAAGCAACGACTGGCGATCTCGAACAGCGTTATAACAAGCTTCAAGATCCAATATCACTCCAGTTCGTATAGCAGTGATCGCTCTGAAAAATGCTTAAATCTATTATAATTTGATGTAACTATAATTCACGCGTTAATTTCCATTTTTTTTACAACAATAAAAGGCTATAAACGCTTACTTGGAAAGGCATTGTTCATATTTAGTGATATATACAGAAGAATCTTTGTAGTGTGGATGATTATGTAAGAAAGTCAGACATTCATCAATTGTGGCTAAAAGTTGCATAAATGACTGGTTGGTAACTGCTAACTTTCCCGAAATGAGTTTCTGAAAATGCCAAATTAAAGGACAATAATTCAAATTTGTAATGATTATTTGAGAATAATTTTTTAACATGGCAACCATTTTTTTCAAAATATTTTGGGCAAACATTTACTTTCATAATAATATCACATTGCGTATAATAATAAAGATTGGCACGAATTTGCTCCGCGCCAGCAGCAATTTGTGTCTGATGCGCCATCATTCGATCACATACATTATGTAGTGACGATGTTTGTTCAGTTACTGCATCGTAATTCGAAATCAAATCGTTCATAGTCTGAGAAAAATTTTTTTAAAAAAAAAAATCCACTCTTCAAATTGTTTTCAAATTGTTTATTAAGGCAATAATAGCGAAAATTATATGCAAATAAATAATAAATTTAATAAATGCATAATTGAAACACAGTAAAAATTTTTAAAAAATTATTACAAATTACAAATATTCATAAAATATAACTAACAAACATTTTTACCCAACCTAACAAAACTAAACTGAATAAAAATATTCGAATTAGTGGTATCTGACTTACTTGAAATAAAAATTTTAAACCTGTTTACAAGCCTCGTATCGTTCTTTCAACAAATTCATTCGCTTCAAGCATTGCCTCAGCGAAGTAATGTTGTTATTTTCATCTGATGCTTCAGCTGATGCATTTTCTTTTTCATTTCCATAAAGATCAGTCAAATAACTAAAAATAAATATGGAATAAATATGATCTCATCAAAGTGTAAAATATCATTAATCAATTAATTAAATCGAGAGATTTGTCATAAATTTGTCGAACTGACGAAAAAAAATTATATTTTAACGTCTAAAACCATAGTCATAACGTATAAATATGAATCATTTATCGATATAGAAATTTTATATTATTGATACGACACCATTTGAGCAGACCGAACCACCATCTCCATATTTATAATCCATCTCCACAGTATTCGAGTGCCAATACAGGAAGAGAATTGGGGAAAACAGGTTAAACAAGCGAGAATTTGTTGCAACAAATCCATCGATAAAAAACCAAATTAAAAATTAAGCGTCCCGCGAAATTATTCACCAAATTCATTTCTGGCGCTTAAAAGATGTGCCACTTTCTCATCAATCATAAACTGATAAAAATATGTGATAAATGTGATAAGTGATGAAAAATGCGGAAAATAAGAATATAATAAAAAGCAAAAAAACCAACTCAAACAACTGACGAATATTCAGTATATTATCGCTTTTTTCGCTTTCATCGCCACTATGGTTATCAGCAGTATCTGCTTTCCTATTACCTGGTAATAATAATAATTAAGTAAAAGGAAGTGAATGAAAATAAAAGAAGCTAAGATTGCTTGCAAAACTCAGAAGATGAAGAGAGAGCCGAATTTTCAAAATCCCCCCACTCGCAGCCTTCGACGGAATTAAAGCAAACATCGAAAATGAGATGCATATGGCCGCTGTGAACCCACTCGCACACTCGCCCCGAAACGAATCCCCGCAAAATTTTTCGCGCAAAATAAAGAAGAAAAATGGGAAAAAAGAAATACTTTCAGGAAGTGCATAATTCGCTGCTTTCGCTGCTAATAGTGAAACTGTTCGTTTATGAAGTTCCCTCAAATCATCCATTATTTAATACTTGCCATTCAATAATCAAATAATTTTAATATTCAAAATCTACAGATTCCACAATATCTTTTTAAGACCAAAATCATCGTAAGATACAGCGTTATATTTATTTTAGGAAGAGTTTATGAAATGTGAAAATATGAAAGAACAAGTGAGAATTTTTATGAGATTCATCTGTTTCTTCTAGGAATGAATAGCATTGCCGCTTAGGTCAGTTATGTTGCCTTCAAACTTGTTTCCAAGCCTATGGATATATGAAAATCGATATCGAAAACAATAGATACTATTCATTTTTGCGCAATGCCCGAGGCTGAGGCCAGTTCCAAATATTGAATTGAACAAATAACCTTCTTCTTCTAATAGCTCACACCATTGCCTGCAATGGCTACAAAGGTAAGGCGCTTCCAAGCTGCGCGGTCTGATGCCATTGTCGATAGTAATAGAAGCCATTCGTTGCTATTATGATTCATCGTTCGTAAGAATTTACTCAGCATTAGAAATACAAATGGGTACCTCTGGGACCTTTTAATGATTTTTCATTCTTATCAGGGTACTGGATGTGAGTGGAAGTAACCAAGAACACCATTCTATTCAATACGGTTACCAATTAATCCCACTTATTGCGAACCGAAAACAAAAATATTAATAAGGATCCAAGTGGAACAACAAAGGCCTTAAATAGTCTTTCCTGTCCTTCAAGAAGTACCAAAATTTAGGTTAGAAACTCAGTTGAATTTTTCATTTTTGTTAGAGAAAAGTTATACAGTAAAGAAGTGAAGTGTTTTACAGCAATTATTATTGTTGTAACATTGCTTATGAGATAACAAATTAAATTAAAGCATATTTTATAAAAAAAATCAACTTTAAAACGATGAAAAAATATTGGCAAAATTTAAATTTATTTATTGTTTCATGGAAATAGAAAGAGAAAAAGAAGAAATATTCAGTCGCCGCAAAAATGCAATTTTCCCTAATAAATCCATGGGCATGAAAAAATTTCAGTGAAAATAATGTTCGTACCACGCGACAAGGAACATTAAAATAAATCCGGAAAGAAATCCAATCGACTGTAAAATTAAAGTTAAATACCATGGATCATCGCAAATCGTTCGTTTCAGGTGAATAAGCTGAAAAGTTTTTTTTAATTTCTAAAAATATTTTTTGTGAGAAAAAATATTTTGATTAGATTTCATCTAAAAAAGATATTTATTCAAATTAAATAGTTTTTATCGAATTTAAAAGTAATTAAGAGCGGTTGAAATTTTATTTGAATTAATTTTAAACATCTCAATATTAAATTTCAATATTAAATCAAAAAAGTTTAATTTAAATGAACGGCAAACCATTTCAATCCAAGCAATATAGAGAAATATTGCCGCTGTGACAGCTAATAAAATTTCGACAGCATTATCGATAGCAATCGCAGCCAAACCAATAAAGAGACCAGCAAAGGCTGTCAATGCGGAAAGAAAGTTTAGAGTTATAGCTTTCGGTATGGACAAACCACTTTCGATAAGTACAATGAAATCTCCTGAAAAATGAATGAATCCTGAGTGAAAGCCAGGAAAACACCAGAAGCTCATTAAAATATGTACTAATATCCAAAAAAATACCAGTTTCACCTACCAACTTCATGCGGTAATTCGTGAAAAATAACTGCCAGGCTAGTGGATACCCCAAGAGTAAATGACATAGCGAAGCTTGCACCAACTGCAATTCCATCAATAAAATTGTGAAGGGCATCACCGAGAAGTATTGTAATTGCAACTGTCTTCAGGCCACAAAATATAACTGGTTTATCTTCTAAGCTCAAAGTAGCATTCCTTTTAGAACTGAAAAAAAAGTATTTTATATCTCTAAAATTTCTATATATTTTTATATATTTTATATTAGCATTCTATTTTAGATTCCTAAAATTTCTTTTACTTTAATGAATTATTTTTCGACGAAAGTAAATACTTTGCATTTCGTGTTATTGTAACTTCGTGCGCAAAGCATCCGTCAATTCTCTGAACTGCTATCAAGTTATCATCGATTTTCTGAAAAAACTAGTATCATTGGCTATTAGTATATATGACGTTTTTGCTATGAAGTCACTTGCTGATAGAAGTACCGCCGAGGTTTCTTAAAGGCTCCTGCAGGGAGCGAATTATTATGGTCTTAATCGGCAGTTTGAGCCACAGTTCACTCGACTATCCCGTCCCGTAAATAAATAAATAAGCTATTAGTAGGCAATTAATTGAAATAATTGAAATGATATATGCTATTTTAATTATATAATATAATATAATATTAAACAAATAAAAGAAAGTTTCAATTACAAATTGTAAGTGCAATAAATAGCCAGTAAAATAGCCATTAAATTTCTATGAAAGGCAATATACGTTTGATCCTGGAATCGATTTCCTATAAATTTACTTAACCAAAACGTAAATTTCTTTAGGCTTACATTTTGTTCGTTTACAAATGCATTGTTTGCTGCAAATTCTAATGCGTACATGAGAAAATATGTTATCAAAATGATCGACAAACGCAATGTGACATCGCGATTTCTCTTTATATCATCCTAAAATTAAAACTTTTTTTGATAAATTCATTAAATTACGGTGAATTTCATATTTCGGTTCCAAAAATTTTAGTCCAACACTTGTTGTTTAGGGAAATATTGAAAAAAATTTTTTACACAACCTTAAAACTCAAACGAAAACGAAATATGATAAAACTTCTTGCAAATGATTTCCTGAATGGTTACACTATGGTATGTAAAGTGACTGTGGCCATGCCTTGAACTGCTGCGTCTATGGCTTTCAGAATATATGTGTGCATGGTTGCCTAAACAGCTGCGATCAGATTTATTGAAATGGTTGTGACTCTGATGCACTGAATTACTGCGATCCTGGTATTCTGAGTTTCTATGACCGTGGTGATCAGAATGGCTTTTCTCATGATGTTCTGAATGGTTGTGTGCATGTTCATTCGCTGTTCCACTTTCCGCTGCTAATGTTGCAAGTTTGTTACTTTTGCTAGAATGAAGTTGAAGATGATTGCAAGAATTACTATGAATTTCACCACCATAAAAATAACCATGGCTATGCCTATGCACACGCATCATCTAAAACAAAGAATTACTGTAAATTTTTTATTTAAAATTTTTTATTAAAGCTATTTTTCTTAAAAATATCGTTCTTTATAAAAAATTTTCAAAAACTTATTACCAAGAGACCATTTGTCATTTAATCAAAATTTTTGGTTAATTTAATTTTCATGGAAAATTACTCGAATTTATCGTAAATTATGAAACCTACCAAAGGAATTATATGAAGAATGGTGTCAGCACTTAATGTGGATATTGCCAATGCTATAAATATATTCATATACCGATTTCGACCTCTTTTTTTAAGTAGGGGAATCGTAAAAACTCCACTTAATGATGACAACGATATGAGTGATATGGAAATAATTCCATAAATGATAGCTGCAATAAAAAATAATTCACAATTTCAAGACTAATTTGTGGTGGCCGGCAGTACCAATCTTATCAGTGATCAGGTGCATATTTTTAAAAGAATTATCTCGATAAAGTGCAGAAATGAAGGTCTACAAGAAAACACATTCAAAGTGTGCAAGATTTCTGTGCCTTCGCGAAATTTTACAAAATTTTGAAAAAATGAAAAATTCTGAAATAATTTTTTGAACTTAACACCTTGACGATTTTCGAAGACCATTTTGAACTGAGAATTATTCCAGTTTCTTTTTTTCTTCCAGAAGTTTTGAATCGTCCTTAGGCGTTGTTTTTCCAGAAATTCAGAATTTTATCAAAAAATTGAATGCTAAAAATGCTAAAAATTGCTCCTATAACAGTGATAATACAAACATAAAAATTAAACAATTTAAACGATTAAAACCAAAAATAATGAAGGTTTTCGAATTCACTCGAAAAGTTAATGGAAAATCTCAAAATTCTCGAAATTTATTCCCTATAAACATACGAATTTTAAGAATTTTAAAATATAAACTTAGTGAACTAATTTAATAGATCTACAAATTTTACTAATAATTGTCGATTAATTATGAATAGAAGTTATTTAAAAAGAGATTTTCTATATGGACCGGTATTATCTTAACAGGCATACACCTAATACACACCCAAGTCTAACTTTGAAGGCTCATTCCATTCACGCAAAACCATACCCGTATGGTTCAGTGACCTCTTGCACAGTTACTAGAAAACAAGCACTGGGAGAATTGTGTTGGCGGTAACAAATGGGAGAGGAATGGAGGCAAAGATCTGTGACCATTTTAAAAATTGTTAATCATTCTTAAAAGCGAGGAGAAAAGGTGCGATAAGATTCCCGCAAAAATGTGGTATGTCGATGTGCCCAACTTAGTGCTGAGGTGAATTTATTCGAATATTTTATTTGCTTTGTAGTTTGGTGCATATCGAATAAAATTAATTTTTATTCGATATCTGCTATTGATTCTACTAAACCAATTCCTAGGGATGTAAATAACTTATGGCTGTGAAATTTTAATTATAGTTGTGGAAGCGCATGGATTCATCCTTTTTCTTCCTTAACATATAAACCAGTCAAATCAGTAACACTGATAAGAGTTCCACTAGATAAGAATTATCATAATCTACAATCATTTGGTGCTTTTAAAGACCATATCATATCATATGAAATTCTCGAAGCCGACCAAACATATATAATCAAAAGGTATAAATACAATAAATTTATGTGAAATTTCTTAGCAAAGAAACTTTTCCTTTTAAAATGAACTTATTTAAAGTCATCAAATGCAATGAATTCTTTCATTTGACCGAAAAAATTTCAGTTCGCTTATCGAATTGTAAATTGCAATAGAGAACTGATAATTTCAGATAAACTAAAAAAATTAGGTAGGAAACTTGTCAATAAACAGAAAAGAAGCGAAAAAATTGGCCATTACCTTTGGCACCAAAAAATTTTTAAAGTTTGCCAAATTGGCCAAAAAATTTAGATTACTGTATTGCAGAGAAGCAGTTGCATAATTGCTTATCAAAAGAAACTATATTTTAAATTTTAAATAATATATTTTTATTCACAAAATTTTCGCGCATTATGCAGAGATTTATAATTTGTGGTGGAAAAGGAAGACTCTTTGAAGTCGTTTTTGCAAGAGCCTCAAACGATTTATTTATGTGACAAAACACTCCGTAAATTTTCTTCAATTTTTGCAGAATTTCTATATAAGGAGAACATATGGAATGGTTGAACTTTTTTAAATACAGTATTTTAATGGTACAGTGGTACCGCCTTTTGGATTAACAATCTCTAATTACAGTAACCTCCTGCTTTCCTAATTTTTAACCTTATTTCTCTTTTATATAAATTGTGGAATTAGGAAAACAAACGATTATCACCAAACCGCTAGGCCATTAAATAATCTTCGTACAAATATTGATTTGGAAATCATCCAGGAGATTTCATTACTGAATACAAATAGCTTATTGTAAAACCTCATTTTATCTTTCCCTGGTTATTCCTATTAATAAATATTCTATCGACTTTTCATCCATTCTAGTTTGAAAGTTTACGGAGTGTTTTAGTCGGACAAATGGGTATTTCGACATTAATTAAAAGTTTAATAGATACAATTTGTTTATTAGAATTAAGAACATTAGAATTTTAGAATTAGAATTTTCTTCATCGTTTTCTTATTCTTTTCAATTTGATTTTACAGGTACTGTGGTACCGCCTTTCGGCCAAATTTTATAAAATTCAGAAAATTGCTTCAAAGAAGTCGAAAGAAAAATTTATTCCCCGTTTTTCTTTAAAATTTCAACATTTCATTGATCTGCCAGTGATAATTGTATTATTTGATTGGGATTTATTTGACCAATCAAGATAGTTCCATCGTCTGATACAGCCAAACTGTGAGCATTCTCTATTCCCTTAAATGATTAATCCTTTACAATAAAGGAGTTTTTTGATATTCTGCGGCACAAAAAATTTAAAAATTTATCTGTTCGACTTTATTTTATATTAAAATATATTAAATAAAGGTAGCGAGGAGGAGGGGAGGGGGGATGAGGAAATAGGAAATAGTAGTAAGTATAAGTACCTTCGCGAAAGTATTCACGTGGCCATTATCCATGTCGACTACAAAAACTTGTGGTTCAATATCTTCGCCATTTGATCCAGTTACACCAACCAAATAATGATCTATAATAAGAAAATTGCACGAGTTTCAATTATTTCTACCACAGTCATCAAATATAATTTTATTGAAACTGATAAGGCTGATTAATCTTGGTTATTTCTTAAGTTCTTAACACTTCATAAGTATAGTATTTATTATTTATGAATTATGTCGCTATCATTTCTAATAAAATAAATATGTAAATTTTTCAATTCAAATTAGTTGTTTATTTTAGTAACAGAAAATCAGTTCAGAATAGTTATTTAAGGATAATCTGAGCCAAAGCCTTTACTTTTTTCCCGAATTGCATAGACTGGACCAATATTCTCGGCTTTTGTAATTGGCTTACCAATCCTGCCTGCAGGAGTTATAGGTCCACCTATTAGCCCTGCAGCAAAACATTCGATACGGTTATTTTCACGATCTGCCACACAAAGCATATTCAAATCTTCTATGAGAGCGATCGAATGTGGAACTCGAAAATTGCTTTCTGAAGTATGTTTCAAGTGTTCTATATTTTTTAATGATTAAAAAAAGAGGATTTCAAGAAAATGAAAAGAGGCATAAGAAATTTCAGGCTATACTGTTGATTAAAAGTTTGCTCTTAGCGTGGTGGCCAAGCAATGCAGATTCGATTCTTGTCTTCGAGAGGAGGAAACATTCTACAATCTCAATTTTTAAAAAAACCTATCTAATTTATAAAGTCATACAAAGTTTTTTACTAGTTTTGAACTTACCAAATGAAGCAACAAACTTTCCGCTTTTGTTGAATTTCATTATACGAGCATTGCAATAGCCATCAGCAACAAAAAAATCTCCGTTCGATGCAATAGCAACATCAGTTGGCATACAAAAATGGTCGTTGTCTGAGCCAGGTACCAACTTTTCACCAAGTTCCAACAAGAGATTATAATCCTTATCGAATTTCATAACCTCAAATTAAAGCTTCGTATATTGAACTTTCGTAAATTTTTAGAATAAATAAATATAATTGATAAAATTATCACTTCATATGCATTAAAAAAATCATTACTTGGTGACGACCAACATCAGTGACCCAACTATTGCCTTCCTGGTCAACACTTAGCCCATGAGGCATATAAAATATATTTTTACCATATTCTCCTATTACTCCACCAGTTTTATTGATGACATAGATCGTGTTAGCATTAATTGGACCCAAGTTACTGTTGAATTTGTTTGATCTCCCAAATGAGCTATAATTTATGTATAATATATTTAAGTCTTAACAGTAGCTATTTTTAGATAATTTTTAAATACACTCAGTATACCTCATAGCATTTTAGCATACCTTAGATCCCATATCCGATCCGCGCGGTGAAATGCGACCAAGTCTCCCTTCGAATTCACTCCCAAGCCAGAAACTTGACCAATTGGCTTCGAAACTGGCAATAAGTAAAGCTAAAATATTTTAATGCTTTTTAGCTTAAAATCCATCCGCCCTACAGTAGTATTGTTTCTTAAGTAGAAATTAGAAAATCAATTTTCTACTCTATATTTTATAATTAAATGTTATTAAACTGGATAGTTATATGCTGCTGGCCATGGCAAACCCATAAATTCAATTCCTAATTCCTAATAATTCTTTGTAAAAGTCACTCATCAAATAGTGGAATTCACGCAGTGCCAGTGATGGACCTTCCCAGATGACTGGCTAAAAGGTTCCATCCTACCAGCCAATGGAAATAGCTAAACTAAGAATCTTGAGTGCTGTTAGAAAAAAACAAAGCGAGGAATACTGTGAAATTAAGAAATTTCAGTGAAATTCAGTATTGGTTCCTCTTTTACAGCAACCGCGTTGGTGCAGCAGCGTTATGCAATTATTAAAGAATTTGCTAAGAGCAGTGACAAATGACAATTGATGGATGAGAAATGTGATGGATTAGCAATTTATTTTGCTGGAATAAACATTCGGAGAAATATTCGTTTATAAAAGCACATTTATCATTAAATATATATACATATACATAATTTTATTTATTTACTTAGTAATATCCAATAAAAAATAACTTTTGATGGATCTTCGATATCAAAATTTTCGGCAGCGAAATCGAAATTTTCTTCCGGGAAAGAATAATCAAAGATGACTGCATTCGACTTAGAAAAAAAAAGAGCAAATAATAACGGATAAAAAGCCACTGCGTTAGAAATCCTCATCACTATGGCCAACAAAGATTATAGCGTTGAAGAATGCGTTTGTTTTCAGCGTTCCATAAAAGCTTTCAGTTCTTTAAATGGCCAAAATCAATACGCAGTGGCACAACATCATCCATACCTCCATCCATCCATTCGGCTGACTAGCTAATTGATTACTTTTCTTTGAGATAAAAAAATAGCGTTATCTTTAAATATTGGCTTCGTTCAAAGAAGTTAAGCAAATATAGAAAATGGTCTAGATTTCAGGAATTTCGGGAATATCGTCGGGTCGTAATGTTAAGGAACGCTTTACATTAAAATCTAATAAAACGAAAAGACACTCCTAAATTTATGAATTAGCTAATTAAACAAATGCCATGAAAACTATCGCTCAAACCGACGCATTCCAGCCCCTCTTCCCCATTCTTACTTTAGTCCATCCTAAACGCAGTTATTAGTTACTAATAGTAAAAGAACCACATTCAGTGCAACATAGCACAACAATTTTAACAATTATGAATTTTACTTTTCCTTCTTTTTATAATTTAATTTGGCTAAGTTCTTAAGATTAATAGGAATGGTGAAGAGAAATTAATAGGACCTCGCTAAGTAAAAGCAAATAACAAGTAAAAGAGAAATTATCAATTTAAAAAGAAAATTAGAAGTAAAAGCTAGAAATGTCAATGACAAAAGAGCACTTAAAGAACTGCTTATAGCTGAAAATACGAAAATTTTTTTTAAAATGATGTTTGAATATTAAATGTTAAATTTTTCAAGATTATGACAACAAGTGAAGCAAAAAATGAAGAATTTTATCCTAAATGAATTCAAGAAAAAACTATGCATAGCATTGCTAATTAGATATCCAAATCGACTTTTTTCGTTGCTTCTGCGGTAAGATATTTAGTTATTGCTGGGCGAAGTTCATCATTCAAAAATCGAACTGTTTGCGAAACACATCGACCGGTAAAGCTAAGTGGTTGATTTATCGCATCAATTACGCGATTTCTTACCTGAAATAAAGCTTTTTTAAAAATTTTAGAAGCATCATATAGAAATAAATTTCGCCAAATATTGCATAAAAACAATTAATAATTTAAAATAACTTTTTTAGTAACCAAAAAACCAAAATCTGAATTGTTATCTCGAACAAAATAGAATTTAAAGCAAAAAAAAGAACTGACAGGATCGAAAAAAACATCAGACAATATGCTGTTGATACTAATGGGTGCCAATTTAGAAGCTTCTTTAGCTGCCAAGGCTACTTCGCGAATTTTCTCATGCGCATGTTGACGATCAATGCCTATTTCAGTTAGCCACATGAGCGCTTTTTCCAGCATTAAAAATGGTAGTTCATTCATAACATTACGATTGATATTTTCTTTACGGAGCGAAAGTCCTTCAGTAACATTCTAAAACAATTGAAATCAATGAATTCCGTGAAAAATTATCAAATAATATATACATACATACATATATATATATATGCTAAACACGAAATGAGTATCTATCTGTACCTCTCCTACAAACAACTATCTGGTGAAAAAACCCCATCCTAATAGCCAATGGCGCCAGTTAGAAATAACGTCATTAAAATATCATTGAATAACCTGGAAAATCGTTAATATAGCATCAGCTACAAGAAACGATTCAGGAATAAGAATTCGACGAATCGCAGAATCATCAAGAGTTCTCTCTAAAACTTGATCACCAAAAGTATTTAACGAATCCTGCAATTATATAAATTATTACGCAATAATGAGTGCGTAAGTAAAGATTGAATTATTTCTAATATGAATGTGAACAATAAATCAAAAATCAAAACTAATTATCGCACCTGAGGAGCGCTAATGAGTCGACGGGCAAGACTACATATTCTTTCACTTTTCATTGGATTTTTTTTATAAGGCATCGCCGAACTACCAATCTGTTCACTCTCAAAAGGCTCCACTAATTCATCGACCGCCTAGAACTAACATTTTTAAAAATTTAAAATTTAAAATTATTTTTAAAAATTTAAAATTTAAAAATTTTTCGAGCTAAGAAGTGGAAAAACCTGAAGAAAACGTAAATCCATGCAGATTTTTTTTAAAGAAGCGCCTAGTAACGCCAATATGTTGATCAAATCGCAATCCTAAAGAATAAAAGAATACTCTTCATATAGCAGAAATCCATTTAAAAAATTATTTTTAAATTATAAAATTATAAAAATTATTTGAGACGAATTATTTTAGATTTCATAAAATGCAATTTTTTCGGAATTTTAATATAATGGCGATAAATTTATATTAAAATAACTTGTTGACGAGAATAAGTTTGGCCACATATAGAGAAACGATGAGTAAATCCAGCTTTCTTAGTCACCAAATCATCAAGTTTTTCTACCTGAAACAAATTTTGGAAGTTGTCGAAAAAAAAATTCTACTAAAACAAAATACAAAATACAAAAATCAGTGGCAATAGTAACTGAAGATAAATTACTGTTCTAAATAGAATTAAAATTATTATTATTACTATTCTATAATATTATTCATCTATTCATCTTTATTAGAATAAACTTTCGAAAAAAAGAAAAAATCTTTGAAAAATCCTTGACAATAGTGAAGGTACATTTGTAATTCTATTCTAACCAGAAATGTTAGTGCCAACTTGTTAATTTTTTATTTGCTAAAACAAAATGTCTATATCAACAAGAATTTACCTTATCCTCTTCACCGTGAAATAATGTTAGAAAAGAATCTTGAGTTCCAGTTGCACCTTTAATACCTCTGAACCGCATTTCTTCATAAAATCTTTCTAGCTAAAAAAAATTTATTATGAACCAAGAATTTCAAGAAAAATATAAATAAACCTTTACATATATCTAAAAATGAATATATAGTCTTAGATTAGATTAGAATTTAAAATATACCTTTAAAAGAACCATCAGAAGTTCCTGTGCCCAAATAATTGCACGCTTTCCAACTGTAACAAGAGAAGCAGACTGCAAATGCGTGCGACCAACAGTGACGACTTCTTTCGTTCGATCAGCGAAATCACCCAATCGGTCAAGACATATAGCTAATCTACAAAATAATAATTTTCAGTTGATGCATTTTAATTCTTCTGAAACCTTTACACAAATGAGTTATTTGCTGTGGGTTAAAAAAAATAGAATGAATGAAGAAAGAAGAGTTTAAATTTAAAATTTTAAGACAAATAAATTTTATTAAATTAAGAAAAAGGTTTATCTAAAAAAAAATAAAAGCAATAAAGATAATATATAAGAAAAAAGACTGAATTACGAAAAATGTGAGAAATAAAAAGCAAAAATTAAATAAATATGATAAATATGATAAATAATTTAACATAAAATAATCAAAAATAAATTACTTATTTAAAATCACATCGATACACTGCCGTTGAATAATCAAATCAGAATTATCTTGCACAAAACACGACGTTGCTCCAAGATGTATGATTCCTCTTGCTTTTGGACAAATCTAAAATTTACAATTATTATATTATATTATAGTTAACATTAACGAAACTTTAACTTATTTTTGTATTTTTATAAATTCAATTCCAAACTTCTCCAAATGTATAATTATGTGCCATAACATCGTGTTTTAAACGCTTTTCTTCAGCACGAATCATAGGCCAATCTATAATTTCTCTCGATCGTTTCATTTCATCAATCGCCTCAATTGTTACCTACAATTTTGATTACAAAATGTTTGGAATACCTACAATTTTCTGCTCAAATTATGTTTTTAATATACTCTTCTATAAAAAATTAACAAATAATTTAAATGACATGTAATATCTATGAATGCGCTTTGGTTACTAACGCGCGCATATAATCTCTGCATTGCGATGTCACAAGATTTCTCATGAAAAAATCTGGTGCCACATTGGATCTCAGTGGAAAACACTTTGCTATTACGACGCACCACCGACCCACCAAAATTGGTTAGGCGAAATGTTAGCTTGGTTAAGAAATTAGCGAATCAACGAAATCGTTTCAAGAAGCGTTATATAAGCGTTATAACAAAAATATAAATGTTCGCAACAAATCTGGCAATTGGAATTTATAGGAATGTAGCAAAACCTGTTTCAAGCCGAGTTCGTGCTCTGCTTCAGCTAACCAAATCCACATTTGTCGCCATGTGATAACCTTAAAATAAAAAGCAATAAGGAAAAATATGCAGCATATTTTGGAGTAATGCAATTTAATACTCTTTAAACCGTTGTCTAAATGAATACATTTGTGTGTGATAAAAACTGAAGCAGTTAATCAGACAGTGACTGAGAAATTTTTTCCTCATCTTCTTGAACTCCGACTGTAGTTGAAAAGTACCCTCCATTCACTTCAATCTATTGTTCTCACAGATTAGTAAGTAATTAAGCGCAAACCATTTCTGGTCAGGTTAGCTCCAATGGCAGTGGTACATTTCCAGCAGAGGGCCAGCACAGGTGGGTCATCAGCACCACCCGATTTTCCACAGCAGACTGTCGCTTCTCACTAATCCGAGTCATCCTCCCCTACTTCAGCCTATGAAGGATTATTATTATTTGTTAATATTAATATTATTAATATTAATAGATAAATAAAAATAAATGAAAAACAACCTTATTTCTTTCACTAAGTAAATCGATTAAACGACTTTTACAGCAATAACGCGATTTTAACACAGATTCGTATGAATTTTCAGCGCATTCCATTCCGAAAAACAATAATTTTAAATATTCACAATATTTTAATATTTAAATTTTATTAAAAAGTGAAATTAATGATATTTAAATCCAAAATTGATTTCCAAAATTCAAAAAAAAAAGCGGTGAATGAACTTATTTTTAGAAATAACAGAGCTTAGAATTTTGCAAATTCAAATTGTAAATTTTGTGTATAAGGAATTACATTTGTATTGTAGAGTAAAGCTTGGCCCTGAAATTCAGCATGGAACCAGGCTCAGAGCAAGGATTAGGCTCGGATGAGGTGCTTAGGCAATGAAATAACTGACTGAAATAAAATCGGAGAAGAGAAAATTGTAGCGACAAAACAGTATCTAAGGAGCTGACAGTTTCAATTCCTTTGCCAAGCCCTTACCAACCTCAGTGAGCCTTAACTTGCAGCGGTGGTCACCTACCTTTAAACCAAAAAATTTGATGAGTGATAAGGCATGATGAAAGCCGCAATTTAGTATGCTGAGCAATGTACAAAGTCGATTGTCCGCTGAGCAATGTCCATTTTGGGTTAATTGTTGTAGGCATCAATTAATTCCTGGGAAGGTGGGAAGAGAGGAGGGGGAGTGGTTGATTTGAAGAAAGACTGAAGGAGTGAGGGTGGACCAGCCTGGTGGAGGTAGATTGATCCGGCAAAAGCGATGGGCCGTGTAGAAAGGATCTTAGCTTTATCGGGTATCTATTAATTCTGATATAAGGAGTGTTGACGAGACGAGTAGAAACATGGAAAAAAGGCAAAAGGTATTGGTCAAGTCCTAGCTTTGTAGAGAAGAGGCTAAGAGAAGAGGTTTTAGTTTTGGTAGAAAAGAGGCTGAGAGAAGAAGTCCTAGCTTTGTTAGAGAGGAGGCTAAGAGGAAAGGTCCTAGCTTTCCACCAGTAAAGACTGCATGAACATGAGTGGTTTGAACTATGGGATTACAGAGAAAAAATTGTCTTAGCAGAACTTTGATAAGAAGGCATTATTCTCGAAGGAAGATAGTGTAGCTGAAATCTGAACAGAATACTAACATTGCAAAAAAGATAACTTGTAAGGAGTGATATTGACCTGGAGGCTAGGACCAAGGGTGGGAAATAAGTACCAGTCTAGTGCCATTAAATTTTTGCGATTTAATCTTCGATTTAAAATGAATGGTTTATGTCCTTAATATAAAAATTAAATATATTAAATAATGGGACGATAGAAGGATAAAACCGTATACTGGTGCATCGATTAAAGGCGGGCCATCACAACTTCGATTTCCGTCTCTTGGATGGTGTAAACTTGTAAAGCGTAAATCCGTGGGTGATGCTGAGTACCCATTTGGATTTCGACCGCTAAGTGTTCCTCCTAATGAAGGCGTTTTGCACTAATAGGCAGTGAAACGGTGAATCCTTTTAGGAAAAAAATTGGTGTGAAATATTAAAATATCCTTAAAATATTATAAATATTAAACATTATTCTGCATAATTTTCTCTCCATTCCTAAATTCTATTATATAATCTTAGAAAAAAACCATAGTTGCGGCGTAGAATTTTTGTGGCGAGGATGCAATCCATGATGTAACCACAATGCGTCACAGTTTTGCAATCTTCGTAAATCGTTACGCTTTAAAATATTTTACTTAATTTCACCATCTATCTAATTTCTTTTTGCTTGAGAAAATATAAAAATGAATAGAATTAATTTTATTCTATCGAAAATGAATTATTAATTATAAATATCAAATTAAAGAATTTTATGGAATACATATGAAAGCGATTATCTGAGAGTTCCATCAAAATCTTTTCGGCTTATTCAGATATATTGTTACAATTTGATAAATTGAGCTGAGGTCAGGTCGGTCTCAGAATACATGGTTCCAACAATATACATCGCGTCCCTACCCTTTAACATGAAAAAATTCATTGTCATTAAAAGTGAAATTCAGTTGTTAATGGCTGAGGAGATATATTATCAAATCATTAAGGCAAATTAATTTCATCAAAGGATAAAGTATTAGAATTATAAAAATGGTTCGTATATATCTATTATCAATTAAAATTTGCACTTTGAGAAATTCACATGATTGTCAGAGTTATCGGTGGAACTAGGAAGACTTGATGGAACTTAATGATTGGGACAGTTTGAAGGCGATGCCAAGATTTATAAAAAATAGTAAATCTGGGAATAAATGAACAAATAATTGATAAATAATTGATAAAAGAGAAGGTAAAAGCGATTCACGTGAATTCTTTCTTCTGTAAACTGATTTTGAGCCATTTATGAATCAACATAAATTAGAAAGAAGCTAAAATAAAATAAAAATTAGAAACAGTGAATCCTTTAAATTAATGAAAAATTATTTATAAATGGCTCAATGTAAATGAACTGAATGTGAGAAATGTATCGAATTTTGCACGAGGTAAACTGCCATAATCCTGGATAAAAGCGCCGCAACCCTGGTGAAGGCACAATAATCCTTGATAGAAGCATCACAATTTTTTATTCATAATTTCCTGAAAATAATGAAACAGGGTATAAAGCGAAGTGCAGTATATAAGCAAAGGTTTTAGTAGAAAAATTTCGGTGCCAGGTTATGCCCTTATTCTATGGTTCTATGTTTTTTTCTTCTTCTAATAGATCTAACCATTACTGATCAGACTGACTCTGCTGACTAAAAGGATAAGACGGTTCTAAGCTGTTCGTCTCACTATCGTAAAATTTTCTCTCTCGCAATGCGGTCTCAGTCTCGCCGTATTGAGAAATAAGCCCCCGGGGAAGGAATTCAGCTATAATGAAAGAATAATTATAAAATACCAAATTTTTAATGTAGAAATGTAATAACCACTGATCCTGTAAATAGAGCAGTTGTTCCATAAGTGCGATGGATGCCTCGTTCGACTCGATAATTTCTCTCAAAAGTCTAATTTGTTGCTGCAAAAGATGAATGCATTGCCTGTACATAACCATCATTCGGATGTGACTCGCTTTTTCCTCCCGAATTCGTCGAATAAACCGAAAATTGCGTCGCAAACCTCGAAAATTACGACGTTTCGATTGTAATTTTCGGGAACAAATCTTTAAAAAAATAATTTTAATATATTTTAAATGACTATAATTTTAATTGGAAGAAAAAATATTAGAAATCGAATCAATTTAGGCGGAATAAGCAATTAATTAATTAACAACAAATATTATTAAAAAGCCAATTTAAACTTTCATACTTTGATGGAGGGAGATTTCGATGAAGTGGATTGGATCTCGTCGGACTTGGCAGAACTGAAATAAATAATTGAAATATTAATTTTTGAATGTTCTTCTAAAAGCACTCATCACTTCCGGTTTGCTCCTCAGACTTATCGGACCAGACAGACATTGCCAGGGAGTCGCTTAGTGGTGGGGGATTTGTGGCCAAGATTTTTGAAAAACAGGCTCATTACTGCGGGGAGGAGAAATTCAGCAATGCGCTGCGAAACGAGAGCCGAACCCGCTGAGCCACTCCATTCTTTGGTATATAGAAAAATATATGAAAATTTACCCGTTGCACATTCGATTTTCTCCATTAGCTTCGAGATTTGTTGATGAATCCAACATTTTTTAATGGAAAACCAATACAAATGCTAAAAAGCAATTGTAAAGACAGATAGTTAGCCTTCGAGGTTCATTAGTAAAAGCGAACACAAGCGAATACAATTAACATGGACATTATTAAAAAACGATGAAAATGACGACTGCGATGACTGGTAAGTTGAATAAATAATTTCCATCCAGAAAATCATTACAAGGGAAACTGCGCTACAATTTTACTAATTTTCCGTACTTAAATCTTTTTTGCCATAATAAAAGATTCTTAAATTTATTGGGACTGAAGTTATGACAGGAATATTTTCCTTTCCATTTTTATTTAATATGTTTATTTATTATTATTATATTATTATTATCTATTTATTATATTTATTATTTTTACTAATTTTATCTATTATTTTATTTATTTATTATTTTATTATTTTTACCGCAAAAGATTTAAAATTTATCAGAAATCAAATTTTAAAAAAAGCCAGAAAAACGTATACATGTTGGCTGATAAATTCTTATCTATAAATCTTCATCATATGGCTCTTTAATGAAAAGGCCACATTTAATAATTAGTGGAGATAACTATTTAAAACAGAAATGACGAGTAATGTTGCAGAAGAAAAAATGTTTGAGAAAATTATCATATCAGTTCTTATCAGCGAATCGTAAATTAAAGCTTTTCTACGAATTTCTAATATTTTTAACAATAAATATTCAAAATAAAATTTTTATGATAATTTGCAGGAATAAAATTTCATTACAATAAGCCAAATTAATATTTTATCGCCTCAAGCATTAAGGTTTATATCCTACCTCGAGGAGCAGCAAAGCCATCATTAAAAACATACAGGTGGTGCTGTCATATTTCTAATCCCAAGTGACTCTCTGAGAACTGCTTCATTATGCCAATAACCAGTGCAGCAAACCTAACCAGAAATGGTGAGTGCTTAACCGCTTCGCAATAATTCTTTACACGCCTATCAGCGATTTCCACAGCTTTCCACCATTTTCACCAGAATCTCTTTCAATTTTACCACTCCTATTTTTTGTCTTATCTTATATTCTCTATTCTCGTTAAATCTACTGCAGAACTCTTTCATTGCCTCAGCGTTAATGAATCCAAGTTACTGTATATAAGGTTCATTGTTCTCGCATTTAACTTTGGAAATAAAATCAGAAATTAGAATTCATGAATAAATCACGGATTGGAATTTCGACTTAAAATCACTCCACAGAGATAAAAATTTCCACTTCATAATGTTAAATTTCCGCATTATCCAAAAAATTTCTCGAAGTTTAGCTACGTATTCGAATGTTAAATATCTTATATCGTATATTTGAATGTATAGAAAATATCGCGTACTTAGACGAGAAATGAAAATTCCAAAGTCGAAGGCAAAAGACGGGTTTCAGTCTAAAGAGAGTGCAGGAAATATCCAGTTTGTTCAGAAATGTAGAAATTGTAGAAAATATTAAAACTGATGGTTAAAACTCAAGGATATTTACTAAATAGTTCAGGCTTTAATTAATTTTATTATTCTTATTGTTCTCTCTCCATTATTCACCTTGGAATTTCACAACTCTCCTTATTACCGCATTCATGTTAATTTGCTCAATAAAATTAGGCAATAGTCACAAATTTTTTTCTCGTTTGATAAGAGCATTTACCATTTCTGGTTTGGATTAATCCACTAATTATTAAAATGAGCACCATTTGCCATTGTCAACTTTTCATAAAAACCAAAAAACCAGTGGATCTCGCAGCATTCATTCGCCTCTACAGATTTGTCTTTAAATAAAGAGTAAATAAGAGTGAGTAAAAAAATATTTTGGAAATTGCTAATACAAAACAATAAAATATTTTCTAATGGATGTTAGTTTGTATGTATACGATCGACAATGAATAAATGGAATTTGAATGTGTAACTCGGATGTACAGTACAGGAATCGTAAAGAATTTTAGGTCTAATTATTGCACTAGTAAACGCAATATTTATGACGAACAATGAGCAGATCAGTTTTACATTACGCTGGCCAATATTAAAGGTTAAAAGTCCACTGATTGCGTATGAGCTTTGAGCAAAATCTTGCGTAGCCGGGCATTGCGCAAAACCATCTTTGTATTGGTAATTGCGTCGAAAGAATTACAAAAATTGTGCAAAAAAGAATATAAATTTTCAATAAAAAACTTGGTGAATTTCCGAATATAAAGTTTGGAGCTATGATAATCGAGTGGTTACACTCGTTCTACAAGCTTTTAATAGGATGCGATAATTTTGCAGGAAAAGGGCACAAGTGCAGGTGAGCACCGTTTGCATTTTGATCAGAGCTCACTCCCTATAAGAGGTAATAAGGTAATTTCTGAACCACAGAAGCATAAACTAATAGGCAATATATAAGTTTATATTAGCCATAGTCGAGTACATTTCTTCCACTGAGGCATTATGGGTTCAGTTCCTTAAAAGGAATAAACCGACTAGTATTTACGAATCTACATCCTCTATATCATCTCTTATCCTCAGGTGACTTGTGACTCAGTCAAGTTCAAATCCTATTAACCAAAAGTGGAATTAATCGAAAGATGGGCACTTTCAGCGAAAAAATAAAAGGAAAAAAGAAAATAATTGAATTAAATAATTGGAAAACGACTGAAGGAACTATTTGCATGATAATATTTATTGCATGAAAAGTTTGTAGGATACGAGGGGCCTCGATTCATCGACACGATGCGTATGGTAACCAAATTTCTAATCCTTTAAAACCAGCTTCTTGACCATGCAGCAATTTAACTGCAATGGTTATTCGATGATTTCTAATGAAAGAAATTTTTAAAATAAGCAGATAGTATATGAAAAAGATGTTCATGAAAAGAAAACTTCACGATAAATCAATGCGGTATTTCAAAGAAATATGAGGTCAGAGGACAAATATGGACAAAAGTAGAAATCAAAAATTTTCTTATTTAAATCACTTCCTTTATCAAAGTATAGGCGTTTGTTCAGTTGTCAAATACATTTAACGAAAGTCGATAAAAAAACTGGGATTTTTGTTAAATTCAACAGAAACAAGCACAGAAAGCAGTACAGAATTCTGAAGCTATTTGAAATCCTATAAAAATTCGCAAATTCTAACTCTATTTGTTGCAAATGATATTTTATTTAATTATATATTTACAGTAACGGATGAATAGCCGTGTGCTTGATGTTTAAGCTATCGAATGGAGGGAGCATTCTGCTTTGGTTACTTTTGGCAAGAGTAAACCTGTCATTACAAAATCCGAGTGGTGGCCCATCTCTGCTTTCTCCACTGACAAAATGGCAAAGTTCTTGTCGTACTAGCAGCCAATGCAGCAAACTTATATATATATATATATATATATGCTAATTTAACGTTGTATATATTCCTTAATTGCTCATCCGAGCCAGTTTTATGATTCGAAAATATTCCAAAATGATGTAATTATCTGCGCCACAATTTTGCAACCTTCTTGAGTCATTATTGCACTCGAGGATGGTTTGCCCTTTTTCGATGTAATGCGAACACGATGTGAGCGTTATAAATGATAATAATAGAAATAATATTTTTAGTACCTTTTCAGATCCCACTGTATCATTTTATCACGGTACTCTACTAGTTAATTGATTAAGCGATCTAGAAATAGGGTACCGGTGAAAAAAGTTGGAAGAAACCAACTCGCTCAGATTCTCTTCTATTATTCTAAAATATTTAATTTAATCTGTTGTGCTTTTTAGTTAAAAATGTTGAAAATTCGAGCACAATCAGCTAATAGCTAATGGTAATCCTTCTTCCAAAAATAGTACCATTTTAGTTTCAGGTTATGAGTAAATTACCTACATATTTCATTTCCTCAGCCTCTAGCCAGGGGCCTCGTGGCGCAACGGATAACGCGTCGGTCTACGGAACCGAAGATTGCAGGTTCGAATCCTGCCGAGGTCGGGGAACATTTTTTCCTTCCAGCAAATATATTTTGCTATCACCATGTGAGGAAAGTAAACCATTTTACTCAGCACAGCAACTTTTACGCTGACAAGCAGTCGCTGAGAAATAATTTAAATAATCGAGCATTAGTTGGTCTGAATATTAGCAATCGCGAACAATCCTCGGCTTCTCGTTGTTCGCTTTTGAATTCTGCTGAAATTTTGCTTGTTGTGGTACCAAAATGGTTAACGGAGGGTCGCCTTTGGTAAGAAATTTATTTCGCTTGCAAATTTTTCGTTTGATCTTTTCAATGCTTTTCTCTAATTTGTTTTCATTTATCAAGATTGAATTTTAAAAACGAGTCGTTTCGAATTTTCTTCGCCTAAATAAGTCAAATATGATTATTTAGTTTAATAATATTAATATTAATGATAATAACAATAACGATATTTGTGATTAATAACAACACTTATGATAATAGAATTCCCTAATGCTTTCTTGTGTAAAGGCCTTACTGTAGCGCTGCTTTGGCTTAACGCCTCTCAAAGCACAACACTGTCCAGTGTTCTTTTGCTTCACTTATCTCGCATATGTGTAAAGCCTCAGCGAGCGGAAAGTTCTTAAAATGGATTAGCAACTATTTTGATAACTGAGAATCTTATCAGATTATTTGTTATCACGGTGACGGTGTAGAAATATTTTGATATATTAAAACGATCAGCATTTGAAGAAAATTCTACTCATTCATAGGACGAGTGTTTTTACGAGTACTCAAGGAAGATAGACGTTAATTTACAGGAGGAAGACGAAATTGAAATAATCGATGACGATGAAGATGAGAATGTTGAAACGAGCAATTCCATAAATAATTCTGATCAAATCAAGAAACAAATCGATCAGTTAAATATTTTGGCCCATGAAAAAAGTTGTTTAATTTCACTTTATTTGTTTTTTTAATTAAATTAAAAAATTCCTCGGTCATTTATTGCAATGATATGATAACGAAGATTTTCAAGGGAATCAGTTAAGTATCAGTTGATAAGTCAAGCGGCAGGGCTGTTTCTGGTTTGAACTTCACTAGTTATTTGAAGCCTTTAAAAATCCAACTTCATGTTTGAAAAATTTCTGTCCTCTTTTTCTTGGCTGATATTGACATTTGACCATATCGCTTCTGGTCGAGATCGATACAGGATTATTGAATAGTTTATTGTCTCTTATGAAAACAGATAGCGCGGTTCGATGTGAGTGTGGGCGCTAATAGATCTGTTTTTAAAGCTAATCTGATTGCTACTTAGGATATATCTGTTCTCCATACTTTGATGAATGTGACTCGCGTAAGAATTTCGCCCTAATAGTAGTAGAGCCAACCGTCCTTCATCCTGTTGGACATAAATGAAATAGATAGATAGATTTTACCCCGTTCTTTTATTTCCATATAATTCAGTTACATTTTATATGGCTTTTAGGCCATACAGTATTTCGACTTCCAACAAATCTTGAAATTCGCGAAGGTCAAGAATATCAATGTCCTGTCGTTTCGTTAGAAGACTGGAAGGAAGCGACAGTTAGTGATAGTTTAAAAAACTATGAATTAGTTGATCCTGACGTTTGTGTTTGGAAACCAACGGATTCACTAAGCGATCAAGAATTAAATGATTATTTATCTATAGCTTTAAGCAAATTCGATACTCAGCTAGAACAGGTATTTGTTATCATAAATTGTTTGGTAAATATTTCACTTTTTTTTATTCCTTATCGAAGTTTTTTTTAAATTTTCTATTTTTTAAGGCTATGTACATACTTTTTAATGTTAATTATTGCGTAAAGGCTGCAATAGAACATCTCGCAAAATACCGAGTTTTAAAGGAAGAATGGTCTGATAATGAAATCTCCATATTTAAACAATCGTTGCAAAATTATGGAAAAAATTTTCGAAGAATTAAAAAATTGGTAAATTTCTCATCTTCTCATAAAATTTATTGGCTGACTATACTGTTTTCTTTCAAACATTTAAAGATATCAGACTTAGTTGAATAACTTGAACGACCATTTCAAAAGCTTATTATTTGATAAAAGCTTATTATTATATAGCTTCTATTTTTAGAAAAAAGATGCTATAAAACCTGATTTCTTTAGCTTCGCCATCGTACAATGCGTGATATCGTTCATTTTTATTATTTCAACAAAAAGAAAATGAATTTTCGTAGTCTTATCGATATTTATGTGGAAGAATTTCACGGCGACGATAATAGGTTTTAATTTAAATTTTACTTTTTCACAGTTGCTGAATTTAAATTAGTCGCACTGAATGATTTCCATCTTTTAAGATTTTTCACTGAAATTTCACTGAAATTTATCAATTTGAAATTTTTTACAATTCATTTTTTTTCAAATTTTTCTTCGATTTATCATTTTTATTCCTTTAAATATTGATTAGATTTTTTTCTTCTTCAAACTTTTTCTCTTCTTTGGCATTAAATTTTGATTTTTTTAAGATAAATCTTTTATTTTAAAAAATTTCGAATTTTTTTTTAAATGGTTGCATAACTAATTTCCATAGGCCGTCTACTGCGATTTCAGAACATTGGAATCGCTAGGCTTTGCAAAATGATACTATTGTTCCATATAATATTTTATTTACTTTTCTTTACTGTGAAATCTAATTTAATTTCGTTAGGCTTCTTGATTCTTGTCAATTAATTAATTTAATTTTAGTGGTGAAAATGAAGGAGAAAGATGTATTTTTTGCGAAATTTGTGGCATTCATGAGTTAGACCTACAAAATTGTGACGACAAGAAACTTTGTGTCAATTGCGGCCATTATTTCAGGCAAAATTCAAAATATTTAAATTATTATTCCATTAATTACTTTTTAATTTTTCCATAGTTTTTCAAAACCATTCATCAAAGTCCTTTATTCCACACTATCATTGCTTTGATCAGTTTTGATCAACAAATAATTTTTTTATTATTTTCCAATTTTTTAATTCCAATAAACTAAATGTAATTTTAATAATAAGTATTTGAAGCATAAATTAAGTAGTTGGTACTCATTATTTCTGGTTACCTTCGTTTAATGCTCACTTGGAATAAAAATATAGCTGGATTTTTTGATATAAGGTTAATTCTATCGGAAGAAGAGCCAAGTTTTTGCTTCTCAATATACTCAAAAAGTCTGCTTGTCCACTCGTTTTTCTGCTATTAGATTTTATCCATTATGTTATGTTAAGTGAATATAATACGCAAAAATTTTTGCCTCTAAATCTTTTTAAATCTTATTATGCCATTTTACATCGTTTTTTTGTAGAGGTTATCGTCTTCATAGGTTATGCTTTGAATCTGCTGATCCGCCAATTCATACTGCGAAATCTTTAAATCTTCCTTTGACATGCCCAAAAAGTATGATTTTTTATAGATCTCTTTATTTATTATTTATTGTTTGCTGGCATGGAGCTTTTATAATAAAAAAAGGTTTTATAAAATTTTATTATTACTTATTATTATTTTATTATTACATTTTAATTTTCACAATATTTTTAGAATTTATTGAAATTTTATCTTCTTTCGCTGATGACGCAAAAATTGTTGAAGTACATAATCCATCAATATCAATATCAGACAAAGGCATTGAGAATAAAGCTGAAACAATTGTAAAACCACGTTTAGTATTAGACAAAAAGTTGGAGTAAGTGCAATTTCTTTTTCTCATTTTTTAATGGCGTTGCGATTTAGGCATTCACTTCAAAATTTTTTTTTATTTTGAGTGGATTTTTTTTTCTATTCCTTTCCACTGTTTGAATTTCTTCAAGATATATTATAAAATGAAGTTTTCTTTAACTATTTAGTCTGATCAAATTTTCTTATCAAATAATAAATTTTGTTAGTAAATATAAAACAATATTTAAGGAAATTGGAACAAGATTTAATGATCATGAGAGGTCGATGTGTACGAACTGAATATGATGCACGTAGACAACTTGATGCATTACTTGCTGATGGTAGGTTTTTGTTTTGGTTCTTAATTATTGTGTAGAGACTGCTTCCAAGATATTTTGCAAGAACTATTGGCCTTATATAGTATCAGAAATATATACATATAAATGAACGAGTAGAATCAATTTGCGAAAAATGAACGAGTAGAATTAATTATATATCTCAAAATTCTTATATTCCTTCAACATTTCTTCTAAGTCTTATGCAGTGTTTTGATATCGGCAAATTCCTTCTTTAAAATTTTGAAACCATATCCTCAGTCACTTTGATTTTAAATTTTGTAAATTTACAATGTGTAAGTGCGATTTATAACTCCAACACTTTGGTATCAAAGCAACAAGAATATTAAGATCGCTTTGAGAGGGCTGAAGCTTTAAATGGTCGAAAATAATGATTAACGTTAACCAATAAAAACGCTTTTTTTGGGATAACCTAACCTAAAGAGATTTTTTACGGATTTTGGAAATTTTTTTATGAAGAACCATATCACATGGTTTCAACAAAAATGGCTGAAATTATGAAAGCAATACGACGTGTTTCTAAGCACTGGAACGACTTACTACTATATTACCATAGTGAAAATAACATAATTGCACGATGAAATTATTATATCATAAAGAAATTTGACGGAGTATTATCTTATTATTCTTGAAAAAGAATGCTATTTAGGTGTTTGATAGAATGTTAAAGAGAGTTTAAGGATGAGGAGGATTATAATAGTAATTTGAGCAATTTAAGAGGGTGTAGTGATGTCAATGAGATTAAAATCATAGTAATGTTACAGGTAAATGAGTTCTGGTATAGAGAAGTTATATGAGCTTTGAGGGGTATTGGTGGAATGCAACAGATTCAGAGAAAAATTAGGGAAACATTAGTGGAATGCATTAGGGAGATAAAGCATAGTATGAAAGATTTGGAGCTTTTACGGAAATTAGGGATATAGGATTAGATTATTTAGAACTGTCTCCAAAACTATTGCTCCTTTTAATATATCCGCAAAATTTGTTATAATCCTTTTGCTTCCTTCTGGTTGTTACATTTACATTTCTTACATTTCTTTCATACTCTTTTGAGGCCATGGTTAGAAGAAAATGAAGAGAAAACAGAATTTTAGGATTGTTAAGGGAATTTTTGAAGTCTTTGAGGATTTTGGAGGATAGCAAATGGTTTCGTTTCGGTGAAATTCGGTAATCATTATTTGGCATTTTTGCCCGCTATTTTTCGTGAACACTTGCCAGCAAATTATTAGATTATTTCAGATTTAAAAGAATATCGTAAAACACCAGTTCCTTCATCCACAAGTCGTCCACAACATTCTATCATATGGACAGATAAAGAAAAGTGGCAGGCGCTTTTCGGTAATTATATCAATTTATTACATTTCTTTTATTACTAAAATATTTATATTATAAATTAAATTTTTTCATGCTAGAAAATTTTCTAAAAACTTCTGTATTAATATCCTCTTCGCTGGCTGTAAGGCTATGGTCCGCCACTCGGTTCGATGCCACATATGACAGTGATCGAAGCAATTCTTTTTTCATCGGTTAAGTCCATATATCACTGGACCACTTAGTTCTTACTTTTGACGCCATCTATCACACGTAGTAAATAACGAGGAATCAATTCTTATGATATGCGACTAAGAAAATGTCCTAATCAACCTAGGCGGCTCTCTATGATGATGATGTTGTAAATGCAGGTGGTGTTTAAGTGGTGGTGCATGTGAGATTCTAGTCAATCGTTATAAAATGTGTCTTAGGCAAGAGTGGTCAAAAGCATATAGTCTCTTATCCTCCACTCTTATTGGCCATATTTCGCTGCCATTTAATAACAAGATTATTTCCGAAGAAGGGGAAATTTTTATTAATGCCTGCTCGAGCAAAGTTTCTAAATTTAGGGCTATCAGTCCAGCATTGATTTTTTTTTTTCACCGCTGTTGTTTATATGCGTCCAGCAGTCAGAATTTCCTAATATTCATGCTGTGGCTTTCTCGGTTGCTTTCGACGCCCAACTTTTGAGTGGTATATCCTGACATACATTTGGTCAACTTTCTTTATTGGGAGAATATTCATCGATCGTTCCAGAGCTATCGTTTTGCATTATTGAGGTGAGATTTCGATGGTTTGTTGCGAAATTTGTCTTTTGGCTTGAGATAACTGAAAAATCTCAGAGAGTCAAGTCTTAGGAAAAGTCTTGTTAGTCAATTTTACGAATATGGTTGAAACCAATCCACTAAAATTCCTGGTTTTAGCGTCATGATAGGAACAACTATCTAATCCGAAATTGTTCCAACGATTGCTAATCAAAATGTAATCAATTTGGTTGAAATCTTAGTTATCCTGAGAGTTCCATGTCTTCGATGTATTCGTTATTAGAAGCTTGTATTGATAGTAAAAAGCTCTTCGGCAAAGCGATCCATATAGGCAAATTGTAAAATTCATTATAGCCTACATGCACTCTCTTCCTCGCTTCGAATCACTTGGGGAAGTACAGGCGGATCTGCAGCAGATTTCGAATTCTTTTAAATTCCTTAAATTTAAATTTAAATTTAAATTTAATTTAATTAATTCTAATTTAAATTCTTTATTTAAATGACAGTTATAAAGATAAAGATTAAGAGAGAAAAAAAGCTTAACAAAAGTTTGAGATAAAAATATTTTTTTTAAAAAATTTTCCGCTCATTTTTTCAATTTTTTTTATTTTAAAAATTAATTTGGAAACAAACTGAAAGGAAAAAATGAACATAAAAAGAACGTATGTTACTGCCGAGTTGTAGTTGTGAAAAAATTTCGCGAATTTGTTAGAGAAATTTACTTTTTTGTATTTCAGTTCTTTTTTTCTTATAGTGTTTCAACGTTATGGTATTGACTTTGCCGGTGCTGCAGAATTGTTAGGTAAAACTCCTGGCTCTGTCCGATCCTTTTATCGTGAAAACAAGGATCAAATCGATGAGGTATTTTAAATTCATTTTCTAGGCTTATTTCAATTTATAATTTAATTTGTATTGTTTATAATTGAATTTCAGATAATTATAGTTATAGTTCCATGTAATAGTTGTTTTATGAATTTTTAAGGTATTTTTTATGCTTTCAAGGATTTAAGCACAAGCGCTCGAATTTAAATGATTTTATATTTAGATGATTTTGAAAGCGAATGATTTATATGAAAAAGGAGCCGCGGAATATGATTATACTGAAGAACTGAGATTACCAGTGAAAGACGAGGAAATTATAGATCTCGATTAAGTTTTTACATATCTTGATTATACCGCTGCATTTTTGATGCGTTCCATCTCAAAACTTGGTAAGTCCTATGATTCGTGGCGAAAAATTTGGCCTAACCGGTGCATTTGCTCTTTGACAGCATGCAAATGAAGAATGAGACAGTTATATGAAATTCCGTTCGCTCAGTGGATATGCAGAATATGCTTTAGATAAGAATGAAAAATAGTGGGTTCGCTCAGTGTTTTGATGTTGATTTCACGACGATTTTATGAAAAGCATCACTAGCCTCCTTAAAATAGTGGGTATTTTGATTTATATATATGGGGGGCTGATAGACTCCTTCAAAATAAAAACTGGTGTCCGTAAGGGTCCTGTCCTTTCCTCTACAATATTCAATTATGCGAGAGATTGGATAATGGACACGGCTTGTCTGCATTCAAGAAATGTCCAAATTAGTCCAGAGCATCGTAAGATCTTGAATACGCTGATTATGTAGTCCTTTTTGCTGATAATTGTGATGAAATGCAAATAATGCTAAATAACGTGTCAGCAACTGCAGCGAGAATGTGATTTAGGATCAATGTAAATAAAACGAAAGCCTTTTCGTCCTCTTATGTGCAAGAAGCTGATAAAATGCCTCTTTTTATAAATTCATTGCCGATTGAGGAAGTACCCGGTTTTAAATTCCTTGGGTCTACTCTAATACCAAATGGCTAGGCAAAAGACGATATTGCAATCCGGATCTTGGCAGTTAGAAATGTGTTGTTACGGTTGATGAAATCTTTATGAAGCTGTAGTGAAATTGCCATAAAAGCGAAAGTATAGCGGTGATTCGTTCGATGTTATATGGCTCTGAGACCAATGAGAATGGAGGGTATTAAGAAGTTATCTGCTTTTGACCACTCTTTCTATTTTACGGGTCGAGCGGATAAAATATCACATGATCGCATCCATCTTGGTTCAAATACCACTTGCATAAATAATATTATCACAGAGCGTCGCCTTTGCTGGTTATAGTATGTTCTTCATCGTCCACTACAAAAGTTGACGCATATTTCGTTACTTGCTAAACCGTGTGATAGTTGGCGTCAAAAACGAAGTGGGCCAATCAAGACCTGGACTGATACGGTGAGAAAAGATTTTGAATGTATAGGTGACCAGCAATATATGGACTTAGACGATGGAAAAAGGAATGGCTTCCATTATTGTCGACGATGGCATCAGACCGCGCCGCTTGGAAGCGTCTTACCCTTGTAGCCGTTGGAGCCAGCCTAACCAATAATGGTGAGAGCTATTAGAAGAAGAATAAGAAGAATATTTATGGAGAGCGGTTAACAGCAAATAAATAAATAAGTAAATTAGTTTTGTAACCAATTTCAAGTGCCAATTTCATATATTCTTGGCAAATTTGAGAGAAATAAATAATCTTACTTCATTTACTTAATTCATTTAGTTCATTTATTCAGAAAGAAAAACATCTGAATCCATTTGTTTGTAATTATAACAAAAGACAAAAAAGTAAAACGACAATAGAAAGTTAGTGGCGGCGACACATCAAATTTCTTCAAAATAATATATTTCCATTTAGCTTTAATTTCTTCTCGAATTGGATTTAGGGATGTATGAAATATCAAAGCATCGTTCGTTAATCTCTGCCAACGATAATTTTTTTTTTCAGAGAGATTTATAAAATTTTGCATAATTTGCATAAATAGATTTGAGTAATTTTAGTCCATTGTCACTTTAATATTTAAGCCGAAATTGTAATAATTGTAATAATATTTTCACTGCAATGAAAGTTAATTATTACTAAATAGTAATTGGTTGAAAGGAAAAAAGAGCCTTTTTCGATAGAATTTCCACTTGATGATTCCTCTGTAAAAGGCAATTGTGCTTCCTTGGATTTGTCTGCACCTCACGTTATCAAAATTCAGTGCAGTCGTTTCTATATTTTAATATTTTCACTAATTTCCGATTGAGAAAAAGCAGTTTAATGAGAAAATAAGTTAATATATAAAGAGAAAATAGTGAATCGAAACTGAAATTTACCAGCAAGTAATAAACGTGGAATCTGAGTGGCGATTGGCATCCAGCTGAACCTTTGTCATCAAATGACGCTTTGCGCATTGGCCATAATAGTAAGTGAAGCCAATTTAACTTCCGAGTAATATCGAATCGAATCCGTGTAAAAAATTTTCACTCGTATTTTTATCAAATCAGAAACAGAAACAGAGCGAATAATTTTTTCCATCCATAAAAAATGATTTTATTACAAAAAATCAAGGAAACTTTCTAAAAAACAAAAATCTTTTATATTTATTTGCGGAAAAATTTCTCAGTATGAGCCATAAACTATGATATAACACAGTTCAGTGAATTACAAAAATATTCCACAACTAATAAAGAAGTATTAAACCGAAAAATGAAAATCCAGAAGGAATTTGTTGCGGCATTCCACAACAAAATATATTATAAACCTGAAAGAATTATCGCTCGTAAATGAAATCAACTGAACTGGTTCATTCGATTTAAATATTACTTTATAGGAATATGGTAAGGATGGTCGAATTTCATGTCAGCAGGAACCACGCTAGAGTTGGAAACATTCAAGACTACAATTATGTTTATTCCTCTTTTGAATCTTTATGACTAAAATTTATCTTAATAATTGAAATATTTCCCTTTCAAATCTAGATCGCCCACCTGGCTATGGAACAAATTCACTAGGGATTTTTACAACCTGTTATTCAGATTAAAATTATTTGGTGCTAATTTTGATCTTATAATTGTTGGTGATTTTAATATGCCAAACATAGATTAGGAAAATAGTTACTCGAAAAATAGCAGCAAATTGGAAGAGGAATTTAACTTTCTAAATTTTTGTACCTGTATAGATATAGAGCAACTTAAGATTGCCACTAGGTATAACATTATATTGGATGTATTATTAGCCACTTGTTGATGACATTAAAGTCTTGGAACCTTTCTGTAATAGTGATCACAATATCATTCATGCTTCATTAAAATTAGACCATTATGTGCCTTGTTCAATAAATAAATAAAGAGCCACAACTAGATTCTACAGATTTTACAGATTCTGATTATTTATTCAACATAACCAGACATTTCGGGATTTCTGCAAGTGCTATGTTTCACTCCAGGAAGGAGTAAACCTATCTACCAAAATCCCAGCGATGCTGGCAGTTCATCTGTGTTTCTATTGCTGTGGTGCATCGCTGGCAAAATTTATCTGAGATCCAACATATTTGTGCAGCAAAAGTACTGACGCTTTTAAGAAAAGAAAATTTCCAACATATTATAGATAATTAGGATACAATACAATCTTTTCTCGCCGAATGCAGTGTTTTCAAAAATGTAAAAGCAAAACAATATACAAAACACGATACAAAACGCAATAAAAATTTCTTAAAACAGCGGACGTAACAAAAAAAAGAAAAAATTTGGTTTTCGCTGTCGTTAAGAAATATCATCGTTCGTCTCTTGCATTTGAGCTCATACTTGGCTAATTAAATTAGGCAAATGAAGGAGGAAAAACAGGCAACTGTGTAATCATCCTTCATTCATTCAGTCTGAACTAAATAACAGCATTAATAGCAACGGCAAAACGAAGAGAGCAGAGGGATTTCGTAGAAGGAAAGCAGCGATTGTCTAGCTAGACAAACACGTCAGGGGGTCCTTAGAAGTCAGGTGAGCCGCCAGCATCATCCGGGTTTTTGGACAAATTTGTTCCTGTCAGGAGTGATACTGCATTCAGAGCAACAACCCACTGGGCCACTCTACACTCCTTTACCTTCTCCGCCAGGTGATGCTGCCTCCCGACAAAGCATAACGCATCAGTGTAGGCTAACTCACATAAATAGATAACTCAGTTCTATCTTGGTTTGATAAAAAAGTGAAAGGGATTCGTTGGACACTGCTATTCATACAGCCTACAGTTATGTGCGCCGAACTGCCGCACGAGGCAAAGTTTTTTAGCATTATTTAAAATCAGTGGAAAAAAATCAACCCGCGTGCTTTGAAGATCCAACTAGTTATGTAATTCGATTTTCTCTTTCCATTTCTCTTCATAGGAAAGCACTGAACCTTTAGGGAAAACGACTTGCATTTGACCTGGTTTGTATGATTGTATTTGTGCACTTCAAATGAGCAAAGTTCAGCTATAAAATAATAGTGCATGTGACTTTCCATGGCTTTTGAAAAACAGATAAATTGAGTGCTTCTTAACTGAATTATCAGTTATGTTATCAATTATAGAAGCTGCAGTTATTATTTTGAAGGAAAATTTTTGGATTCTGAAACTGAGTTTTTTGAAACGTTCGCAAACTCATTTGATATTTCATATGAATGAGGTAAACCAGCGCTGGAACTTGAGATGGTTATTCTGCAGTATGAATTAAAGAATTAAAGAGAAGAATTAAAGAATAAATCCAAGGAAAGAAATTCATCAACTTCTAAAAGTGCCTCCAGAAAGAATCTTTCCTAAAATTGAGGGAACTCCCCGACTCATGTTTATATTTAAGGATATTTACGTGCTTTCCCACTGATCAATAAACTTATGCGCAGAAATTTCCTGCCAAATGAGAACTTTGGTCGCGAACATAAATATATATTCCATGCTCGCTATGTTCAGCCACAAAATTGCATCAAAATACTTGCATTTTTTATATTTTAAGACCTTATTACGCAGAATTTCAGTCACAAAATATAGCCAACAAGAAAGAAAGGTATTTTCAAACCACTTTTTTCAAATGCTCCCCCAATATTTGGCATATTTTTTGATCAGAGAAAAACCAGAGAAAACCTATTTCGATAAAACTTATCATTCTAAATGGCAGTGGAGTAATCAACGACAATTAAATAGCTGATGAACGAAATTTCAAAGAATAGAATTTTTTCAGAGAATGATAAATTTTACCGGGCGATAATTAAATGAGCAATTTTAAACTGATAAGGCCTAAAGTAAGATCCAAAAGTATACATTGAACAAGTGACCAAGACAAGCACATTAGATGGGCTTTCAGCGTTTGGACCTGTTGGTGTCTATATTCTCATTTTATGCCCATTTTCTCCTCTTTTAGCACCGCTCCTGGATTTAACGATAAGAATTTCATAATTTTTCTCTATTAATAAATTTTTTTTTTAAATTGGCCTTAAAAATATTGTTACTTATAGAGTTCTTTTATAGTTTAAAAGAACTTATGAATATTAACTAAAGGTTATTTTGATTAGAAATTCCGCTAAAAATGCCTTGTCTACAAATTAAAGAGTTGATAGATAAACAATTTAACTTTAATTGCTTTAAGAAAATTACAATAAAAATGATTTATTTCAAGTTTTTCAAGAAAAAACTAAATTGCTTTTTTTAAGTACTAAAACTACTCAAATATAACTAATTCATTCCATTAAAATTCAAACATTTTTAAATTCAACTAAACAATTAAATAATAATTTCAAAAAAAAGGCAAATAAAGTTAGGGGTCGAAAATTGGATAAGAAATTCCTCCAACAATTGAATAAATAACGAAAAAAAAAGTTGCGAGAATTCATTCACAGCATATATTTTTCGATACCTTTTTGATTCACCAAACAAATATGATTTAAATCACGAAATTTTTGATTGTAATCAAGGCCATATCCGACTACAAATTTGTTTGGAATATCGAAAGCCACGAAATCTTCCATTACCTATAATAAAAAATCAAACAACCTGAACTTGATCTTAAAATAAATTTGTTTTAGATTTCGAACAAACAAGGCTGAAAATAAAAAAATGCAAAAACTTTTTCCAAGCGAGTGACTCTTTTTGATAGAAGTACAGCTGTCCAAATTTTTTTAACGCCAATGTCATTCAAAGTGCTGACAAGTTTACTGATAGTTCTTCCACTGTCTATAATATCTTCAACAATCTAAAAAATTGAATAGTATGACCAAACAGTACTACCAATATGGAAAACAAATGATGTTATTAAGACATTAAGTCTATTTATCTAACCATAGGTATGCATGTGCACAGTGGTGTGTTAAAATCGAAATTTTCATGAATATAGGTAATATGCTTCGTAAAATAGCCAAATAGTAACCTTAATACGTAATATAACTCATAAAATACAAGAAAAACAAATTTTTATTCAATTCCACGGAAAAAACCACATGAAAAAGAGAATGAAAATAAAAAAATAAAATAAAAACATACGAGTATATTTTTGCCTTTAAGCTCATCGAGGCTGGAAAGTCCTAAAATCTCAATACCAGCTGACTGTTCAGTATTCACATAACTCTAAAATGGAAAAAAAACTGGATTTTTAAAACAAAGCAAATTAAAAAAAAGAAAAAATGACTCGAATTCGGATGAAATCAACTGTAAGAGACTCGGAACACGATGCACGAGCAATTGTCAGTTCGCCTACTAATGTCGTGAAGAAACGAAAGGAGCCTTTTAATATGCAAAGCATCACAAGAGGCTGAAATGGTAATGAATTCCTCAAGAGTTCTAAAAAAAGTTTCATAATGATTTAATATTAACATTAAAAAATGATTGATGCGAAGTAGCCAACAACCTAACCTGATCTCCAGTTTCGGCAAATATTTCCTGAGAAAGCCGTTTCACCCGATCTTTAATAAAGCCTTCTGGGATGATAACCGATGATAAATCATCGTAGTAACAATTGGGTATTTGAAAAGAATCGAGTTCGAACTAAAAAAAACAGCTAATGTATTCGCAAATTCATAAGAACCAAAAGGAAAATACTGAGGAAAATAAAGGCTTAATAGCGAACCTCTAGATCAGAATGTATAACTACCGGCGAAGATCTTTTAGGCATTTGTCAAACTTTCCTAAAAAAAGTTCGCAACACTGAAAGAAATTAATTAAGCAGTTGCGGATGGAAAATGTCCTCTTCATAAAAGACCATCACACGCCGAACAAATTATTTCTCTCTAAGCTCACAACATAGAACCTCGGCATCGCTCCAAATAATCTAATTAAACCCCTCTTTTGCTTTCGCAGCGATACTATCACCCGAGCTATTCTTGGTAGCCGTTACCTAGTGTCACAGTAATGCATCAATGTACAAAAATTGAGAAAGAAAAAAAAAACTGGAAATTAGAAATAAGAAACCCAAAAATATAAAAATTAACTACACCGGCCTAAATTACCTAAATTACTAATTTTAGAGCAATACCATTTAAACTACTTTTCTGTTATAACAAAAATTTTCACCAAATATTTAGAAATAATTTCCAATTACTTAAAATGTATATATCAATGGAACAACAGGAATAATATAAAATATATGATAATCTCCTTATTAATATTTTTATTTCAAATCCCATTTTAATTACAATGAATGATAAATATTTTAACGAATAACGAATTAATCCTCGAACATTCTGTTCACTTTCTGAAATTTTTTTTACGAAATAAAGCAGAAGAAAAAAATATAGGTTAAAAGCTCCATCCAGCATGTTCTTTTATTAAATCGGCATTATTTTTTCGCATCTGCCGTACCGCTCCTGCTTTTCCTTTGGCATTCAATTTTTTTCTTTCTTTCTTCTCTCTTAGGCGAATCTCGCTAATCACACGCTTTCTGATAACCTAAAAAAAACTTTTTTTCAAAAAATTACATTAAGTTTTTGAAATCTGATTATCTAAAGATTAAGTAAACAATGCCATCTACCTCAGCAGGACAATTAGTCCTGTATGTAAGTACTGATTTCGCTTTTGAATCAACATCTTCGTCACTCGAAACAACGCAGCTTCCATCAGTACTATTATCCTCCTCGTACTTTTCAACATTAGCCAGGTTAGTATGGGATGGTTCTGAATAAATTATTCATCATTAATACAAATTTTAATAACAATATATTCGGGTTGCTACCGCCTGATAGCGATAAAATGATAAATATGGATATTGATGGCAACCAGCAAATGACTCACTGAGAGCCAAGTCACAAATGGCACTGTAATAGTTTAATCTGCAGCGAAACGATTTTTGGCTGAAACAAATTGACAATAATAAATATACAATAAAAAAATTTACCATCTTCAGTATCACTCAAAGGACATTCATTTGATAACCCTGCTTCACCAAAGTGTTCGTTTGTACATTTTATCCAATCAGCAGTTCTAAATTACACAAAATGACTTTGATCTTTCACATTTTCCAGAAATAAACCAATGAAAAATTACCGATCATAGTCTGAACTGTCGTTTATTAAACTTTCTTTTTCAGCACGAGATTTATGTCCTATTTCAGCATCATTTTCATTTTCATTCTCTTCTAGTTTCTCGCGCTGAAAGATATATAGAATTTTTGAATATTTATAATGAAAGCCATGAAGATTTTTTAAAAATCTTTCATTGGAAAAAAATGATTATGAAAAATTCTTTGGCGAAGAAATGCAAGTAGTACTTTTTGTTTAACGACACCACTTGCTCTCATCATCACATCAAGATAACCCGTTCTGTTAATATCACTGAGTTTCGGGTATAACTCACTTTCATAATGAAATCTGGAAACAAGAAAGCGGAAAATTTAGATCTTATTGAATGAATCAACTACTGTAATTGACACTATAAATTGGTTAACACTATGAAAGCCATACGACTTTAATGAATTTAATGAAAAGATAACATCCTATAATTTTTTTTGAATACCAAATAGTAAAAAAGACACCAGAAAAATGAATGAATGGCATACAAAAAAAACAAAAAAGTCTGTGAATTTATTATACAGTGGTGATCAAATCAGCCTCTATCCCAGCAGTCCACCACCACTCTCTGGATAATCTAATTCGAATAATATATCGTTATTTTATCTGACTGGTAACATCATTTTAATGATTATTTTATGTTAAAAATACTGTATTGGAGGCCAGCACTCGAGTCCGTTGAAAAAAGTTTCATGACCACTGCTTAAGATTATTATTTTTCATTTTTTCATAGGAAGTCACCTCATTATTTAAGTTGTTGCTCGAAGTTCGGAGCGGCGAAGCTGATATTCTACCCTCAACAAATCTGATCTGAACGGATTTTTCAAAAATCTGTTGAATAATGCTGATTATCGTGAAAGTAAAAGGATCGATCCGTTTTCACTCTTCTTTGGCTCAGAAGCTTCTATCAGTTGAGCTCTTCTTTTTGCATTGCTCTTGTTCAACTTAATTTTTTGTTTTCCTTTTTACGAGTTCTGTTGTCTTATCATATAATGTACTTGATGTACTCTTTGCTGATTTACTATTTCGCATATGCCAGTAAGCTTTGATGCATCTCTCTGAGGTGATGCAAACTATCTATCCTTCTTTGTCAATCTTCATTGATCTCACTTCATTGATCCTTTTTGATAATAATTGTTAGGGATAAAACTGCTGGTTCGAGTCCATTTCGTAATTTTACGATTTAAATGATTCCCTGGCAACATTTGTCCGGTCCAATAAGCTAGAGAAACGATGTTAACCAGAATGGTAAAAACTCTTAGAAAAAACTCGATATAAAGAAAACCCAGGTGGAACCATATTTACATAAACATGAATATTTCACGAAATAGAAGTGCCTCATGATCCTTAGCTTTTCGACTTGTTTTTTACAAATTTATCGAATTACATAGATTTTATTGTTTTATTAAATTTATTAAATTTTAGTAAGTTTTGAAAAAAGAAACAACGCTAAGAATTTTCAGTTAAAAGAAAATTAATACCGCCTAATGAAGAATTTTCTAATACAGCCCACATCTCTATCAAAGTAGAAGTCGGCGTTCTCATGATCTATGCTCAACATCTGCGGAAAATCAATTAAAACTGGTTCCTCTTCCTAAAAAAATATTTATAATTCTGAAAATTTCTAAAAAAAATATAGCTTATAAAATACTAGCTTTTTGAAAAATTGTTTCAGAATTGTTTCTCCCAAAAATTGTTATCTATCATCCTTGTTTTCTTCCTTCACTTCACTTCACATTTCACTTCACGAATAAAGATTTCTTGAGGAGAATTCTATTATTTTGGGAGAAAAATCCTTTTAATTGCGACCTAAGATTCAAAACTATGATAAGAATACACAAATACCTCAGTTAAAATAATATTAAATTCGTTGAAATCACCGTGTATCAATCCACATTCGCCAAGACGAACAATTAAAGACATTAATTTATCATAGAGAATTTCTGGCTGCAAAGATTGAAAAAATAATAATATAAAGTTTCCACAAAAATCAAAATGAAAATCGACACACTTAAATAGAATTTAACATTTGTTGAACAACCCACCTTATCAACAGTTCGAACATTGCACAAAGTTACGCCGCTAATAAAATCCATAACTACTGTATGACGACATATATCAATGGGACGCGGAACAGGAAAATCGTTTTCATAAAGAACTTAAATGGAAGAAAAATACACCGAAGACATAAACTGTATTTCACAGAAATAAGTCACAAAAGAAACCTTTCAAAAATTTATATTCATTCTCTGCTGCCAACCTTGCTAAGTACAACCACGAACAAAACTTCCTCCGATTATGATAATCTCGTTTTTCCTTTAACTTTCGAAAAGTTCTTCCCAATTTATGCAATTTTAATACCAAATTCTATAAATTTTAAATATAATTTTACAAAAGAACAATTTTAAATTTTACAATTTTATAGAAAATAGAAAATAAAATATTGGAGGCGAAAAAAAACTTGCAAATGAAAATTAAACTCACGTCGCGTTTTGCATCTGCTGCAAGAAATATTTGTGATTCTTTACCAACACCAATTTTTTCAAAGACAAAACCCACAATCTCGCGAGAATGAAGAGCATTTAACGCCAAAAAGTCATAACCTTGCTGAGTTAATCGGTATCCATCAACTAAAATCGTATTCGCCACAACGAAAGGATGAAAAATGAAAAAAAGAAAAAATAAACGAATAAAAAATGAAACGGGATAATTTTTTAATAAAAATATTTAAAAAGCATAAATAATAAAAGCATAAATAATATATTAATAGAGGAACAAAGTAGGAGCAGAAAAGTAGTAAAACATATATATATATATACAATATTCATATTTTTTGTGGCACTCAATTTCTTAATCTCAGCGACTATCTTGGTGGACCCCTTCCTTTCTCATACAAATAAAAAACCAGTTAAGAAGTTAAGAATAGAAGTAGCTGAACTTCAATTTTAATGACAAAGTTCCTATCGATTAATTTATCAATAAGTGCGTTAGCACCTTAGTGACAAGGAATGCTAAAGGCTGCAAATTAACCAGAGCTTCAAAAATAATTACAGGCCGACGATAGCAACAATTAGATAAATGATGCATCGCCGAAGGACCGATGAAGAAGAAAGAATTTAAGAAGCTACAATAATAAAAGAGCTCTCTTTTGCAGGATGTGATGAAAGTCGTGCGAGCAGGACTGATCCTAAAAAAATTTTGTTCTCGCCATTCCGTAATGCGCCATGATTCGTCTATTCTGTGTTCTAACATTTCAGATTGAGTAAAAAGAAAGAGAACCAAGTGAAATTTCGAAAATGAATTAAAGTTTTAAAATTTAAAATTTTTTGAAGAAAATAACTGAATTTTGCACAAAATTTATAAAGCCAATTAATTAAAAATTAAAAACTATAAATAATTCTTCAATGAAAAAATCTCAGAAAAAATACGAGTACACTTCGTTCAAAAAGAGAAAAGACTGGCTAACATCTTTTGCCTTTTTCATAAATTACTGCAGAATATTCTCGTAATTGCGACAACGCACAGTTTACTGCACCACGATGAGTACCCGCAATATAAGCAACAATATGCAGTGGTACCAATTCATGATTTTTCATTCCCATCTCAACCTGAAAATTTTCGAAATTAATTCCCAACAATTAAAAAAATAAAATTGAAAATTTGTAAGATATGTTTTTTAAAACAAGAAAAGAGGAACCGCTGTTAGAACTCGATAATGCAGTGGCTGAAGATATCGCATTAGCTGAAAATCGACACGACCCATCTGAAAGAAAAGCGAATTGTCGTTTTAGCTCAACCAGATAATAGGCTTTGACTCTTAGCTAAGCTACCACCTTTTAATACGATTAGAAATTTCATTTGTGCCGGGAAGGCATTTACGGTGAACAGAAATACAGAAAGGTGGCCAGCATCACCTGGAACTTCTACCACGGGCGAGAGTCTGCTTTTGCCTCTCAATACAAGGTAAATCATTCACTCGGCTATCGTACCCCTCCTCCCGTTGCTATTAATAGAACGCTATTCCTTTCTTTGATCGTAAAAAAACTGAACAAATTTGCCATGAAATTCTTCAATAAAATTCCCAACTAAGGCATTGTTTAGATGTTAATTTTTCCCCTCCTCTCTCACCACTCCCATAAAAAAAAAGCTTATTCAATAATTTCACAGTTTATGTTACAAATAAACGTTGGCAAAACAAAGCCAATTGAGAAATATTGGAATTATTAATCGATCATTATGATACCTTTTATTACAACGATATGATAAAATGATAACGAAGTATTAGTATGACGTAGAACTAATCACTGTTTGGTAAGGCCATGATTTAAATCCACTACCTCTCTTCGCCTTTTCCGGTCCACTAAAAACCAATGGCTTTTTTTTTACAATCCCTAATAAAATAGCTTACACCAACATTCCCCCTACTCCACACGTTTAAATTTGATTTGCAGCTATTCAGAAATTTATTATCTTCCAAATAGTGCACCTAACTGTCGGACCCCTCAAATAAACTGCCAAATTTCTAACTGCTCTCACCATTATTGGCAAGATTTGCTCGGCTGGCTATAAGGATGTTTCCAGGCAGGAACATGGTGCTGTCGTCGATATCAGGAGCCATCCCTTCTTCAATCGTCTAAGTCCATATATTGTTGGTCCACCTACACGCTCAAAGGTCTGCCGAACTATTAGTAGGTTCCCCGTATTTCCGAAGAACGGTTCGGTTTTACTGGAATCGTAAAATGCATTTTTTCTTTATTATAATCACTTAATAATTGTAAATCATATGAGAAAATATTGAAAAAAACAATAAGTGAATAAAGATAAAAAAATATGAAAGGCTACTCGGTATAATTTCAGCACATAGTATTATCTTATAAAAAGTTAAAAAATTAACTGGGAAAAGGCTAGGAAAAAGTATTATTATCTTATAGAAAGTTAAAAAATTAACTGAGAAAAGACCAGAAAAATCGGAAAATGAATCGTTGACAAAAATTTGAAAAATTTTCCACCAAGGAGAAATATAAATTAGGTCAATTATTCATTAAATCATCTTTTTTTTAAAGAAATTATATTTGAAAAATTAAAAGCAATTTTTCAAGTTTACAATCGTTTATTTACAGAAAAAAAAGAAATTAATCAATCAATCTTTTTAACGAAATTTTTAATGTCATTATTGCATTATTACTTTGCAATAATTTTTATTTTACTGATAAATGATTTGATTTCGAATGAAATGAATGCAACTAAGATGACTGATTCAAATCGGAAAATCGTAAACGTGATATGATACCATTTCGCTCAAAAAACATTACGTAATCACATTTACGCTTTAATGGTGGTGAATCGCAATCGTCCAATAATACTTCTTCCATTACCTCGGTTACCAATGCTGGATTTGTCTCCTTTAAATTTTGCCAAGCCGCTGTTTTCAAAATATAGCTCTTATTCGTACGTAACTGAAACAAATTTAAAACATAGTGAATTGAGGAAATCATAAAAGCCAATATATTGAGAGCCAAAAATGAGATGCATTTTAATGTAGTACCACTTCAACAGCAATCGATTTTAGCCACTTGCAGTTATAAAGGTCTGCAAAGAGCAACATGTCTACAACGTTATTTCTATCCACATTAGTACTAATTTTTTCTTCACACATTAATTTTAATTGATCCAGTTGATAACGTTCCGCAAGTTTTAAAACTTCTTCAGCATTAGTACCCAAATCCACATAACCGCAGTACATATACTTTAACATCATCCTAAAAAATTGGCATAATTTTGGCATAATTCCTAAATAAGGTCAGTATTTCTATTCATGTGCTTCCAAAAAAGCATGATTAGTTTGTTTGGAAAAAGACAAGATTAATACTTGGAATAGAAAATAAAATAACCATTATAAAATAAAATATAAAATAAAGGGTAATTAAGAGAAAATGGATTTAATGAATAAAAAAAATTTTCTTAAAATAAAAAAATGCTGACTTGACCGATTCAACATCAGTATCCTCGATCACGACTCTTTTCTCTTTATTTTCCAACATATTTTCATAAGAAAACATTGCATTAAACACCTAAAAACTGTGCTATCTAATGAAGTGTAAAAAATATAAAATCATCAATAAGTTTATTTTTTTATATTTTTTCCTATATTTTTAATTTATTTTTTATTTTTGTTATTTTTTTTAATAAAAAATTTACTTTTGAATGAACACATAAACAAAATCGATTAACTGGAATTAACTGGCCATTGCATTCTAACATGCAGTCAGCTTGCACACCTGTTTCAAGTGCCATTTCCTGTTGTTTCACATATTCATGGCAAATCTGAACAAAGGTGAAAAGATGATAATGATAAAGATGAATGGTCATATTCGAAGAAAAAAATAATAACTGAACCAAACGACTAGAAATACAAAAAAAAACGAATAGAAAAAAAAATACCGGTAATTTTCGGGTAAAATATAATGTATTTTTTGAAAGACATTTCGCTTTTGCTATATCAGGGATTAGCTCTATTTGGCAATAAATAACGAGTGAGTCATCAGATCGCAAACAATTTAACACCTATAACAGTGGAATCCAGGAATTAACCGTAAAATTCTTAGAATATATAAGGCTCATAAAAAAAACATAACAAATAAATTTTCATGAAGCCAATTTGAAATGAGCGAAAAGATGAAACATGACAAAAAGAACTTAATTTTTGACGAGGAATATTTCTTAATCCCCACGAATGACCTCCTTTAGGAGGCTTTGCATGGAATTCACCAACATTGACATTGCTAAATACAGGGAAATCTCTCTCATTCAAAAAATAAAATCGATATTCAACTTTGATTTGAAACTGAAATATTAAATTAAGTTAAATTAAATTAAGATTAAATAATCTTGTGTCGAGGTTAAATTGAAAATTTTAATGAAAGAATAAGAAAAATTCTTTGTAAGACCTTGACCAAAGACTGGGGAAATCCAGACCTTTTAATATTCCCGTACATCCCGTTAAGTGTCACCTTGATGTTCTCAAACCCAAATACTGAACCATAAACCTCTAGTAACGACATCTTAAGTTGCTCTTAGTTAATAGATACTTTTTTACCAGCAAATAAATAGAACAGAAATATTAAAAATTAAGCGGAAAGTTTAGCTTTAAAAAGTTTAGTTTAATGTTTTAAAGCTTTACATTAAATTCTGAATAAAAAAATTAGGGAAAAAATCATGGTAAACCTCCTTCGTGGGCGATGTAGAAGACATTTTAAGAAAAAGTGATACATGATTTGCATTTTCTACACGCTTTCCAGCAGGATATAAGCACAGCTGCCAATATGCCTCAGACTGATTACTTTCTCGAAATACGTTACTTCTCATACAATTGCCAGGCACTGACAGTTTAATAATTGATCCAGCATTTTCAATCTGAAAATTCCTAATTTTTAATTGCATAAAAAATTAGAAACCTTTAAAAAAGGTAACGACATTCGATAAAATAAATAGAAAGTTATTATTCTACTTTAAATAAATTTTAAATAAAAATAAAGATATAAAAAGTCCGGCAAAATATCCATATAAATTTCTTATTCAGATCATCATAGCCTGTTGTTCAAAGATGAAGAAAACTAAAGGAAATGCAAAGAAGATATAATAAAAGTAATAAAATGACCAACTTTCCAATATTGACTAATCTGAACAGGATCAATCCTTGTAAAACATTTACTAATACGATTACTAGGAGCTGATGGAGTTGTCTCATTACTCACAGAATGTGATACTGATAAGTTGTTGTAGATTTCTTGGCTATTTTTATTCATCTGCAAGGCAATTTATCACAATTTGGGTCATGCATAATACAAGCAGATAGATATCAAATAATTTTCAATACTTTTTCGTTGTAAAACGATAAAATAAAACGATAAGCAAAGGGCTATTATAAGACTTACTAGATTTACTATATTAAACTTACTAGATTAAATAAAATCTATCAGAAACTGAAAATTCCAACAAATCGAATCTTCACACTTCCTGAAGGAGAAAAATTGAAATATTTTCGAAAAGAATTTTATTTGAAATTTTAAAATGAAAATTTTTTAAAATGAGTAAAATAAGAAAATATTAGACTAATAATTTTAATAAAATTAATAAAATTTAATAAAATTAATATATATGTAATAAATTTAGCGATAATTAATTATGTATCATAATAATATGGAGAAAAAATATTCAATAGGCCATAACAAGATATAAATCGGTTTTAAAAAAATTAGAAATATCACTTGAATCATACAGCATCAAACACGAGCCAAGCCGATCAAATAATGCAAAAAACAATACAGTGGTCACTAGAAAAAAGATATAATGGTGAGGAAAGCGAAACCCACGGCAAGACAGGCAGAAGAAATCGCGAAAAAAATAGCACCATTATAGAATATAATAACTCTTACGCAAAACTAACTAACTATTTAGATTTACTATATTAACTTACTAGATTAAATAATTTGCCAGAAATTGAAAATCCCAACAAATCGAATCTTCACATTTTCTGAAGAAAAAAACTGAAATATTTTACAACTGGAAGAATGTCCACATAGCTGTAAATCCGAAAGGAATTGATGACTTATAATGATAAATTATAACAAGAATCAGCGAGAATCAAGAATGGCTCACGTCCAATCCAGATGCACCATGCTTCGTTGAATGGCAATTATAACCAAATGGCAAAACAAAAAGGGGAAAAATGGTTGTTGCTCAACTTGGAACAGTGATGCTGAGGTCTTAATAAAAAAAAGCCAAGGAAAAGCAAATCTATCCTTAAAAAATCCAGGTGGTGTTGGCAATTCACCAATATTTCGATTCAAGGCCAAGTGAATCACCAGCTAAAATTGTACAAGCCAGCGAAGCAAACTTTATCAACAATGGCAAAAACTCTTAGAAAAAGAAAAGTATTATGTTACTGATTTTATTTAGAATGATAAGCAAACGATGAATGCATTTATTGCAACAAATATTGTGTTTATCATTTAGTGATAAGTGATAAAGAATCATCAGATCTATCATCAGATCAAAAACCCTAAAAACATTTCGCTGGAGTAATCGGCGAAGCAAAATCATATACGATGCGCCCGATGGAAACAAAAATAATACTCGTGATGCATTCATGCGGAAGGTGTTATCCTTCTCTACTGTTAAAGCCATTTCCATTTTACGAAGGAAAAAGGTGTGAAAGTATTTGGCGGTCGCATAAGGAAACCACTGCTTCCTCAAAAAACCACCGCCGTTTTGCCCTAAATAATAATTTACGCACTACAATTGCATTCAGTGATAATGAGCGGCAGAGAGAACAAAAAGTGAAAAATTGTTTCTGTTCCGACTCGACTCGACGTTTTAGCACTAAAACGCTTGGCCCGAGAGTTTCGCTGCAGCAGAGGCACAGATGGCTTGCCGGTCAGACAGCAGCGCGGGGCTGGTAGTACCACTTGCAACTGAAGGTATTCCCATTAATAATCCGAACAATTTTTATTCAAATTAATATTTATTCTTTATTAAAATTAATTCCATTAATATTAACATTTGAAAAATCAATATTATTTGCATATATTAAATATTCGCCAAAATCAAATTGCAATTCCAAAAAATGAAAGAATAAAAACTAACCGTTTAGATCAAATCATTGAACAAAACTTTCAGGAATCAATTTAATGGAGATTTCTTCTTTTAGAATCCGCAGCCGCGTTTTATTCATCAGTGTTTTCCTATCGTGTAGTTTTCTATTCATCAGCGTCGGCTCCATTTAGTTCATTTTCAAACGAAGTATTGATGTGAAAAAAGGCTTCGAGAGATTTTTATGAAGGAGAGAGGGAAGGTAGCAGGATTGTCGCGGTTCCCGCGACTCGTCTTTTCCTGGTGCACTACCGACTATACGAATAAATTACTGCAAAAAATAGTCGAAAAAGATTGGTGGTTTTTTTAGTTTGAATAATTAGGGGATATTTTATTTTCGAAATAATCATTCAGCGAATAATAATGTAAGGAAAATATTCTGGAAAAATGAAAATCTGATGCAAAAAAATGAGTCGCTTGAACAGCGGAAACTTACTTAAGTAGTAAAGTAAGAAGTAGTTCAAGCAAAACAGTTTAGGTAAAGCAGACCGTTAAAAGAAAGTGAATAAAGTGAGAAATTAAAGTTTGACTGAAAACTTTTAGGGATTTTAATTTGGTGGTAGTTTTTCATATTTTTATTACTTTTGCAATATTTCTTAATGTTTTATGTATTTGTAGAATTCATGGAGGAATACAGTTTGCAATAGAATAACAGTTCTCGATGAAATGATAATCGACGGTTATTCGCTTCTTTTCCTTCTAACACTTAGCGTTCTTGTTAGTGAAATATTTTTTTCATTTTTATAGTTTTATTTTCTATATTTTTATTTCATATTGTACTTTAATTATTAAAAGATATTTTATGTCTTTGAATTTATTATTTTCGGTTCACTTATTTTAATTTATACTCGTCTTTCGTCATCATCGAACAGTGAGCATAAGGCGATTCGTTTCCGAATCGTGGCCGAAGGGCGAATCATCCTTCCGCTCCTTCTGCACCAGAGTTCTTAAGTGTTGTGATGGTACGCTCGTCTTCGTTCTGTCCATCTTGTCATTGGTCTTTCTCGTTTGTTATTGTTTGTGGCATTTAATCGTGGCATTAATGTTTCTGCAAACGCATTATTTATCTCTGATTTAATTGGTATGGCCAGTTACTATTAGGTAAATAAGAAATTAAAGTTCGATTCGATTTTTGATGGTTAGATTAAAGAAAATTTTATTTAATAAATTAAGCAACAGTCGGCAGTTTTTTCTCAACGAGAAAGAAATTTGTAAATGCCATTCTGTCGTAATTCTCAATCGTTGGAAGCAGATGATTTTTTGACCATTTGGATGGTACCAGATGGAGCCCACAAAACCAGAAAATCTCTGGTTGACAATATTTAATATCTAAAATTTTAGCTAAAAAACGTGATTTACATGAGAGAGCTACGAACTTTAACTTTAATGAAATATAAAATATAGTCTGTACTACTTCCGAAAAACAAAATGTATTGTTTATATTGACGCTGAATCCACCTACACCATATATCTTCGTTCCGAGTAATGGGATAAAATAAAGAGCCCTCACTATTCTTGGTTAATCCTTCACCATTGGCTTGTCGAAGTAGGCCAGTTTCAAATTTTTTCAGTGAAGTGGCGATAGAAATATAGATGGGTTATCAGCTCCACCAGAATTTTTAAGAGACAAAGTTGTTCTTGATAGAACTCCAGTAGCAATGTTATTCGATAAAGGATGATAAGCTCTTTCGAAAGAAATAAGAAATGGTATCCGTCAAGGATGCGTCCTTTCCCTACATTATTCAACTTTGCGATAGACTGGATAATGGACATCGCTTGTCGACACTCAAGAGGTATCCAAATCAATCCAGAGCATCGTATCACAGATCTTGAATACGCTGATATAGTCCTTTTTGCTGACAGCTATGGCAAAATGCAAATATTGCTAAAATTAATAAGAAACTAATAAAATGCCTTTTTTAATAAACTTATTGAAAAAATGTTCGGTTTTAAATACTTTGGATCCACTCTAATACCGAATGACCAGGTTAAGAATGAAATTACCCGGACAACAGTAATTAGAAATGCTTTCTTCTGAAATCTGTATGGAACCATCGCAAAATCACCAAGAATATTTAAAAATCTGCCTTTGGCTACTTATGTCTATGGTGCGAGTTCGAAGAGTGGATAAAATCTAACATTCATTATCGCATTCATCTCTGTTTAAATACCATTTGCATTAACAGTACCATCACAGAACATCGCCTTCGCTGGTTAGGACATATTCTTCGTCGCCCATTATAAGAGTTGATATTTCGTTTTTCATATTTCGTTATTTGTTAAACCCTGTGATAGGTGGCAAGGTGGGACAATCAATGTCTGGACTGACATGGAAAGATTTTAAATGCATAGGTGAATGTATACCAGCAATATATGGATTTAGACGATGAAAAAATAAGTGGCTTCTATTACTGTCGACGATGGCATTAGATGGCATTAGATCACGCAGCTTGGAAACTTCTTACCGTTGTGGTCAGTGGAGCCAGCTTAACCAATAATGGTTGTTAGAAAAAGAAGAGATGATAAACATTGATACAAACTTGATGTTAGCAACGTGCCATCTGTTTTTCATCAAATTTCAGCAGTATTTCATGGTGTAAAGTAGCGGATAATAGGCTATTAACCATTGGAATTTGATATTGCCAGTGAGTGCCAAAGTGATCTAGATGCAAAGAAATGGCTGCTTGCGTCGTTTTGCAAGTTCCTGCCGTTTATCATCATCTCCAATTATCACTCTTGTAGACTGCGAAAATCCATCTTTAAACTTATTTTAATCCCATCTTTAAACCTAATAAGTGAGTTAGGACAACTGTCTACAGATGTTTACATAGACATGAACATCTTACCTGAACGCTTTGTATTTCTGAGTCATCTAATGCAATATTTCAATATTGTCATCTGTTTCATTAATTATAAGATCAATTTCATTAAAGTGATAATTTGAAAGACTGAAAAAATATTTTTTGGCAGCTATTATAAGGCACTTCCTAACGTGCTTATGCATATTGCTTTTCGTCAATTAGTACAATACAAATAGTTAATTTATTAATAAATTTATTTTTATTAATATTTACTTTCTAAATTTATTTTCTTAATTTATTTGTAATAAACGAATTTTTATATTTTATTCTTTTACAAAATAGCAGCAAGTTTTAAATTAGCGGCAAGACTGTGTACTCTCCTTGAAAATTATTTAAAAGATTTCGTTTAACAAAGCGAATAGAACATTTCGCAAAATTTAAAGATTTTCATGATTTTGTTTCATAAAATTCACAAAATTATAGGTTCTTATAATTTTGGCTATATTTTTCCAAAGACAAATATTCCGAGTAAGAAATAACCATAGTCTACGAAGGGAAGCGATTAACGATATCGGTTATGGATTATCCAAGGTTACTTCGCTTTGTCACTCTTTTTTTCGTAACTTTCAGTTTTAATAATTTAAAGACAATAAATTCAAAAATTGTTCTCTTGAATTTTTTTATTGCCTCAGTTTCGCTCTTTTCTGGCTACAACAGAATAGGCTTAAATGAATCTATCGACAAAATTAAGTGATTTCTTTTATTTTTTGAGAAATTTATGTATTTTCTGTCATATCCATATCCATACTTTTTTAAATTATAAATTATGGAAATATTTATGGCTATGTGTAATTTAGGCAGAGAAAGCAGAACTTTATCATGGGATTGAAGTAGTTCGACAATTTCAACTTCTTAGAGCTCCTAAGTTCACTGAAATAGGGAGCATGGCCGAACGTAATTTATTTTTATGCGTTTTTTTTACTTTCGAGTTTTTTTGCTCTATAACCGTAAGTTTTAAATAAAAATTTTAACCTACTTTTTAGCCTAACGATATCGCTATGTCGTTGTATTTTCGTGAATAGACCTGAAAATGTGATTAATTCTGATTTCCGTATAAATTGAATAGATTTCCGAAATATATACGTCAGAGAGGAGATTTATTTTCAGATGCGAATGCCCCTTATATTAATCGAATGATTGCTTTAGACGAATTGCGTGAAATAGGTCAAATTTTTGAAGAGTTTTATTTTATTTTTTCTGCAATGAGCAAATATTTTATTTTAGTTTTTATATTTTATATCATCGATTTTTTATCAGTTTGCGAAAGTCTCTTTTTCTTAGATCGGCAATTAGAATTTATAAATCCTGATTTGGCAAGAATTGCGGGTGAATCTACTTATTGTTATCTTTCACGAATTCGGCGGTTGGCTCTGCCAGGCCTTTCAGAAAAATTAGTTGAACGAATTGGGTTCTTGGCCGAACATTGCCGTTATAGAGCTGAGGTTCTCTTTAATTTTATTTGAGTTTTTTTAAGGTTTAATTCGATTTCGTATGTTGTTATTTTATGTTGTTTTATGTCATTTGTTTCGATGATTTTATTTTTATAATTTTATTTTTATTTATTATATTTATTTATTTTTGCTATAATTTTATTTTTATTTTTAATCCTACCATATTAAATTTTAATTTTACTAATCATATCCACTTTTATAGTTATTTTCAAAAGCTTATAATTTGTAGCCTTTTGGCATAACTGAACTTGGTGAACTGCGTGCATTAATAAAGGATATCGTTAGAATGTGGGTATTTCGGATTTTCACTTCATTTATTTTATTTCTTTTTCATTTTTCTTTTGACTTCGGTTTTCTGCTTAATTTAAATCATGATTTAATTTTAATTTTTTTATTTTTTCTCTCGCCGTCCATTATTCCTATTTTTTCCAGGCTGAATGGTGAACAAGAAAGATTGTCTGCACTTAGAATAAAATTAAGCGATACAGGAATGAGATTTGCTCCTTTCTTATCAGCATCTGTACATAACATTTATGTTTTCCAAATATATTTGTTTCTTTTTTCGATATTTTTTTTATTTTCTCGAAGAATATTTTCAGTTTAGGAAATGTTTTTCGATTTCTTGATCATTTTAATCATAACCATTCATAATAGAATTTTTAGGTTTTCGAGTGATGCTAAGCATTTACGTAAACGCAATGAGTATGAAACGCAAAAAAATTGTAAAAATTGTAATTTGAAACCAAAAAGGATATCATTCAAGGTGAATTATATAATTACATATTATGTAATTTTTTTCCGTTCTTTTAATTTAAATAAATAATAATTTCTATACTTTTTCTGACAAAAAATCTTTTAAGATATTCAAGATTTGAAGTTTACTTTTGCTTTTCATTCATTACATGGAATTAATTCTTTACAGGGTATTCGTGTTTTAGAGTTCGAGGTTTATGAAACGACAACACAACTGTAATGATAACGAATGTGATTTACCACTGCTTAATCCTGATAAAAGGAATGAAGAATAATTTCCCACTTTTTTAATTTGTGAAGGAATTACAGAAAGAGTCGTGGACAATTCTAATGGAAGGTTATTAAATGATTTTTGGTTATTAAATGATTTTTAATGTATTTTTTCGATATTTTGCAATGTTGTTTACTCAAATATTAGTTTCGTCCAATCTTTTCTAAAAATAAAAGCGAAAAAATTTACCTGTATCCAATCTTTTCAGGTCGAAGTCGATGATTACTACTATGCTGTAAATGGGTTATATTTATATATTTATTTATATTTATATTGATGTTTTGTTTATTTATTTATTTTTTTATTTGTCCACTGAACCCAACCAGGTGAAAAGCCATATGATGGTGCTATAAACAGCAAACGAATGATGCCCATGAAAGCTAATTTAAGAGAAAAGAGAAAAAAGAGTTCTTTATATAATCTCACTATCTACAATTTCATATTAAAATGATTCGCCATATCATTTGTTATCTGTTGTTTTCCAAATTTTTGAGATGTTTTCTTCGCAAGATTTAAAGTAAAAAATATTTCTTTCGTTTTGGCAGCATTTTAAGAACTAGTAATAAAAAAATATGGATGACTGTAGATGTCGTTTCGCATTCTCAGCTCCATCTGCAAATGGCTCTCTTGCAAAAGAATCTCATTCCTAGTGGTCAGCCAAACCAAGAATGATAAAACTATTTCTAAAACTATCCAATTTCTAAAATTATTTAAATTTTACACAAAATTTTTTTTGAAAAGATTCAAATGAAGTGTTTTTTACTCGTTCTATTTCATTTAACAAAAAGATGAGTTTTGCGACCTTTTTTTCGCGATTGTTCGCTTTTTATAATTATTTGCAATTAACTTGCTAATTACCTATATTTTGCCAAATCTTTGGCGAATTTGTTATTTAAGCAATTTTGGATTAATTCTGAATTGGTTGCATGGTACTCAGGAGATATAAAAACTTCAGCAAATTTTTCTCTGAATATTTGTCGCCAGAAAATCAAAGACAATTATAAATATTATAATTATAAATATTGGTAATTAATCCGTCGCAAAAAATATTCTTTTGAGCCGCCAATTAACGATAATCGGGCTTTTACCGCGTTTCTCTTTGGTAGCCATTCTTGTTGCATTTACAATTTTTTTCTGCAAGCACTCACCATTTCAGCCTTAGGCTGACTGCGCTGGCTCGAATCACTTAGCGATAGGGGTACGGGTGGATTGCCAGTGTCATCCCGGGGTTTCGGAGGGTGGGCTTGCTCCTCCCGAACTATTTAATTCGAGGATAGAATTATTTTCAAACATTTTAATTTTTTATTTTCTAAAAAGCCGTATTTATTTATTTATTTAAATTTAATTAATTCGAAATTGATTTGAAATTGAGGCAATTAAGTAAAAATAAAAGTAAAAATCGAATAGTTAATATTTGCAAAAAATTTAAATAATAAATAACAGCGTACGGTTTACAATACTAAAGTTTACACTCGTAATTTGCCAGTATTTTTTCGTTTTTCTGAATCTTAAAATCATTTCAAAATATTGGTACTAAATCAGTAAAACAATAAAACAAGCATGAAAACTGTCAAATCCATTTATTGAATTACAAGTTTAAACCTTCTAAGATAATAATTTTTGCGACAATTTTCATAAATTTTTATGGAGTTTGATTTTTTATTTATTTGTATTTATTTTACTTTTACTTCATTTATTTTTATTTATTTATCTTTTGATAATTTGCAAATTCTATAGAACGGGGATTTAGTTGGAAATAAAGCAAATTAAGCAAATTTGTTTTCATTTTCATTGAATTTGTTTTTTTAAATTGCAATATTATTTTTATTTAAAAGTGTTTTAGGTAAATTTACAATATTAATTTTAAATAATGAATGAAATCGAGGCGAATAATAGTCGTGTAAATTCAAATACTTCGTTAAGTGCGTCGAATCGTTCGAATAAAATTTTTTTATTATCAAATGCTGAGGTTTTACAAATTTTTTTAAAAAACAATTCGCAAAATTTTCGTGAAATTTATTTTTATTTTTTATTTGCAGTTTTGTAATAAAATGTTAAATATTTTTCGATGATTTTCTAATTTCTTATTCTGAAATTTCAAAATTGTAATTGTAATTTTTCAATTTAGAATATTAAAAATTTTTATTAAACATCGAAAAATGAAAATAGAAATTAAAAATTGAAGCTTATAAACTGTTTAGATGAAATCGAATGCTTCTATTTATCAACGTCAAATTCATCATTCGAACTTTAAATCAATTGAGTCTGAAGAAGAAAGCGATGAATTAGTTGACAAAAACGTACGTGACGATGATCCGATTGATGATGGAATTGACGGTATAATTCTTTTAATAAGTTGGATTTCAAATTTAATCCACCGAATTATCCCAATTTTTTAAAAGATAAAATCGCTAGTTTTTAGTTTTTCTTTTTTGTGCAATTTAAAAAAAAAATTTAAAAAAAAATTTAAAAAAATTTAAAAAATTTAAGAAATAAAAAAATTTAAAAAAATTTTAAAAATAAAAAAAATTAAATAATAAAAAAATAAAAATTTTAAAAAAAAAATTTAAAAAAATTTAAGAATTTAAAAAAATCCAAAAAAAATTAAAATTTAAAAAAATTTAAGAAATAAGATTTAAAAAAATTTAAGAAATAAGATTTTTTTATTTTCACCAAAATTATCCAATTTATATATTTGCTTGCTGCTGAATAAAACTTTCGAGAAAGATTTATTCTTAAAGAAAAATTTTTTAGTTGGAATATTCATACTACTAATTAAGTAAATATGTGTTGCGAGGGGGAACAAGTATAATATAATAGCTGAAATCTTGAGAGACAAAGGTTTGACCTCTATTTGAGAGAGATGAACCTATAATTAAAAATTTGAAAATACATGCGCTGGTAACATGTGCATGTGCTTCTATCACCAAGTGAATTCCTGGTAAAATTTTTTATTCGTCCTAGTAACGGTGAAATGAAGTGAACTTGACCAGAAATGGTGAATGCTAAGAATTTACTTTAAAAAAATGGTTAACACTCACCATTTCTGGTAGGATTTTCATGGCTGGTTATTATATTCGAGAAAACAACTGCTAAATGGAGAAAAACAAGAACAAGTGACTAGTGCCACATGTTTTTTTTTTTTTTTAAATGGCCTGTTAATAGAAGAGGTGAACTACGTTGTTAGAAGTAATAATTTTAACAATCAATATTGTGCCATTCCACCAGCTGTGAATTTATTTTGATAATTGCTTTTCTATCATTATTATTACTATCAAATATGTTTGCATTCTTTCAGCATTGACCAATGTTCTTTCGAATTCACTGAAAAAGATTAAAAATTTACTCGGTTTTTCTCCACCTTGTTTGAATGGTGGAACGAAAACGTTAGAAGGTTTAATTATAATTTAAAATTCCTAAAAACTTGTCTCAATACTTCCATGTTTCATATTTTTGAATCTTATTTTAAAAAAATTAAAAACGAAATTTTTATGGTTTTTTGCTTTATTAAGTAGTAAATTTTTATTAATTATTGATTATTTTTACTGATTTTTTACTGATTATTATAGGTTATTGATTTTTTATCTTTTTTTTCCCAGTTTTATTCAATATATTCAATTTTATTGTTAGGATTTTGAATTTTTGATAGTTTTTGCTTTTAATTTTGATTTTTATTTACCCTATTCTAACTCTGTTTATGTTAAAGGCCGATGTATTTGCCGAAAATATTTCGAAGGAGAACTTTGCGAAAAAATCATTTGTGTCAATAATGGTACTGTTGTCTCCACGGGAATTCCGAATGAATATAACTGCAAGTGAGCCTCTTTTGGTATTTCAGATTAATTGCACAATGGTAGCTTTATTTTTTTTTATTCAAAGGATTATATTTAAACTTGCAATGCTAAACTTATTTTTTGCATTGCACTTTGAATTTACATATTTTTGTTAATCTTTTGATGTAAAATATTATCAAAATTAAATTAGAATTCACTATTTCCTTTATGTCATGGTTGAAAAATTTTGCTCTCGTCCTGTTGATTCGAGTAATTTATTTTCTATTCGGTGAACGGTCTTAGCTAGCTAAATGGTTTCAAGAAAGAAATTTTTTGATTTTTAGTTATAATTATAATTTTGTTTTTATTAAGGTCGATCAACCTTTCAGTTTCAGTTGTATACAAAAAGAACCACTATAGAATACGAATTTTACGTTTCGATTATTTGTTTAAAAATACAATGGAAAACACTTTTATTAAAATTGTTCGTTATCCCACACTTTTTGAACCCATCTGAATCTAATGAGTCATTTATAAAGTCTATCTTAGAAATTTAGCATATTCATTCCATTAATTATTGGACTGAAGAACTTGGTTTGGTCTATGCGCCATCTCTATTTTTGAAGAAAATTAATATTTTTAATAAAATTTTAACCTATTGCACTATTCAGGCTGCGAGATAGATCGAAATGAATGTTTTAAAGAAAAGATTTATGTACAGAGAGAATAATTTATGATGCATGAAATTATTTAGTTATTTTTCACCGTTATTCAGGCTGTGACACCGTTCTAGCTGTCATATTATTTTTATCCTTTTTTCCATTATAGTATTATAAATTTATCGTTAAATGTTTTGTTTAATCTTTGCTTGAATAATTAAAATGTTTGAATTATAATCTGTAATCATGCTGATTTATTAAATTCAGATGTCCTCATCCAGATTATATTTATGGCCTGCATTGTGAATCGATAAAATGTATGAATGGTGGAAAACCACTAGATAATGGTCATTGTAAATGTTTGCACTACTGGTATTCGGGACAGTTCTGCCAGGTTCAATTACTTTCTAGTTTAGCTATTTTGTCTTCTTTTTTCGCCTTATTTAATTTTTAAATTTTTATAATAGTTATACAATTATGTTGTATAGTTAACTTTATTGCAAACCAACACTTTTTTTAATAATTGATAGTTGATAGTTTCTCAAATTTCAAATTTATTTTTTACATCTCTTTAAAAAATTTTTTTATATTTCTTCTTTGCGAAACATCATTTTTTTGCAGAATTACACGGCCTCTTGGAGTATGGCTCTGGGTATTCCATTAATTTGTGTATTAGCTATTGTGATTTGTTGCATTGTTTGTCGATTAGATCTTTGTCCTTCGAAACCGAGGCGTCAGAGAAGTTCATTTTCATGCATTTCTGTAAAATAATTTCTTCGAAATTTCTAAGTTTTTTTCTGATTCAATTTCGCTTTTAAATTGTATTGATAAGACAATGCATTAATGCAGGACGACATCGATTATCTCACCAGACTCAAGTTCAGAGGCGGCAGCATCAATTAGGAGACCACCGTAGAGCAAGTCCCAGGAGAATGGGGCAACAGATAACGGTTTATTTACAATTTTAAGAAATAAATATATGAATAAATATAAAAATATAAAATAAATTTTTCAATATAAGATTTTGTAACGTACGTTTTAACCGTTCTTTTTTGGCAGCTGTGGTTATCCGATTATATCATATAACCAACTTCAGCATTTTATTAAAATGCAAAAATATTCAATATTCAAAATATTGTTTTCCAAAAAACCAAAAAGTTTCAGATACTATCTGATATCTATTTCAGTATTTATCGGAGTTGTGGAAGTTATGCAATTTTATAATCTTAATTCACAGTAGTCTCAGATGAGATTTTTAAAGCATGCTGAACTGATAATACATTCGATCAGCTTTGTATTATAGAAGTTTATATAATTTCTGTTTTCAAATTCACATTTACATTAGTTATCGATATATCGATAAAGATGAAGTCATTAGGCTGAAAAGAAATGTTTTGCAAATTTGATTTTACAAAAATTTTCATTCGAAATATCGAAAAGAACGAAAAAAGTGCTTTATTTATGCTTTATTTTAAAATTTTCGTTTTCGAGGAACTTTTATATTTTACAGGAAAATTTAATAAATGGTGATAATCGGGATTTTACCATTCAGGATAATTTAAATCATGGACCATCTTATGTAATTCGTTTGGACACAATACCTGTATTCAATCCTCATATGATTAATGGAGTTGATTACGATATGAAGCCAATAAATCCACCACCTTCATATGAGCAAGTATGTTCTTTTATGGTAAATGAGATTATTTTGTGGTATAGTTTTTAATCTGGTTTATTAGTTCCCATTTCTAATTAGGATTGGTCTATTGGCTATAGGGTGAAATATTTTGGCCAGTTACTTTAGAGAAATATAAAAATATATAAAGGATCAAGTGACCCTTAGTACCATTCGAACTTTTTAATGACACGTTTACTCCTATCAAAAGCAGGAACCGAACCATGGTGCATATTTATTATGTTTCAGATCTAACCACTGTGTTTTAATTAAATTTATTTGATTGTAGGCGATTATGTCGTGCCAACAGGATGGTATTCAAATGGATATTCATCATCAAAATTTCACTGATATATCACCACCTGCTTATACTCCTTGTGTTTCTCAATCTCTTCAACTTCAGTTTAGGTCATCGAATATTCCCGATTAAGGGCATTTATAGAATTTTTCTTTTAATGAGAGTTGTGCACATTTCCCGTTTATTTTTTGTTTGTGCTTTTTTTGTCACAAAAAGAAAAAAGAAAGAAAGCTGGAGTCGAGAAAAATTCAGATATTTTTATCTCAGCAACTGCTATTTTTCAGTGCTTTTTTAAAATCTTTCCTTATTTTCGGTCCTCGATTTTATGCTCATATTCATAAAATGCTTTCTCGTTTTTAAATACGCAACGTCTTTTAGATGGACGCTGCATTGTAGCATTATATGTCACGTTCTTTTCTCTCTGGTTTTTCCTATTACCTCATCTCCTAATCTCAAGCCCAAGTTGAAATCAAAAATTTATTAGCAGGATGCTATTGTATACATTATACATAGTCCGAATGAACCTTTCACATCGTTTGAAAACAAATAATCATTTTCACTTGAAGGATTATGGGCATCGAGGGGTTAAGGGCTAACTCGGATTTATGGTTTGTCAGTGAAAGGAATTATAAATCCTTTTCCTATATGCTTATATAATGCTTATTGAACTATTGATTGTGATTTAGATGTCAGGTAACAGTAAAGTGCCAGTTTATTTTTTTTCTCTGATCAATTTCACCCAGTTTATTCCGTTGGCTTTCAAATGATTTTCATAATTGTAGATGAGTGGAATTAAAATTTTTTCAAAATGTTAATTTTTCAATTGCTGGAGAAGAAAAGTTATGTATATCTTCTTTTCATATCCTTTTTTCGTAAAAATTTCACCAAAAATTCCGAAGTATCTGAAAATATATTGGTGCCATTGAAGTGGAAATTGCTGAATACATTTGTTTGTTCCTTCTCGATATTTTCTTTTTTTCTTGTTTTTATCAGGAAGAGAATAATCTTTTCTCGCTTTTTTTTATGTGATTTGCGTATTAAAGTTTTGAACTATTAGCAGTGTAAAAATATTGTTTTATTGCTGTGCGAATATCTGAAGCAGTTGCAGTTTTTACAAGGCTGGAGAATAAAATAAAAGTTTAAGCAAATTCTTGAGGATGAATTCGGTGATTTTCAGGTTCATTTGGTTATGCCATACTACGAAGTGACATATATTACTCGTTCCCTTTCTAAGGTAAATGACTTAGTTTAGTAATAATGGCCCTTAATAATTTGAGAAATTTTGAATATTTAGAGGAGATGGTAAATAAACATGGCTTGCCAGATTTGGTCTACTGGGCTGTGGAAATAATTGATGTTAACTTGGCAGTTGGCTCCCACTAATCTTGCTCGATAAATGAGTGTAGTAGTATAAACAAAGTAACGCTGATGGGGGCACGTGTACAAGTTACTTTGAGGAGAGAGGGCACTTGTATGGTTATGGTTCCTGCTTCTAATGGTTATACGTGTGTGTATATGCACTTATGGTGTGTCTGTGCTGGTTAAGGAGTGTAATTCCAGTAGTTGGTAGAACCAACCAAGCCAGAAGCGAAATGACGTCAGCGCGTTTAATCTAATAACGATTATTGATTATATAAGGAAATTAAATCCTCAGCAGTAGCTGAATTTCAGTTTTAATGGTAGGATTATGCCTTGAGATCCATTTTTCAACTCTTAGGCATCATATTTCGAATGTTTTTTCACAGCCACTGATTATTGCTTTCAGAATGATTTATTCACAGTGCTTAAGCGAGCAGCAACCACTCTACTTAGTAATGGAGCTATTATCATGGGAATGGAAAGTTTGGGCCATCGAGATTTACCTTATAAACGAATTTCAAGAGTTGATAAGCAACCTGTTTACACAACGAAGTTAGTTAGATATGTTCTTTTCAATTCAATTCGTTGTAACAAAATCACTACAAATATTTAGAAAAATTTTTTGTGCAGCATAAATCACGTAAAATGGTCGTTATTATAGTATGTTCCTCATGAAAACTTATATGCCACTGGAGACTAAAAGAAAAGTACTAGAGTTGGGCCGAAATGATACTGATTTAATTCATATTGCTATTGTATCAAGCGCAGAATTGGATTGTCCGCCGTTCGAATGCAATCTCGAAGAAATTTTAAAGCCTCCTGCACAAAGGTATTTTTTCTTTTTGTATTTCATCTTGAAACTGCGATGGATGGATAGATTTGCATGCATTGGTACTAATTTTTATTTTATACGATTATTTCATAAAGAATACAAATTTAGGAAATCTGTGGAAGATTTGCGAAATGATCAAAAATTAGGCCGTTTTACTCGTCAAATGATCTTCAAACGTACAGAAATGGAATGGAAATCTATTCCTAAATCATATCCAATACCACCTCCTAGAAGTTAAATCATTTGTAATATAAAATTGATAAAATTGAATAAAATTGATTACAAACGATCTTTCGTATATTCAGTAAAATTATCCATATGTTATGGCGGAATTAATATTTTTGTTGTTAAGATAGATAACGAAAATCTATGAGAAATTGCATAACAAAGCTTAACATTCATCTTTATCAGATTTCGCACACCATATATCCGCTTTAATTTGTTGGTTTGCAGATTGTTGACCATTTGATTCTAAAATATTTGCCTCCTAAAATGCAAAAGGATTCATTTAAGGGGAAAATAATTAAATAAAATTTTTCCAGCAAAATAATTCGGAAAATTTTCATAAATTTTGAATCATAAAAATTAATAGAACTGACAAAAAACAAAAGTTTTCTTCAGATTATGACAAATAAAAAAATAACAACAAACTTTTGTTTCATTATCGCAACTGGCATTTTCGATTGCTTCTTTCATTTTTATCAACGATTCCCTTTGGATTTCTTCCAGTTTATTCATAGTCACCGATTTTAACGGAATTAGTTTCGGTTTACAAAACACTGGGCTTAACGCTTCCTCTTTGAATAAAATACCATTGTATGAACCAAGTATTTCTTTTAATTCCGTTGACATTTTTTTCATATACACTAAGGATTAAATAAATAACGCTAATTAGCCGATAAAGCGAATTATAACCCTTTCTGCTGATAAAAGAAGCTAATATGTAAAATGCCTTTTCATAAACTCATTGCCAGTTGAGGAAGTGCTCGATTTTAAATACCTTGGATTCAATTTAATACCAAATGGCCAGGCAAAAAATGACCCGGATAATGGAATGCTGGAAATGCGTTACCTCGGTTGACAAAACTTCCATGGAGCCGTCGCGAGATCACCACAAAAACTAAAATCCGCGACTATGTAAGCGCTATTCGTTCGAACTTGCTATATGGGTGCGAGACATGACCAGTGAGAGTGGAAGATATTAAGAAGTTATTTGCCTTAGTTATTTGCCTTAGCCACTCCTGTTCGCAGACTGGACAAAATCACATGATCGCATCACCTTCGTTCAATACCACTTGCATTGATACTATTCATCACAGATCCATCATTCGCTGGTCGAGATCGGGACATGTTCTTCTTCGCCTACTGATATATTAAACCGTGTGATGGGTGGCGTCAAAAGCCAATCAACACCTGTACTGACACGGTTAGAAAGATTTTGAATATATAAGTGTACCAGCAATACATGGAAAAATGAATGGCTTCTAGTACTGTCGACGATAGCATTAGATGGTATTAGATCCCGCAGCTTTAAAATGTCTTATCATTGTAACCAATGGAGCCAGTTTAACTAATGGTGAGAGGTGTTAGAAGTTTTTCAGCAACTGTGAAGTTTTTTGGTAATCTAATCGTTCATTAATAAAATTCTTTTCAAACGAATAATTATCAACTAAATTCTTGGAAAGTATGCACCAACTTCCAATAATTATATAAGTTCATAAAATTTTTAATTAATGGATAGAACGCCAATTTACCTCTTTCACCTCTATTTAAAGGAACCAAAGTTCTTCTATGGCAAAAACAAAAAAGAAGTATATGATGGAGCGAAAGTTCTATTCCGGATTATACGGCATCTGCTTTCTCCTCCCATCCCACCCTTCCCTCCCTCCCTCCATATCCACTCGTGGCAAAAATCCTCATGTTTACGAATGCACAATAAATGAATATAAAAAATTCAATACATTCAAAGAGGACCGTTGCCATGGATAAACAATCCGGTCGTGATGCGTTGAGCAACACGATTCACTACATAAATTTTCACCTAAACGATTCGAAACCTGAAATAATACCGCGCTAAAAATAATAACGGGAACACTAAAGTGCTTCGGACGCGAGATGCCACATCCGATGATCAAAAACTTTCCGATATATCTTTAAATAAATCAATCAGCTATGCTTATCTCCTACTACTTTGATTTGCCTGCAAAAGCAACCACAAATCGAAGTTTTTACCGAAAAAAAGTGAGACCATAAAATAAAAATCAAAAATGAATATTGGGTACTTAACAATATAAATAAGGACACAATTTGGACAGAAAGCATTTACAATTTTTAAACATTATGATCTAGAGCAATTTTACCACAAAACCCACCAAGTAAAAATTGCATTATGCTTTTTGTCTTAATTAAATCTTTCATTTCATAACAAATTCATTTCATAATCAAAAAAGAATTAATCAAAAAAACATCCATTAACAAATAAACTTTAGGCGTTGTTTCATGAGATAATACAGATATGAAACATTCAATATATCGAGAAAAACACAACGATGATAAAAGTTCGTCATCACCACCATGCCGCCGAAATTTACTTTTATTTCTATTTCAAACTTAAAAAAAATTCACAATTCATATAGAAAGTGAACAAAATTATGAGACCTGAATGCGGTAATAATTGAACAAATAAAACGAAGAAAAATTTGCGGTTAAAGTGGACCCACCAAATCGATCTCTCTAGCAATATTCAAGGTACTTTCTATAAGACCGTCTCGTAGCCTCCATAAAGCCTTGGCTATTTCCTCGTCTTTCGCTCCATTATCCTTTGCTTCCTAAATTTAATATATAGAATAAATTTAATATAAAATTTAATATAGAAAATACAAAAAAAAGGTATTAAATAAGATAGCCTATTATACTCGGTTTTTTTAATTCTTTTCAATTTTTCAATTCAATTTTCCTTTTCTTCTATTTGTAAATTCTTAAAAAAGAAAGAAAAATTCAGACCACAAAATATTTCCCCTAATCAAGCCGATGAGTGCATGTACTGTTATCACTTTGCTCATGGAAAATAACAGCACTAGATATCATTTTTTAAACTCAGACAATTTATGTTGATCTAATCTTTGATTAAAAATAGAAAACAAATAAGAAATAATGAAAAAGAAAAATAAAAAGAAAAATAATTTTGCCATGAAAATATACGTATTCAGACTCACTCATATCCTCCATACCTGCTATTTAATTTATAAAGCTTGATCTCGGTTAAATAGCCCTCATATAGCCCTCACTCATATCCTCCATACCTGCTATTTAATTTATAAAGCTTGATCTCGGTTAAATAGCCCTCATATAGCCCTTAAATAAGTTTTTCTCTGCAATTCTCGCCATTTCAGATTCTTTTGGAATGGCAACCTTTCAGATCCCTCTGTGTTTTAACAATTTCTTCGAAGTCTTTTGTTATATTTGTTTGACACCCCTCGAAAGTCTCTAATACACTGTACTCTTCTGCTCATAATCCACTGGTAATACTGCCTTAATTCGCTTCCATTACCATACGCTCTGGATATTACCACATCTCTTCAAAACTTCAGAATCCTTATAATCCTTCATGTTCTCAAAATTTCTCTAAACATTGCTTGTTAAACACACCATCGAATTCGGCTATATTTTCCAAAAAAAGATTGTGATACCTTTTCAAACTCTCTAATATTGTGTAATTGCTAAATACTATGCTACAGTGCTCTAACATACTAATTTTATCCTCTTTTACCCTTTATATCTTTTCCTTCTATCCTTTTTTCTTTTGTTACAATCCACTAATACCCACTAAAAAGCGGTTAAATGTCTTCTTTCGCTATAACCTATTCGTGATATCATATCGAACCTTTCTGCCATTATTCTCCTTAGATTCAGTTGTAATGTTTTAACATCTACTTTCAATTCTTTCCCCTAATCCCTCTCAAACTAATTAAATTATTACAAATTATATAGAACTGCATGACGATCAGCAAGCATCGAAGCGGAAACTGTAGTATGTTAAGAAAGAATTACAGAGATTTGACGGGATCGTTGATAGTGCAAAAAGAATTCGAAGTGATTCTAAAAAAACGTAACAGACGAGATATCAAAGGGTATAGCAAAATTTGAAGCCAATTCTGCTCGTTAGCAAAATGATTGTTTTACAAATAATAACAGTCATAACAATAAATAATGATAAAAATAATAGCAACAATGATAAACAAAAAAAATAAATTGATAAAACACATGATTCGAGTCCTCTATTGAAACTCTATTGAAACTCTTAGCAACTCTGCCTAATAATATCAGCTATTAAGAAAAAAATTGCAACAAAAAAACAAAAACAGAACACAAACAAAAAACCTTTAACCAATGAAGGGGTAGAGCTTTATTCGATGGCGGTGTGTTTTTCGGATTGGCCCTTAAGCTCCTATTCCATTTACTAACCGTACGTTGTTGACTATTTGATAAAGATTCAATGTATCTAAAAAAACTCCATATATTAATATTGGAAAATAAAAATAATTGGTACTGGCGGCTATGCAGTAATGTCGCTTAACTGAGAAAAATAAAAAAAAGAATGACTCAGTGGGTTGTTGCTCAATTCGGAGCTGAGGTTCTATTCCTGGCAGGAGTAAATCTGATAAAAATCTGAGTGATGCTGGTGACCGGCAGAAGTAAATCTGAGTCTGTCTGATTGCCGCTGGCGTCTTACCTGTCCCTCTATCGCCAAGCGATTTCCTAGCATATTTTATCTAGTGCAATAAGTCTAACCAGCAATGGTGGGTATTCTTTAAAAAAAAAACTTATCCCCATTAAATTATCCCTTTGTTCTTAAATTCAGCCAAATAAAATGAAAATGGAAAAGGCGTAAAGCAAAAATTGAAGAACGAACCTAAGATACACTTCAGAATGCATGACCCTTTTAACTTGAACGGTGCTAGTGGGCGCAACAAATACAGGTTCAATTTGCTTTGGAGCTTGTACTATCGTTCGCCCAGGGTCGGAAATTACAGGTGTACTTTGCTGCGATGTAGATGGAACACTATAATTAATTGATTGGACGGGCATAGCTGTATAATTTTGGGCAGCAACGGCAGCAGCTGCAACCTATAAATTATAAAACCTAAATATATTTTTAAAAATTCTGCTTGAATTCTGCTTGAAAATTAATCTCTAAATTTAACCGTTTAAACAAGATTAAGAAATCAAAATCTAAAAATATAAATAAAAATATAAATATAAAAATATAAAAAAATTTTTTTTGACCAAATGAAATTACATCAGAATCTATGATTTTTTAAAATTTACCTGTCGCACTTGTTGATAAGGATGATATCCATGTGATGTGGCTCCATGAACAACTGCAGGAGTAGTTGTAGTAACATATGCCGTTGGCGCTACAGCGATTGCTGTTCCGCTACCATTAACAAACCCGTTGGCAACTATTTGTTGAGTTGAGGCAACTACAGCCTGCAACAATCGAAGCTAAATAAAATGGTCTATCACCGATAAAATAAAATATTATAATAATAAGAGATTAAAATATTGCCAGAAATATAGAAACTTTAACGAAGAAAATAATTTAAATGGAATAACTGCAGATACCTGAGCAACATAACCCGTAATAGGAGTTTGAGTAAGGCTGTATGATTGTATCTGTTGACCACCTGTAGTTGGTTGCTGAACTGCAACATAAGTTACTCCAACCGGCGCGCTACTCGTTGTTATCGCTGACTGCTGCTGTTGTTGCTGCTGCTGCTGCTGCTGCTGCTGCTGCTGAGATTGTTGTTGATATGTACAGTAATTTTTATAACTGAAATGTCTAACAAATTTCAACAAATTTTCTGCGCGTTAATTCATGTTGAATTCTATAAATAAATATAGCTAAATTATCTTTAGCCGAAATTATTAATTATTTTAAAACTTTTTGACACAAAAGATAGTGACAACTTATCGATGATCAATATATAATCAGAAGAAAAAAATAAATTTTCAAATTCAATTGATGATATTGGAAATATGAAAAAATGTATAAACTACTTAGCAGTCCTTTGCGCTGGATAAATTGATTTCGCAGAAGCAGGTAAATGTTTATCTTTGATATGACGATGAAGACGAGGAAGCGATGGAAAAGGCCTGCCATTTAAAATACAGTTATAAAATGATTACTATTACGAAACAGTTCTTTAAAGTAATTTATTTCTTGATTATTTAAAATTTATATCTGATTTTATTTATTTTGAGCAAAAATGGTAAAAACAACGAATACACAGTGAAATCACTTTTTTAAGTAAGGTATATGAAAAATACCCTCAAAAAATTGAAGAAAAAAAAGTAAAAAAGAAAGGGGAAATGACAATACCTTCCTTCTTTCTTGTATTTTAAACAAGGAGCCCACATGCACACATACTGATTTTCTCCTTCGACTGTAATGAAATGAGTTTTCAAACGGGAAAATGGTTTTTTATCGTAATATCCAAAAAATATGAATTAAATTATGCTAACCTATTTGGGAAGTATGTGCAGTTTTAACGTGTTCATAAAGTGCTTCAGATGAATCATACTGAAAATCACAAGTTTGCCATCTACATATATAAACACGAATTTGTCCAGGCTGAAAACAAGCAAAATAAAATCTGTGAAATGCAACACTTCGCGTGAAGAAATATGATGGCAAAAGATATTTCAATTATCACAAAAAATTAATTAGAAAGATGGGAATAACCAAGAATTAAAACACAGTGAAACACAGTGAATGAAAATATGAAATGTACCGAATTCTTTGATGCTATATAGTTTAATATAATATCTAAAATTTACTGAATAAAGTGAAAATGTTAAAAGTGGGACATTATATAACCAAAGAAGCAATCATTATTTTTGCTAAGTGGTAAGAACATTAATATTACCATATTGATAAGAAAAAAAATTCACTTGCAAAGATATCTGCTGAGGCTTCTGGGCTTCTTGTTTCGCTCGCTCACTCGCAATAATTTCTGCACGAGTCTCATACTGCTTTTTCTGGTCTTCCGCTAATTTCTTCCACTGCAATAAAAGATAATAAAACTATTCTTCTTTTCATTGCAAATGATAAAAATCAATAAATAAAATAGAATAGAAAAAAAGAAACAATTTAAATGCCATATAAATAAATAGATTTTATATTTTATTTTATATAAAATGAAAATAAAAAACCTCAATTCCAACGATTTTACTGACTTCACCAAAACCAGCTTCTGGGTTTTCTTGCATTATACGCTTGCGAATTTCGGCTGAGAATAAAATATAACCACTTTTTGAACGAGAATTAAGTTTGGGTTGTGCTGCTAACCACGCAACTAATTCCTGCAAACGTTTTTTTTTTTTTAAGAGCCTTCACCATTACTGGTTAGACTCGCTCAGCTGGTTTGTCGCGCTAGTCAAATATGTTACGAGTCCCATGGCGATAGAAATGCAGGTGAGTCGCCAGTATACCAGGATTTTTGGAAAGGCCTATTCTTGCGGGAAATGGAACCTTAGCATTAGCGCTTCGAATTGCGCAACAACCCACTGAGCCATTCTACTCTCCAAATGCGTTATTAGTAAAAATGTTTATTTATAATACTTAAAATATTCTTTTATAACACTTCTTAAACCACTAAATACAAGTCTCAAATTAAATAAAAAGAAGGGATATTATAATTAGATCAAAAAGTATTCGCTTTTCTGGTGAAATAGATTATATTCAAAAGTCTATAAATCAATAAAGCTAGTTCAGCAACGATTTTTAACACTGATAAGAAAATAAAAACTGACCCTTCCGGGTGTTGTATCGACACTATCTAATGATTCAGATGCAGTCTCATCTATATCATCCAGTGGTTCCAATGGTACTGACGAATTGTCCGTCTGCATTAGCAGAGGAGACATTTCCTGGAAAAAAACCAATAACTATTTAAATAAATAATTAAAAAAAAACACTCAAATGTACATCCTTGAATTCGATTCTAACAAACTATTCAACTGAAATTCCATTTTATTTTCATCAAAAACTTATTTCAAATTGAAAACCACCACTTAAATAAATTTTTCATAGAATTTCAAATCATAGAATTCAAAAAAAGTTAAGAAGATAACATAATTTTAAAATAATGATATAATAAAGTGTTAAAAAATGATAAACAGATAATACAGTTGACATTTCTTAAAAGAAATGAAAAAAGAATTATTATGAAAAAATGAGTGATAAGGTGATGGGCAATCTTTAATAAACTGTTCACTTGATCTCCGATAGTCAGTGATATCAAAAATTTCTTTAAAGAATCACTTCAAATAACAGACACTAAATTTTAAAAAAAACTGATAAAATTTATCAAAAACTAAAAGAATCTAATTTCGAAATAAAAAAATGCGGTATCTTATGTAAAGAAAAATAATTTTTTTTCACATATTTTTATAAAATTATGAAAATATTTTGTTTCGCTAAAAAAAATGAAAAATAAGCGAGAAAACGAGAGTAATATAGTCGCGTTTGGGAGTTGAGGAAGAAATGAAAAAGCAAGACCAAACGAAATAAAAAACTAAAGTAAGCTATATATAACAATTTGACCAAACTGAAAAAGAAGAATAACAATTTAAGCACAAGATTTGAGGACAAAATGAGGAAAGCCGTATGACAAACGAAATGAAGATTTAATAAAAATTATTTAAATTAATAACATCCTCGATTAATTATAAATAATCAATAGAATATTATTTGTCGTGAAAAAGAATAATCGAAAAGTGAATTAATTAAAGCCTCTAGAATTCATACAGAAATTATATAGAAATATTTATAATAATTATGAAATAATTATATTTTAAAATAAAATTATTTCCAACCTTTTCCATTGTAATTGGTGTTTTGAAGAGAAAAATTTCAGGCTCAAGAACGTCACCAGATAAATTATATATCTGAAAATTATTTTTACTATTATTCCCATTATTATTATTATCGTTATCATTTACTGTTATAGAATGGAGATTTAATATTATTGTAATCTTATTATATTCATATTGCACTTCATACTGCATTTAAAGATATTAAAAGCAATAGCGCTAAGTTATTTGTATATTTAAAATTGTTACTTTAAACAGTGTTATTATCGTAAAAATAAAAAAACAAAACGAACAAAAGATTCGGCGAAAATGAACAGGTTTTTATTGAGAATAATTATTTCTTAAAGACGAATTTGAATATTTCAAAAATATTTCGAAAAAATGCATGATTTGCACGCTCTGTTGCATATCTATTACGCTTGCACAAGATGTGCGCTTTGCACAAAATGTGCAAATATGCAAGAAAATAAAAACAGGGAAGAGACATTACGCAAAAACGAGAGAAATAAAGAATTGAAGAGAATTTTAAAGTATGAAACGTTGAACGTTATATTTGAGAATCATTGGTATTATTCGATATTTGCACGACAAATTCTCTAAATAAGACTCAAAAAAAATCCTTAGCTCACTCTCTCACTCTCTAACCACCTCCAATATATGCTATTTCGTTTCCTTCTACCCAACTGGCCTATACAGCCTCTCAATTTATATTGTCCCTTTCTTTCTCTAATCGTCTAGCATGAGACGAACCCAAATACTCTCTATCTTTTTCATTTCCTCTCCCTGCATATACGTCACAAACCCCAATTATCGATTATTTCCGTTTATTTTTGCTTTAATGTTTTCAATGGTTCTCCACAACTTTCATCCTCAAAACTGTTCATCATTATATTTTCTTGTTCTCTGCTGCCTATATTTCAAATGATCTCTATGCACTTCTCAAATCTAAGGTTCTCTCCAAATTCTGGACTATTTCGCATAGCGCTATAGAATATTGATGCAAAATTTGAATAAATTTAAGTTATTAAAAAATAATCAATGAAAGAAAAGATTCACTGAGTAACTCAGTCCACAAGTGCAACGATTTACCTAAATTGTAACTGAATTACATGATTTGATTTAAACTTTAACATTAAATTCTTATTATTACATAATAATAAATGTTAACATAAGTAATTAATGTTAATAAAATTACCTTTAAATTTTTTAATTTACGCGCCGACGATTCACTCATAGGTTCATAAGATGATACATTATTTGCTAATGAATGAGATGCCGTATTAACGCTTCGATTTCTATCCACTTGAATATTATCTTGTGAATCATCACCCGAAATATGAGAATTATCAGTCAGGTTAAGCATTGCATTCATATCATTCTTTGTTAAATATTCCGTTTTCATGATACTACAACGATTAGCTGGTGGTTCTCGTCCAGCAACTTTATACTGCACCACATAAACATCTGATTCATCAATTTCAGTTGGTCGTACTGAAATACTTCTAATTATAGCGAATATTCAAAAAATATTTTGTATTCAAGTATAGTTAATGACATAAGCTTGGTGAAATAAAAATAAGAAATGGCTTCATTTTCTTCAGTGAAATCCAATATGCCTGGGCCTAATCGTTAGAACAATGGAAATCATATTCCATTCTATTCGATTTCTATTCATAATAATCCTCAATATTACTGGTTAAATTAAATCCTCATTTCACTGGCTCATCGCACATGCCAGGGATTCCCCAGGCGATAGAAGGTGAGTCGCCAGCATCACCCGCATTTTTGTATAGGTTTAGAATATTCTGCGGGGAATAGAAGCATCGGCATTGCGAATCCAGCAACATCTGCCATTCTATCCAGAATCCAAAACGCCTGCGCCTAGTCGTCAGAATAATAGAAATCATAATACATTCTACTCGATTTCTATTTACAAAAGAAAATAATTTAGTTTACTAAAAAAAAAGCAGAACGTAAAACGTAAAAATAAAACGGACTTACATCTTATATAATCTTTGATAGGTAGAACAATACATGATGCTTCAATATTTACCATAGGAACACTGATATCAGGTTGTTCCACTGCAAACACTTCTCGTTTATAGAACATTCGACTTGGTTCATGATCGATTTCTCCAGGGCGAGCAAAATATGGACCAGAAAACATTGAATCTCCACTGAAATATGCAAAATAAGAGAAAACTTCCCAAATAGCGAAATCAGTATTTTCAAAAAGTAATTCACTCTTTAGTCCTCCACATTTTATCGATACGAAGAATAGCTGTACGATTTTTTAATGGATTATAAACGTAAACGAAATCACCCAGTCGATACCAACGACCACCATATTCCATTTGTTGGTAAAAATGTGCAATATTCCGCTGATCTTCTGCTGAAATATGTTTTAAATAGATTTAAAAGAAAATTACCTGATGAGCAGTAATCATCTTTAAAGATAAATTAGTGATCAAGCTCATGATAAAAATATAAAAATAAAAAAAAGAAAAAACGAACGATTGTGATTCTGATCATTGGTTACTACTTCAACTCGCTCTTTTTCTAGTACTGGTGGCAGATTTTTTAATCGCTCATCGATAGGCAAATTATCATTGGATTCCTAAGAACAAATACCTCAATTCAAAAGGTAACGCATCTGAATCAATATTTCAAAAAAATTCAAAAACCACAAACAAATGTATCAATTTTAAAAAAATCTGGAAGAAAATTATGGAATAACAAACATCATTATCATCATTTATTTGCATCTGTTCGCTAGTGCGATTCAAATTTTGATACTTGCTTTGCGCAAAAACAGAAGCTACTCGACTAAGTGTTACCAGCGGTTCATCTCTCCTTTCATATTCAACATTTTCGATTTCCTCTTTGTAGGGCCATTGCTATAAAAAATTAGATTTCAATTAAAATTCAAAAATTTCCAACGACAAATATTTTTCCATGAATATTTTATCGACTTACTTTTAATTTTTTGAAGTGTAGCTGTCTGCCAAGATAACGCGATTCGCAGACATAAACATCATCCTCATCAAAACCCTACAAGAGTGAAAAAAAATCTTAACAGACAAATAACTGGAAAAATGACAAATTAAGGAAATATAACTTCAATATTGCATTTTTTTATACAAATCATTAAAAATTCTGATTGGCAGATTGGCAGATTTTATAGAATTTTTTTAAAAAATCATTCCATTTATAGCCATTAAAAATAAAATAAACCTTAGGTTTCATTTTCAAAAAATTGCGAATGAACATAACATGACACTTGCCAATTAAACGATCAACTGTGACAGTGTCAACGCTGTTAGTCAAAAATAATTCCTGAAAAAAAAGAAAAAATATCCATGAAATCTTTTTCTTTAGACCAAGTGAAAACCAGAATAAGACTAACATTTTTTAAAAACTTTCTAGTAGCTAAATGAAAAGTTTCTTCAGGGCGATAACACCATATACCACGTGCAAGTGTTAAACCATCATTGTTAGTGAAAAGACGTTCTATTCGCATAATATGCCGTCGAGAAGTAACTTCATCACTGGCAGCTGCGACATATGCATAATCATGAACACGATAAACAAAATCTCCTTGACTGATTGACTCAAGATCCACATCACCTTCCTTAAAAATTCTCAGACATAAGTGAATCACAAAATCAAAAAAATGGATTAAATATATTTCACCGCTGGTTGGTTCATTCGATCTTGGTTAGTAGTTGCTTCATCGACTTTCATCTCGTCTGGTAATTTACTGTTTCGCAACTGGTCAATTGTATTCATTAAAGTACGCTCAGTGAAAAATCGAGCGGGCGAAATAAAATTTTTCGTCAATTCATCTCTTGTTTTTATATAGAACAATTGTAATTCAACAGTATCTTCAAATAGCTAAAAAAAAAAGTTAATAGTAAAGCAATAAAGCAATGAAAACGAGAAATAAAACAAGAAACAATCAACAATCATAATAAACTATAACGAAATAAATTTTGAAAATTTTAATTATCTTCGGCTAATCGAAATAAATTATAAAATGTATTATATAATGTATTATATAATGCTATGAATTTCTCTGGTAATCTAATGATGTCTACAATTCTCTTTTCAGAAAGTTTTTAAATGCATAAAATAATAAAACATGCAAATAGAGATTTCAGAGACAAATCGAGTAGAAAAAGTCGCGAATAACTGATAAAAAAAACCTGAGAATCAGTTCGACTGTTAATTCGCGCACTATCAAAAAGTTCGAACATATCATCTTGAAACCTGTCTAACCGACGATATCGGCCCTTAAAAGTAACAAATTTTCAATATACATAATATTAAAATATTTTCAATATATATATATATATATAATTCAATATTTCAATATATATATTTATAAATAAATTTTTATAAATAAATTTATAAAAATTTATTTATAAAAATATATATAATATTTAATATATACTTAATATTTTTTCAAAATATATTTTATGAAATAAAATATGTTTAAGAGCTTTATGAAAACGAAGAAAATTTTTAATAAATTCATAAACTTGAAAACCTTGTCAATATTATTTTTTATCTCATCCAAAGTGAATGGCATATTTTCAGCAGCAACCCCTTGTCGACGAAGTAATGATGGAATTTCCGCTAATGAATCCGAATAGCATCGACCATCGGAATCCTAGAAAAAAAATAAGAATTAGCAACAAAAAACACTTCTTAGTTCTTGGTCAAAGCTTCAATAATAAAAATGCCACTCCATTTCAACAAATTCAAATATATGAAAATAAAACCTGATGATTATTAACTGCGATCAAAAGTGATGCGAGAATAGATCGAAGTTCAGACTGAGGATCAGGTACAGATAAATTATCCTTACACAATTCACTTTTCTTTTGTAATACAACTTTTTGCAAAGACAAGGCATCCTAAAAAATAAATGTGAAATTACTTATAAAAAAAATTGAGAAACATTAGAAATGCTGATAATAGAAAGAAAAGCTTACTTTATAAATAGAACTATCGGGTTCATTATATCGACATGCATTGTCAAACATCGTTATAAAATCCGAGATTAATGCATCTACATTATCATAATAATTTGTGGAAATCCTGTGCCCAACCTTTGCAAAGTCAATTGGCTTACGTATCACTTCATAATAATCGGGATAATCCTTTAAGAAAATCCCATTCACCTTTTTATAAAGAATATGTAATGAGCATCTTCAAATATATCTAATGAAATATAACCAATTTGGATGGCAACTGTAGAAATGCAGTTGAAAGCCGACGGCCACGAAAATCACGATAGTTTTTGACCAAAGAATATAATTCCAACATTACTCGTTTTGTATGACTATGGTTATTCGCAACACTAAATGAGATGCGTGGAGATGCTGTTCGAGAATATAAAGTTCTACTCAGTGTTACTGGTTCACTGCAAATACTTTCCGGCATATTTTTAAAATTTCTTAAACTTATATCTTATATTTCTTATATTTTCTAGGGATAATTTTATAACTCTTATAATTATATCGACATACATTGGAATTTATATCGACTCTATAAAGAATGGCTCAAATTCTCATTTTCCTTTCATTTCAGATCGCCAATGCTTAGTTCTACTACAACCAGAACCTGTCTTTCAAAAATCCAACTGGTTTTGGTGACCCTGCCCGACCTGCCTCCAGCGCCAATCAAAACTTGTCTAATCCAATACAGCGAAACTAACCAGTGAGCGTTGCAAAAAAAAAAAATGAAAAAATGAAAAATCACTTTGAATTCTCAGTTTCTTCATCAGCAGATCCACATGCAATCGGACCGGATTTTGGTAACTGTGATGAATCTTTTCGTGATGGCAGTTTTGTCCAACGCCATCTAAAAACATTTCAATTAGTAAGTCAATTCAAAATTTCATAACAAACTTAATTTCACAAATACATATACTTATTGTACGAAATTAAAAATGGATATATATATGATGTTCTTATTAGTTTTTCGATTTCTTACAAAAATTTGACTTATTTTAAAATTCATGAAAAACAAACCCATATTTCTCTTTCAGATGAAGAGGATTCAGAAGTGGGAGTGTTGGAATAGCATTTAAAGAAGCATTTGCAATTGAATTAAGTATGATGGCATCTTTACTAACTTGTGATCCTGGTTCATTAAATGTTTGCGCGTTTTTGAATAATAGATTTATATCTGTCATAAATTCGTCTGATGTCGCGTACTTAAAAAAATGTAGAAAATTAATAAAATATTTTTATTTTCTATCATTAAATTTTTATAGAAAGGATTCATACTATTAATTAATTTAAAATAAGAAACCAGATATTCGATAGTAATTTTAATAAATAATCGTATAATACTAATTATAGTTTTTAATTATAATTATAATGACGGTTACAAGAACAAATTAAATCATTAATAGTAATAGAGCAATTAATATGAGAATAATCACCTTATCATCCTTAATTTTTTCTTTTATCGTAGTTAGATCGATGGGTTCTTTGATAATATCGTAATAAGTAGGGCAATCATTTTTAGATGGTGCGACCATAAAAGCATCACATAATCTTCGTTCACCCTCCTGAAGACAATACAAAAGAATATAAGCAAATTGGAATTGGAATTGGAATTGAATTTTAGATTTTACTTCAAGAGTTTATTGAATTTCTAATATATATTGAATACAATCAAAAAATACCATGAAATTACAAATTGTATTCCATATATTCAACAGTTTCGCACGATAACGATCCAGTAACTCATGCATACTTTTACGCCCGGGTTTACCTACTCTTTCACCACGTGAAGAGTTCAAAGTTTTATCAATACTAGTAGCGGAAGATGAAGCGGAACATGGAAACTTCTTATGCTTCTTGTATTTTCGTTTCGTAGATCTTACTGCCACATCTTCACCACCTGAAACTAATTTTTCATTCAAATCCACATTCTGCTTCTCTGATATCGAGTCTTCAGTTTTCATTGATGAATTCCCTTCGGAAGAAACTGCCAAATTATTTTCAGTTTTAATAGCATTATTTGCAATTGCGGCCGCATTTGTTTTCCGGTTTTCCAGTCTCTGAAACTAATTGGTTGGAATACTCTCAAAGATTTTTAAAAAATCAAAATGTGATAAAGTTAAGCAAAAAAAGCAAATTAATAAAAAAAATTAACCTGCAAAATACGAGCTTTCGTAGTTGCAATTTTTGTTAATCGAACCGCAGCTTCATATATGTTCGACTTTTCGATATTGTAACTACGAGCATTGTCGAAGATAAGGTAAATATCACTCATCAAGGCTTTCAATGATGCATATTCACCTCTTTTCAGTTTCTTATTAATCAAAAATAAAGACATAGGGTTTTTGACTTCTGTATAATAATCTGGATAATAACTGAAAAACCTTATTACACTCATTATATATAACTTATCATTTTTATCAAAATCTTAATCAGCTTCATCCAAAAAAACGAATAAAAATTATAAAAATCAACTCAACCTTTTGTTAGGCAATTCCGTAAAGTAATCAGATAAATAACTATCAGGATCATTAGGATTTGGTTCATTTCTAACTGTCCAATACATAACCCATTTTGGATCATCATTATGTTCCGTATCTTCATCCTCTTCAGAATCTTCCGAATAATATTCACAAATCATATTCGAAGCACTTTGAGATAAAAGTTCATCAATTACGCTCTTATTTTTATTTATCCTAAAGCAATGAATTCTCTGAAGTAATGAAAATTATTATTATGAATTATTAAAATTGGAATATGTAGGAAGATTTTAAAACATTCAAAAGTTGTCGGAAAAATTTTTTTTGTAAACCTAAACCTTTTCAGTGAAAGATGTTTGGCGACTTCATTTCGCGAATCCGCTCTAATTTTATTGAAATGTCGCAATAATATACTTGCATCCTGTAAAATAAGTTAAGTAAAAGAAGTTTAATAATTTTCTGATCAATAATCCAATGAAATAATAAAATTAAACCGATTAAAGGCTAATTTTTTATCTAAATAGACATAAATAATTCACCTTATGTATGATTGACCCAGGTTCATTAAAAAGTTTTGCATTTTTGCACATAAGTCGAAAATCATTATCAAAACTATCCCAGTTACAATAATCACCATTCCTTATTTTTTCACAAATTATTTTCAGATCGATTGGATTTTTTATCCTCTCATAGTAAGTTGGAAATTCCTGCAAAAATTACATTGAAAAGAAGATAATTAAAAAAATTTTTTTCATTACAAAAAAAATAGAACGAACTGAGGAATTAATATCAATTCATTATGGCTTTTATTGAAAAAATTATTTTTTATTATTTTACTATTTTACCAAATAAACCTATTTTCATGGCTTTGAAAGTGCCAGAAACATTCAATCATAAAAGAAAATTTAGGCTTAAAGTATAAAAGGGGTTGACAAATTCTAAACCGCTAATGGCAAGTAGTTCCAGTTTTAGTAACTGTTCCAGTTATCGGATAACAACAAATCATCACCAAAAATCCTCAATTTTTAAGTGTTTGAATGATTCTTAAAAATAATTACCCAACTATCCAATTATTCAATGCAACAGATCAAAAGTAGTTATAATAAGAAAAATAAATCTTAAAGAAGCCTTAAATGAAAAACGATAACCTCACGAGGTGAAAGCACACGAAAAGGAGGACTTAGCAAGCGTCCAGTTTCATCAGTCAGATCAAGAACTGTGACAATAATATCTTCCAATAAAGTATTATCAATTCTATCACCACCGGATGATATATTGTTCCTCATAATACCACAATTATTACTGAAAAATTTAAAAAAATAAATTCACTATGATCTCTTCATTTTAAAGAATGAATATAGCGCATTCCATAAAAATGTTTATCTCTTAGTGAGAAAACTTACTGGAGATTTTCACTAGAAGTGGATGGACTGCTAGTTTTATGGGATGTATTTTCATAATATCTCTGAATATAATCGTCATAAATGAGTGATAATTCACAAGCATCGCTGAATTCTTGACTTCCTTCCTAAAAAATTCAAAAAACAATGCAGAAAATTTTCTTAATAAACAGAAAAAAATTCTTTTTAAAATAATGTACTTTAAAATATTTCTTGCTATTAGCAATAAGCAATTCTATATCGGAGCGAAGTTCATCTAAACTGCCATATTCTTCAGTTTTAATTTTTTGCTGAATGCGAGTTAAATCAATTGGTCGAGAAATCACTTTAAAATATTCCGGATCAGTTCTACAAAACAAAAAATATGGAAAATTATTATTTATTAATTATTAAATTATTATTAAAATTTGAAAATTATTAAAATTATTAATTATTAAAATTATTAATTATTAAGTCATTAAAAATAATCTTTAGGGTATAAAATGGTTTTGAAATTTAACCAAATAATTACCAATCCTAAGCAATCAAAAAAAAAAGGACGCACATTTTGACAGACAATAAACTAAAATTACAATTTAAAAAAAAAAGAAAACATCGTAAACGATAAAAAAATTTAAAAACCATGTAAACTATGTTAACAAAATAAAATTACAATTAATTTTACGGCAGAAGAGAAGAATTAAATTGTAATACAGAAAAATATAGATGTGCAGCCGTAAGTGAAAATGTGAAAAAAGGACTTATGATACTCATAAATTACCTGCGTGATGGAGCTCGAATAAAACTTTCACATAGAAAACGATTATCACTTGTTTTATAATTTCGCAAATACTCGATTATTTCTGCACATTGCCGCAACTAAATAAAAAAAGTAAAAACATGGTTAACATGGTTTTTTGTAAAGAAAAAACTGGCAATAAGTAATAATAAAGATTATATTAATTATGAAAATGATAACGCAAATAACAACAATGTTATCAGTAATAATGATAATTATAGAGTTAATATTAACAATTTTATTAATAATAATAAAATAGTAAGAACAATAATAGTAATAATAATATTTAATATTTTTTTCCAAGAATTTTTCCCATTTCTGGTTATGCTCATTGGTTTGAACTAGATACTGTCAGAGAGTCATACGAAAATATACAGATCAGTAACTCGAATATTTGAAAGACAAATTTACATTTTACTACCATCAGCCGCGATATGTGATAAGAATCACTAGTTGACTACCAATTAAATTTGATCTATCACCTAATTTTTTTTTAAAAAACAACAACACCAAGTTATTCTAATATTAATAATAAAAATAATAGAAATATTAATGATAATAATGATATTAGTGATAATACATAAGAAAAGAATTATGGAAGTAGGGAAGCAGGATTCGCCCTAATCAAGTTGGATTCAGACTGTGCGGTTGTGCTGACCAAATATTCAGGTTAAAAAGGTTTTGAAACATTGCATGAGATATTTGCAACCCAATGTCACGTGTTTCATCGACTTTGTGATCTTTGATTCATTTGATAGGTTCTTTAGAGATTCTTTAGAGATAGGTTCTTGTGATGGCGACGGTGTTCCAGAGAAGATCATTCGACTCATAAAGGCATTATAAGAGTACGTCTGCGCAAATATGTGTATATGGGGAACTGACAGACTCCACTCCTTCGAAATAAAAACAGGTGTCCGACAAGGTTCTGTCCTTTCCCCTAAAATATTCAATTATGCGATAGACTGGATAATGGACATAGCCTGTCGGCACTAAAGTGTGTCAATCCAGAGCATCGTCACAGATCTTGAATACACTGATTATGTAGTCCTTTTTGCTGGCAGTTATGACGAAAGGCAAATAATGTTAAACAACGTGTAAGCAACTGCAGCAAGAATCGGACTTAGAATCAGTGTAAATAAAATGAAAGCCTTTTCGTCATATGTACAAGAAGCTGAAAAAATTCCTCTTTTTATAAATATTGCCGGTTGAGGAAGTACCCGGTTTTAAATTCCTTGGGTCCACTCTAAATACCAAATGGCCAGGCAAAAGACGATATTATAGCCCGGATCATGGCAGTTAGAAATGTATTCTTCCGGTTGACGAAATCTTTATGAAGCTGTCGTAAAATCACCATAAAAATGAAAGTCTGAATCTATATAACGGTGATTCGTTCGATCTTGCTACATGGCTCTGAGATATGGCCAATGAGAGTGGAGCGTATTAAGAAGTCATCTGCCTTTGACCACTCTTGTCTAAGGTTCATATTACGGATACGTCGAGCGGATAAAATATCGCATAGTCGCATCCACCTTCGTTCAAACATCATTTAGAAAGAATAAATAAATAAGCATAAATATTATCATAGAACACCGGTTAAGGCACGCTCTCCGTCGTTCACCACAAGGGTTGTCGCATATTTCGTTACTTGCTAAACCATGTGATGGATAACGTCGAAAGCGAGGTGGGACCTGGACCGATACGGTCAGGAAAGATTTTGAACGTATAGGTGGACCAGCAATATATGGACTTAGACGATGGAAAAAGGAAATGCCGACGATGGCATCAGACCGCGCCGCTGCAGCCAGCCTAACCAGTAATGGTGAGAGCTTTTAGAAGAAGAAGAATGATGATAAATAATAATAACAATAAGCTAACTAACATGATCCAATTCTTGATCTCTCAGGCAATACGAACGCTTCTTCTTGTTGGGTTGCAGCATTTGTTGCTTTTCCAATTCGGCATGGCGTTTTCTTGTTGTGCTCATCTGGAATGAATACCACAGAACATCTAAAGAACCACACAAACTGACGCATTTTGGCACCACTCGGATTTTCAACAACATTCCCTTTCTAGCAATCCCAAGGAATTGAACCTCTCAGCTCAACAGCCATATCGAAGCACCCAAAGGACCAACGTACGGACATTTTGCGAAATCTTCGACTCAAAATTAGTTTTTCTAATTAAAATGCGGAGTAGAATTTCGATATTTTTCGCTTTTTTCCCGCCTAAATTCTTCTTACAAAAATCCGAAACGACTTTAAATAGAAAAATAATAATTTACTATTATCTCTATCAAATTTTTGAACATTTTAAGTTGCAAAATAACTTTTAACAAAGAATTTTCAATTATTAAATAATAATTATTATTATTTTCATAAACATATTTCTACAACTGCGTTAATCTAAACGAACTGAATAAATTCAAATTTAGTCCGATTCTTCGAAATAGAATTCGCAAAACGATGCCAAACAATTAAAATTAATTGATAAAGCAGAGGTCAAGCAGAGGTCAAATGGAGTCATTCATTTACTATAAAATAATAAAGGAATATTCTTTAAAAAGCAATTAAATAATGTTGAAATGCGCAGAAAATAAAGATTTGAAATATTGCGAAAAACCGCTAAAAGATGTAAAACTTAATTAAAGTACCAAAAAAAGAATAAAATTAAAACAAAAATTTGTGATTTGTGGAACTAAAAGCGAAGCAAAAACAAAGACAATACAGCACATCGACTAGAGAAAACCATAAAGACAACTGGAAAGCGAGAGAAGAGAAAGGTGAGAGAAATCTGAGGGTTCACTGGATCGATAAGTGCGAGAAAAGTTAAACGCTGCAGCACTTCGAGCCGGAATCGCCGAACGTTTTGCGTACTTTGTAAAATTTCAGAAAGTAGAAATTTTATAAAATATTTATTAAAGGCAATTATTTAACAACGATTATCTCACTAATTTTAATAAATTTATTTAAAATATCAGAAAAAAAAGAGTATTTCGATTGTCGAATAAACATATTACTGCATTTTTCAAGGTGACGAACTTTCTCGTTGGAATTTTTCGAAAATAATAACACAATGTTGGAGAAGTAGAGAAAGTTATGTGTGGCCGAATAGTACCAATCCATTTGGCTTTTTCTCTAAATCTTTATGAGTGTAGAAATTTGAAAAAAGCGCGGCCCATGGCGGGCGTACCGATTGGTTTCGCAGGGTTAATCCCAAATATCGAAATGCAGAGTTCCAAATCTGTCAGAGAGGGTCGAAGCTGGACTGTCGGGTTGGTACCAAACTGTGACGAGCATGGGATCACGGTATTTTGTAAACGAGGATGATCGCAATAATATATCCATAAACGATCAGTTGAAGCTTTAAATGTTAGATTAAACTCGCTAAAATTGAAAAGAATTGAGGAAAACGGATTTTCTATGACTCATTAATTTGGACTGCAATGGATAAATCGGTGTGGTCCTGGGCTTGTGGCCAGGACGGATGAACCGAAAGCTTATTCTACGAATTCCTTACTCGCATCTTCGATGACTGCTGTTCACCTATGTCTTGGATTTTGGATAGCAAAATTTTATTATTTTTAAAATTTTTCAATATTTAAATTGATTTCGATTGATTTGAATTGTTTTCGGTTTTGTTGAAAATTCCAAATTCCAAAATTATCAGTTTAGTGATTACTGCATGCTTATCAAATGAATCCTTCGTAGTTTACTGTAATGAGCGGAAGCCTATATTTTTGTTTTTCTTCTGACAGCTCGCACCATTACTGCTTGAATTGGCTGCGATGGTTGCAAATGTTTTTTTAAAGAATTTTCATCATTGCTGGTTAAACTCGCTCCACTGGCTTGCCGCATTGGGCAATATGCCAGGGAGTCTCTTTGGCGATAGAAATACAGGTGAGTCGCCAGCATCACCAGGGTTTTTGTACAGGTTTACTCCTGCGGGAAATTTTTTGATTTCCCACAGGGTTATATATATTATATTATCACAGATATTGTGAAACCTAGCAAGGCCGACGATTTTGCTGCATTTATCACTGTGTTCGCCTCTTTCTATTGGATTTTTCCGATTTATATTATTTCTAAAGCTGCTTAGTGGAGTTTGGTTAAATTCCACATTAGCGCATAAAGAACCCTCGAAGATTGATTCAAAAGTTGTATGAACTGTTTAAAAAGTGAATCACTGCTTCATTATCAGTTATCAGTTAGAATCGACGGGAGAAAAATTTCATTTTTTTAGGGTTTGAATTTTTATTTAACATATTTTATTTTTATTTAACATATAAACGTATTGTATTTTTTATTATTTTATTTTCATCGAATTTTTGGGTTTAATTTTCGTATTTTTTATTTTTTTTTAAATTGTTTTTTTGTTTTGTTATTTTTAAAATTAAATTCGATATTTTCATAAATTTAATAATTTATGTGAAAAAATATTTTCAAAAGTTCTTCGATTCCAAGAATAAATTTTCGCGTAAAAACTTCAGCTTTCCTATCGCTTAAGTGCGAAATAATTTAAGATGTAAAAAAATTTGGCTAAACGTTTTATATGAATAATATCGTTACGAGGAAATGTAACAAATATTTGTTCCTTGGCTTTCCAAAACAAGGAACCCCCAAAATGACCTTCGGTAACCTCGCCAGACGCGTCCGAAAGGAGTCCAACTCCTGTCGATTACTTGGAATGCAACCACGCTGACCATTACACCGTGAACGCTCTGGAAAGATAGAGATGAATCAGAATATAGGTTGATGGGATGGATGATTCTGTATTGGAATTTGTTTCATATTGACAATTCCAGTTCCAATTCCATCATTCTTTTGCAGCTTTTGGTTGAATTAATTTGTCTGTGCCGCTGTGAATTTTTTACGATCTGATCCATTCTCCATTATGTTGATAGCAGTTTTTGAAGCAGTCTTCAATAATGCGCATGGTGGTGGGTGGCAAACATGGGTATTTGGGACAATTGAACAACGGTTTTATTCTGATTATCAAGTATTTTAAAAGACTACTTGGAGGAGGTGAGAAAAAGAAAAAAATATGCATGGCACATACTATCAAGGAGTTCCGGTACCACAAGTCGAAATTTCGCTTGCAGCACTGCAGCTTTTAATGCGTAAGGAAGGGATAGGATGGAATATGGCAGAGTGCGATAATTTTCTTAGACCATATGGAATCAATATGGTCTAAGAAAATTTACTACCCCAAAGGTTACCTTTTACTATCCTTAGGTTTTTACAAAAGAATAGTTCCTTGCCTGAAGAGGTTTGAAGGAGATTTACAATAGGTTCCACTAAACCTGCTAAGGGCTTACGTGGTTGAGGACTTATAACGTGGCGTCTTACATGGTTGAAGCAGTAAGCTATAATATTTTAACCATTTAAACTTTATGTTTATGGATTTTCTTGTAAAATTTCTTTTTACCCTATTTTCCTAAATTTCCCTAGACCATTAAAGTTTCATTAAGTTCTCTTATAATCTTTCAACTCTCTCGATAAATTTCATCCATTTATAATTGACTCTATTAAAATTTTGTAATTTTATCGGGAAGGGAACAAGTTAACCATGAAGTTTCATGGAACGGCTGAATGTGGAAACTGGAGAAGGGTTGAAATTAAAATATTTGGTAGCGAAGTTTTGAAAAGTTATTAAAACTTGCGCAAAGGGATATTAGAAGGTTTCAACATGTTTGATACATTTCGGGTATTCAGGTTATCAAGTCTTGGTATATTTTTGATCATATTTCCTTAAATTTTTCTTCTTTGAATTTTTTAAATTCTCCCTTAAACTCCCGTTTCCCGTTGGTGTTGCTGTGGTAGAGAAGATTTTTAGAGGAGCTTTAAGCATAAAAGAAGCTGGTAGCATTGAGTACAGCCTGATCTGAAGACGTTAAAACGGCAGAAAGAGGCCTAAGGACCTATCAATAAAACTGTAAGATAGCAATAAGCATAACAAAATCGTTAACTGGGAATATCGAAGGAATAAGCTGAGTTGCTGAAGTAGAGCTAAAGGGCTTTGGAAGCTGCCAGAGCTATACATCAGAGTTAAAAGAATGTTATAAACAAACAGTGGCTTTTGATGAAATAGCAAAGGATATTTGAAGACATTTTTCCCATCCATACATAGGTCGGGCCTTTTTGCCCTAATTCCGGCTTTTTGCTACAGGTCGTGTCTTTTCATTAATTATGAGTAGATGAGTCGACAACATTTAGTATAACAATTACGAATTATACAATCAAGGAATGAAGAAATGACCTCAGTGGAAATAATTTTTAAAAAAAGAAACTTAATTGAATTAGAATGCAGAATTCATTGAGTGTGCCAAATGATGGGAGGACCGAGAAAGGTATTTATTTTGGTGCGTGAATGAAATGAAATATTTGAACCAAATGGTCTATGAAATTTGATTAAGCTTAGCTTGGGTTCAGCTTAGGCTCAGGATCTCGCTGTTCACGATTCTAAAAGTGTAATTTCCAGTTTCTCTTTAATGTAGTATACTTACCACTTAGAGGCGAGCATAGTTGAGCGATTGTTGCTCGTATAATCGTCTCGAGCGCCAAGACATCCCTTATTCTGCCCTCAAGTGACTTCCTGGCAAAAATTTCTTATTATTAACATATTAACACTGCCGGAGTGAGAAATGGTGGATATCAACCTATTTGTTTCCTTTATGTTCTTAATCTGTCAGCGTATCCACACGTGTTGGCTTTTGGTATTTTTAAGATCAGAAGCATACGAAATAACCACGGGAATGGACGATATGCTTCATATAAATCCTCAGATAATGACCAAGTTAACGAAAATCTTGTTTAACTGATATAAGCGTATTAAAGTGATACGAATCTAAAGTGAATTCCAGAAAAAGAATTCTATGCTCATTTCTTAACAAAACGGCTGCGTTCGAGGGGAATCGAACCCCTGTCGATTGCTTGGAAGGCAACCATGCTGACCATTACACCACGAACGCCCTGTGGGTACATCTCCGTTTAAAACAATTTTCAAAAATCTTTTAAATTTATTTGAGCGATGTAGGAATTTTTTCGAGTTTTTTTTGAATAAGAATTTGACTAGAAAATACCTTTATTAATTTATTGCTTATTATTTGTTAATTTAAACACTTTAAATAAATTGAGCTTATAGGGATAGGGTGGCATAGTGGGTTGTGGCTCAATTGGGAGCTCCGATGCTGAGGTTCGATTCCCCGGAGTGTACAAAAATCCGAGTAAAGCTGGCGACTCATCTGTATTTCTATCGTCAAGGAACTGCCCAATACGACAAGCCAGTGGAGCGAGTAAAACTAATAATAGTGAGGACTCTTAAAAAAAAAAAAATGAGCTTATTGGTCAGTTACTCAATAGGTCCTCTCTTATAATAGTGCTTACCATGCCACTCAAGCTTTCTTTTCTCCAATTCCTCGTTCCTGCTGTCCATCAGTACTTAGGATGGGTTTCAGTCTAATTTTTGAGCTTTCCTCTTTTCCTTCCTAAAAATTCTCGCATCCGACAAACTTTTATTTCTCTTCGATCGTATCCAGCCAATGGCCCACCTATGTGGAGCACCTTTTAAATGCCAGCAGCAATATAACCAAGTGCTTTAAGTTATCACTGGAAGCATCATCACGGCACGGCGAAAGTACGTTTATCACTAAAAAATGCCACTTTTTAAGGAAAAATGTCTCTACAAGAAGCGAATCAAACTAGGAATTTTACTAGCTAATTACTTACTCATTTACTTATTTATATCCATATATTCAATGTTTTATTTCTATCTAATCAGCAAAAACGGTCAGAAATTTCTCGTGATTGTTCGTGATATTAATAAAAGATTATTTTCCAAATTATGATTTTGCTAAGAACGAGCCTTCCAGCGAGCTCTTATAGTATAGCTCTTATAATCATTCGTCGATTACAGATTTTCCTAATTTTAGAAGAATGAAAATAAGAAAAAAGAAGGAAAATGGAACGCTGAGAGAACCTGAAGTACACTGGCGAGGATTTATCTTTTACGCCTTTTTTTTCTAAGAGCTGTTACCATTTCTGTTCATGCTCACTCTGCTTGACCACATAACTACAAGTGGGTTGCCAGCATCTATCGGATTTTTGAGAGGCAGATTTTCCCTCATTAGGAGAGCTTCAGTTTGTTTGCTTCAGAGAGAGTTTCACTTCTTATATATTTGCGTTTGTTGATGCTTTAAGGAATAAATTAAAATTCAAAAGCATAAAAAAAACTGGAAAATTAGAAGATAATTTAAAAATTCTATTCAAAAATATTTTAAAATTTTATTTGTTCATCAAACTGGCAAAAATTGAAACAGTGATGATTTGATGAAATGCATGTGGCTCATGTTCATCCATTACAAATTAAAGCCACAAAAAAAGGCCTTTTAAGGCCCTAAACGCCTGAATTTACTTCTTTATAGATATGGCGACCGGTTGATTTCAAATGTGAATGAATGGAATCTATTTATTTTTTTAAATTCTCACGAGCAAATTTCGTCGAGTGATATCAATGGTCGTGTTTAATTCGATGACCATATTCATAAATTACTTTTGGTTATTCACTCGGTCCCATTGAGATGCAACGGACGAAATGGTTGCTACTTCGTATTTGCTATATAAATTCAAAATGATAAAGGAAACTCAAAAAAGGTAAACTCTTTCAATTCTCCTCATATATGGACATTCATATTAAATTCTGTGCAGTTTTTATCTCTTTATCGTTCTCGAAAGGTTCTTTGTTTTTCGTATTTTTCTCAGCGTAGAATTAAAATTTCTTCAACGATATCCAAAATCCGTCAGTTTCAGTAAATCCATCGATATTATGTTACATGTGTGATACGTTTGAAGCAAACTGTAAAGGTTCGATATGTGTTGGTAATAGCTGTATTAAACGAACTGCTTATATTGACGGTTAAATCGATATTATGATTTAAATTTCAGGGAAATTTTTTACTATTTTCAAGTTTGCATATATTAAAACTTATTAGTTATGGGCAAGGAAAATTTCCAGGTTCCGTAAGAATACAGAAAGCATGCCAGATACGTGGCGTTTCTCATACTGAGTACTGTGAAAATGTTTTATGGAAGAAATATTACGGTCACGAATGTATCTGTACGACTGATTACTGCAATCATGGTAATTTTCTATTTTCATCCTTCTTGTTGGCATTGTTAAATATACTGATACTGTTGTGAACATATTTTATTAAATATTTAAAATTGTTTAACTGATAAAGCATAACAATAAAAATAACAAAATGTTATAATATTAAGAAACATTGTAATATTTTAAGTGATCCTAATTTTTAATTCAGAACTCATTTTTTCTACTTTCTATCTCTTAGATTTTTTTGCACTCTTTACTAAGGTGAGAATTTCGAATTAAAACCAATTTTATTTCATACAGTTAATTGGTGGCCAGCCAAACTAGAAACATTAATTAATGAAATATTAATATTAAAAAAACTAGAACAAGAGAATTTTTTAAGGCATAATATTTATTTTAAATCAACTTTGCATATTCTTTCCCAATTTATAAAGCGATGACCATTATTTACATCGTTCACGATGACCATTATTTATACCATTCATAGGCAAATCCTCTTTAAAATTTTCTAAATCATTTTCTAAATGGTCCTTTTCATTCATTGAAAATGGAAGAGGTGTTATTGATACGTCTCCGAAAATTTCATTATCATTATCCGAATAATAATTTTTGTATGATCTCGACATTGTAAACAAAATTTCTAAAGCACCTTGAAGCTGAAAAATTAAATATTTGAAAATATTTGAAATATTATTTAAAACCTTTCTTAAATACGAAGTCCAAAGAAAATTATTATTCTTTCAGTGAGTCAAATTTTTCAAATAAATTAACCTGAAGAAGATTCTTTTGTACAATGTGCTCCCTATTTACAGCCTCAGTTAGTTTCTGGAACAATTTCAAAGTTTGATGGTCAAGTACTTTATCGCCATAAACGTCTACAAATAATTCTTTTAAAATATCCTTTCAAAATTTTTGCATTTTAGATTTAAAAAAATAAAAGATTTCCGAGAAAAGAACCAAATAAGGTCTCTGCAACGACTGATAACATTGGGAAATAATTCGGCAAGAAAAGATTGCGAAGAAGAAACATAGTGATAGGGCGAATTGTATCGTACTTACGACCTGCTAAGGCGACCGCTAATGCACGACGTTTATGAATCTGTAAATTCATGTAAATTAAATGCAAACCTTTAAAAAGCTAAATCAGACACGAAATGAAAAGAAGAAAAAAAATGAACTTCCGTGAAAGTAGCAACAATAAGATCAGGTTTTGCGGAAACATAATATTTCCCTTTAAATAATACATCAATTGCCTTCCAGTGGCAATACTGCCGAAGTAGATGATCAATTCTTCCGATTCGATTCTGAAAAAAACAAAAAATAGATCAAGACGACAAAAGTTTATAGCGCAGTAATTCGTTTTAAACCATACTTTATCAACTGCTGGTGCAGTTATTTCAATAGTCTTTCTGCTACCACCTCGCTCCTGCGCGCGTGGCTTTGGTGCAGCCACTCTTATTCTGCAATTAATGAAATTTTTTTCATTAAAAAAAAAATTTTTTTGAGTAAAAAAGATGTTAAATAAAGCATATAAAGAAAAGATACTTTCTACGATATTCAAGTCCAGCATTTTGAATTTTTGCCTCGCTTAGTGAAATTTCCATAGGAGTAGACGGTTCTCTACGAAATATACTTAGCAAATTACCCATGCCAATGGCCATATACATATCATTTTTTGAAATAGCCAAAGTAAGGATCTATAAAAAAGCGAAATTGCAGGATAAAATTAAAAGATTTTAAGAGGATTTTTAGTATAAAATTTAAACTTTAAATTTAATTTAAGAAAATTTGGGCTTAATAGAAAATTTTAATGAAGCAATGAGAAATTTCAGAATCATAATTCATCAATGAAAAGGAAAAAAGCAATAAAAATTGAAGCAGAGAAAAAATAATTATTTTCATACACTGAATAAGAAAATAAAACTTACTGCTGCTGGCATAGTTAATGAATATAACAATTTATAATCACCAGTGTTAAGAGAAAATATATTGATTCGCTTATCGAGACCAGCAGAAAGTAAACGAGTTCCATTCGAAGCCAGGCATAACGATGTTACCTGTCGATGCATGCAATATTATCTTTATCTTTACATCATTTTAAAGCCCAAGTTTAGCTGCACTGTGATAAAACGAGATTGTTTAGAAAGCCAAATAAGGATTTATGATTAAATTATATAAATCAAGCTAACCGACTATCACTACAATTCATTATTCAAAATGCAAAAATTATTAATAGTTTCATAGTGCAATTAATATTAATTTATCAGTAAAATCCAACCGTTTTATGATGATTGCACATGACGTGAGAGAGACGTCCTCCGCGAGCAATATTCCATATTTTAATCAAATGGTCTCCAGCAGTGATGAGAAAAGTATCACCGGGAAGAAAAAGAACTTGTTCAATAGGTGAACCATGATTAATCTTCAATAGTTCTTGCTTTTCTTCATTTCTTGCGTCCCAAATCTTTGCCGAATGATCGTAAGAGCCTCAAAATATATTTAATAAAACATTTTAAAAGATCGTAAAAGTGAATAAATGAACAATTCATGAATAACTGAACGAGTCACAAATGTTTACCACTGGCAAATAAGTTCTCATTGATAGCAGATGCATCACCACATCTCATATGGTCATTATGTGCATTTTCAAAAACGATGCACGGATCTCCTTTCGTCTCTGTAATATCAAATACGCAAATTTTATGATCGTCACCCATTGTTATTAGTCTTTTTCCAGATGCGGAAAACAAAACCTAAAAGTGACATAAAAATTATATTTCTGCAATTAAACAAAATAAGAAAAATAATAAAAATGATCAAAATTTCCATAAAATATTCGTAAATTGCTTATAAAAATTACGAACAGTATGGACGGCAGAAGAATGAGCAGGATAATTTCGTAAAGGAGCTTTTGACCCAGTCGCACTCGATCCGTAATTTTTTACATCAAAAATTTTTACTTTACCTTCTTCACCACCGATAGCTAAATTCATAGAAATTGTATTTTGCTGAATCAAAAACGTAGAAAACGAAAATAAACGTTTATTTAATCATAAAATTACCAATAAGTCTTCCATCATTTCGAAAACGAGCACCGTACACAGATTGTTTAGAACGACTATATGAGGTTATCAATTCCGAAGTACATGGATCATATAGTGACAACTATAATTTGCAAAAATAATTTAAATAAATTAAAAACAAAATTATAAATAAGAAATTCAATGGTCAGATTCGAAAATTACTTTAACCGATGATGTAACTGCTACCAGACCTGAGTCTTTCGACGGTGGAAAACTCGTACTGGTAATATTTCCCGGTTCTTGAAAAATTGCCAACTGCTGAAATGAAATTAATCTAAATTTAATTTAAAAAAGCACCACTTTCATGGATGAGTCGATCTAATAAAATCATCTTAGCCATCAATATTTCCGAACAGATTCCTCCTCGACATTGACCTCTCAACTTTTTCTTCCTGAAGTTTTCAAATACCTTCATTCGACGCCAGTATAAAACATCCCTCGTAATCTTTTCAACTTTTTCACTCCGCAAGCTCGGAGTCGGTTTAAAAGATTCAGCCATATCTAAAAACGATAAATAAAGACCATTCTAATTTCCATTCTCATTAGAAAATTTTCTAAAAAATCATTAAAGTGCTAACCGAAAGAAACAATAGGCCTAAAGAAATTATGAAGAGGTTATCGTGAAATAATGTTCAAAGCACTCGATAAAAAGTTTTGAGAATAAGCAAAAGATTTCATTATTTATTTAAATACATTCAAAATAACCAAATGCTGAATGAAAAACATCCACAATATCAACAATCGCAGAAGAAATAACAAGAAATCATATTTTTTATAATTTCTTCAGTATATATTCATACAATAAATTCGGAAGTTCTAACGAGAAATTTTAATCTTGGAAATTACATCGATATATTCAACTGAAAAAAGACATTTATGCTAAGCCTAAAAGTGATAACGCTTTTTGCTCTTTATCCTCGATTTTCCTTCTTTTTCTAGATCGAACATCACCATCGTTCTTCTTGGATTTCATCGGACTAGTTCCAATAGTCTTAAAACAAATGATTAAAGAATTTCATTCCAATTTATTCCATTATAAAAAAAATTAGCTTCATTTACAAATTAAATCCTGAAAATTAACATCATTTTTATACACAACATTCTGAATGTACAAAATAATAAATTAAAATTAAGTTAAATTAAATTAATACAATTAAAATTAATTGTTAACAAAAATTAATTGCTAAAAAAATACTTTCTATATTCAAATAGATACACAAATAAATAATACTTCTAACGAATCTGACGAAGCAGCAATCTCATTCCAAGAAGCATCAAATTTTTTTGGTTTATCTGGATCTGGCAGCCAAGAGATATCAGGCTCACTCAATTCACTTTCAGCCAAATCCGGAGTTTTATCATTACATTTATCTTTTAGCCTCCTCAATTTTTCCTTCCTTTTCTTTTCCTGAAAAACAATCGAATAATTAATCAATCAATTTAAAAAAAAAGCGGTCATAATTCATTCAGCGAAAAATTATTAAAAGTGAAAAAAGTGTAAGTATTTGTAATTTAAATAATAACGCCGTTCAAGAAGATTAAAGATTAAGATTAAGGGAAAATTTCTATGCACACAATAAATGCTAATAACTCCAAGGCTCCGCTGTAATCCTTTAGTCAATTTAAATTCCTTTTTGCCGTTTTAACTCCATAGTCTCCATAGTTTATAGCATTTGTTTATCATTAAGAGATTATTTTAAAACAGACAGTTTCACCAGTCTTTGGTACAGAACTTTTTTACCAGTTTATATTAGGTTAGTAAAGCAGAATAAGAAAATAGAAATAAACTTATTTTAATTGAAAAATAAAATAGAAATTCCGTTTTGTAACCTTTCGCGACTGCTTTTTCTTTTCTTTGTAAATTAATTTGTCTTCGCTATCGATTTTGGACATTTCCCGACGTATTTCATCAATATCAAGGAATCCAGTATTTACATTTGATGACTCCTTCGATGGTTCCTAAAAATGTCAAAGCAATAAGGTTTATCCAACAAAGGACTTTTAAACAAATTTCTAACTTAAAATACCAACAATTATTTCATTTTCATCATCCAAGAATACTTTCTTCCTGCTTAGCTGAATTCCTCTTTTTTGCAATTTCTTCGCAACAGCAACTTTCGTTAAAGGTTTTTTTGATCTTTTCGAATCGGACAGACATAATGGAACTTCTGTGACCTATTAATTTAAGACAATGAAACAACAGTGGACCTTTTACTATCTTGATACGGGTTTTTATGAATGAAAACAAATATGTTGAAAAATACCTCATCAATTTCCTTTTCATCCAAAACTTGGAAAATATCAGTCCTAATTATTTTTAACAAGTCATCGGATTTATCTTGCTGCTCTAGAACATTCATTTTAGTGAACTCTTTCTGTTCCATCTTTGCAGTACAATTAATTGTACTAGTGTTAAGTTGTTCATCCATTTTTTCTTTCTTTACATCGCCCAAATTAACACAGGACTCTGCATGCTGAGAAAACAGATAATATATTTTACTACAAGAAACTGAGAGAACAGTATAATTTGCTATATCAATAAAAACTGAAACGGGCTAACATCTTCTTTATTTATTTTTGCAGAGCTCGTTAACATTCCCAATGATTCTTGTGCAGTTTTTTTCTTTTTCCCTAAATGTGTGTCATTCGTAATGCCCTTTTGTATCCGACTTTGTTTAGCCAGGAATCTGACGCGTGGAACGATCACCAATCCATACGAACTATAAAATAAGAACTTAAAATTTTCCAAAATGCAAATATACAACAGAAATCACGTGCAGACAAAAAAAATATTTAAAAAATAATATACTTAGCGAGGGCTTCGTAATTGATCGTTCTAACATCGAAAACATCTTTATTTTGCATCAAAAATATTGATCTTAAATATGCAACGAAACTCTGAAATGATTAATGAAAATTTACTACCTGTAACTTTACTGTTCTTCCTTAAATTCCCAAAAATAGCGATTAAAATTGAAAATGGTAAAATCCAATTAATTAAAGAATTAAAACAGTATTTTAAAAATATAAAAGTAAAAACCAAGAAAATAATGAAAAGAATGCAAAATTTGTTCAAATCAGCCAAATTTAACCAACCCTTTGTGCATATTCTTTTAAATTCGGAAATTGAGCAATAGTAGAACGTAGTTTCCTATTTATGTCATAAATATATTTTTCATCAACACTGAAAAGAAAAATAATATATAATAATACATTCAATGTATAAAGAAATTAAACAGTGGAATAGCTGAAAATAGAAATACAACCAATAGCCATTTTTTATTTAAAATTTAAAATTTAAAATGTGGAATTTTAAATGAATTTTGAAAAAATAAACTGCAGAAACATGAACTAAAATTAAAATTAAAAAATAAACAGAATATAAACCTGATTTTGTTAACTGGAATATTTTTTTCTGAAAGTAAACGAAACATTGCAGCTTCCTGCGATGAAGTTAGGGCCAAAAAGGCTTCCCCTTTAGAATCCATACGAGCCGTTCTCCCGACCCTATGAATTTATATTTAAAAATAAAACAAGAAAATAACCGATAATAAAAGAAAAGTAAAAAGGAGATTTAGAACATTCAGCTATTTTTTATCTAGTGAATAGTATGAATAATCAAATAGAAAATTTATCGATAAATTGTTTCAGAAAATTATAAAATTAGTTAATATGTAATCAAATTAATAAGATATCAACCTATGAATATAATCATCTACGGTCGCCGGACAATCTAACTGGAATACCATGTCGATTCGTGAGAAATCAAGCCCACGACTTGCAACATCAGTTGCAATCAACGCTGCAGTTGATTTATGGTCAAATCTATTGAAAACTTCTAAGCGTTTTGTTTGGTTCATCGTTCCCCATAAACCCATAAGTGATAAGCCTGGTCGCAAGTGGCAAAATATTTCAGTTAGAAACCGAGCCTAGATGAAATAAGAATTTACGACAATTTTCTAAAATTAATTAAGAAATTTTAATCTTTGAAGGAGATAATTACTTGACACATCAAAAATTTTCATCAAAAAACTAAAATAATAATTACCTGTTTACAACACGAAACAAAAATCAACGATTTCTTCTTGCGATGATTTACTAGAAAAGACCAAAGTATGTTGATTTTTTCCTCATCTTCGCAAATGAAATAACTCTGAAAAAACAAGCACTGCATGAAGATAGAGAAATATAAAACAATTAAGTAAATTACCTGAATCAATTTTTCAGGAGTGGCTTGAGTAGCCTTTTCATGCACAGAAATATAAATAGGATCGCGTAGGGCCAGTCGTGTTAAATCAGCGACCTTTTTTGTCTGAGTAGCCGAAAAAAGTAGTGTTTGGCGATCTTTAGGAAGATTTTCAAGGATAGCATTCATCTAAAAAAATTTTAATGAGGAAATTATGACACTTTTGATACTAATAAATAGGAATTGAGAAAAATATGTATGTAGATTCTATTCCTATTTCCACTATCGTTTACAAATTTTCTGATCAAATTCAGTACCTGAGATTGAAATCCGAGGTCAAGGATACGATCAGCTTCATCAATTATCAACATCTGTAGATTATCGCAACAGAATGAATCATTTTCATCCATATGTTGCAATAAACGACCCGGTGTACATACCAAAATATTAACGCTACCTAATCTTTTCTTTTCAAATTCTACATCTGTACCTGAAAATAACAATTCTTAAGCAAAAATTTATATTAGATGAGCTTTAGTAACTTTGAAACAAAAAATAGAAATTAAATGATTTTACCTAGCATTAAACAAAGAAAATTTCATTATTTGTTAAATTTTATTTTATAATGACCTCCAATTAATAATCCAGCTGATAACTGATGATGAGCACCAACTTTATTTAAAATATGAAATATCTGAAAGGCCAATTCTCGTGTCGGAACGATAATTAATGCACCAAGACCATCCACACTTCTTGACCATGACTTTCTCCATAGGCATTCCAACATCTTAACAAATTTTTCCGTTTATTTCTTTTCTTTTTTATAAACAGGAATTTAGAAAAATATTAGAATATTAAAACTTTTACTTTGAAATTTAATAATTCGAAAATAATTGAGAAATTTGAAAATGAAAACGAACAGGAATTAAAATTGCCAAAGTTTTCCCACTTCCAGTCTTCGCAGCTCCAATAATATCAAATCCAGTTAAAGAATATTGAAGTGAATCGCGCTGAATTTCCGTTGGCTTATAAAAATTGTTCTCATGCAGACCTTTAAGAGTTTGACTCGAAAGGGGAATCTGATCGAATTTTAGCAGTTCCGATGAATCTTGCTGAAAAACACCTGGGAATATGCTTATTTATTTGATTTTATTTGATTTGATTTGATTGATAGGGTCATTAATATTTTCTGAAAAAAAACATAAGATATATATAAAATTCGGAAAATCTGCAAAAATAAAACTTCACGTTTTTACGAATTCATAAACTTTACATTTCAACATATCTGATTTACTTCTACGACACTTTTGTTAAAATGAAAGCAGATTTCTACCTTAGCAAACTCCTCGTACATCGCCACCGTCGACCGAATTATTTGCTGTTCATTTGGCTTCGATTTTTCGAATCGAGTTTTTCGCATTGCTTTTGATTTTTGTGAATCTTTCAAAGACTCCAACCGTTTCAAAAACAGCCTAAGTATATTTTAAAAAAAGTGAATATTAAAAGAAACCCATTACCTTTACGATTTCTCGCCAACATAATGTAACTCGAGTTGTGACCACTTTATTCTCTCAGGTTCAGCATTTTTTAACACCTTTGCTTTCTTCATTTTCTAACACGTGTCATTTGAAGCACTGTTGGGTCCACTCACTGATAAAAAAATCAAGACAAAATTCACTCAAGGTATAGAGAGGCACATGTCGTTTCGCATTAGCTGTCCAATTTATCACATATTCATATTTACCGATGAATTTATACGAATTTACATTAAAATACGTGAGCTTCAGCTGAAACACACACGACTGAACTCGCTACTCTTACTTTATAAATAATTTTAAAAAATAAATGGCAATCGAAAAAACAAATTAGAATTGATGGACAGAATGAAGCAAAATGTTTACTTCTACTCAAAGAATCCATAATCAATAATTATAACAAAGTGTCGCATATTATTGGACAATATTCATACTCATGAATATATTGTTTATACATGTTAACTGAACGAAGACTATAATTACTTACCAGTCACGAAAGCTAATAAATCAAAATTAAAAAGAAAACCGAAAAAGAAAAATTGGTAAGATCTAAGCAGTTTTCAAACGCTCAGAATCGTATAAAATATTTTTACAAACTATAAAGCATTTGAAGGAGAAGCATAGTTTGCGTGTGCTGGGTGCGACGATGTATCTACTTCATCGGGAAATTTATAAGGTTTATTTGGATCCCACACAAAAGATTTCTTAAATGCTTCCTTTTCTTTTTCGTTATTAATATGTTCACGTAAAAGTTCAGTTTCCATCCACTGTCGCTCTTTCCATTCTTTCCAGTTTTCTGTCTCCAATTCTTCTATATTTTCTTTTTTATCACCAATTTCACTACTTGTTGCAATCCCTTCTTTCTTCGTATCAATAATCGCTTGTTTGAGTTTGGAAAATGGACTTTCAATTTCAACCTTATCAAATGAGAAATGAGGAAGCCTCTGCACTTCATCCGCACTTTCAAAATGAAACTTTTTTGCTAAACGATTCAGTTCATCATTTAACGATTTTTGCACCTAAAAATTATGATTAATTACAAGAATTCCTGAAAATATGATTGCAAAAAGGTTTTGGTTTTTCTTCAACCAATGCCTGATGGAAAAATTATGAAGATTTGAAAATTAAAAAATAAAAACTTTAGAACGGACTATAATCATGCATGTATTTACCATTTCAAGTCATTTCCTGTAACAATCAACATATAACAATTACAGTGAATAACATACATATTCTGCTGATGAGATCTTCATAAAATTTCAAGCTTTCGAAAAATTCAACGTGATAAATTCAACGCTGCATGATAAATATCAACTGCTAATGCTATGAAATCTTACTGAAATCAAAAATGGAGGGAAATTCATAATCTTATTTTATTTGCACTAATCTCAAGCTGACATTTAGCATGTTCTTTAATTACCAGTTATGATTCTGTCACCGAAAAGAGATTACAGATATCCTCACATCGCGTTATTATTTACATTAAAAAGGTAAGTGGAGTGCTCACTATTATTGATGACCGCAACATTTTTTGTCAGGCAGTCACTTGGCTAGATGGGCCCAGCACCATAGATTTTTTAAAACCAAGTTTCTCTTGACAATACAGTGAATCCTTTCCTTTCAATAATCGACCAACTATTCAGTGCACTACTCCCTACTATTCTTATGCGCCCACTATTTGCAAAATGAACTCGTAGGTTTCATTTAGATAATTCAGCGAATTAAGACAATCAATATAACACTTTTTAGTCAAAGAGGAATACAACAGAAGGGATTAAGAATCTCTCAAATCACCGTCATCACCGAACCATTCGGAGATCATTAAAATCACTTGCAGTGGTGATAAATCAATAAAAATATTTTTAACGTCAAATTATCTTTTGCAAAATGAGAAAAATGAAAAAATGCAACCTGCGGAGTGCAATCAACAAGTTCATCGCGTGCGGTCGCTTGCTTTGCGATATATTCCCGAATTTTACGGACGAATAAACCTTGTACAAGTGTATCGTTCTTTGAAACTGCTGCCGGTTTACAAAATGTTCTTTTCATTAAATGAATACGAAACATATTTAGCGAAATATTCTTAAAAATAAGTTACCTAATCGAAATAAATATTTTAGCAAAAAACAAAAATGGCCGATGGGAAAACTGAGAAATATCCGAAAATAAATTTAGAAAATAAATTTTTAAAACCGCAATTATAAAAATAAGCAATAATTATTTACTGACCTTTATGAAAATTCAAGGTCAAAATCAACTTATTTATTTCACACGTAAGCATAATTTTATTATCAAAGATTTCATCTTTTATTTTTCCTTTTAAACTTATGTAATTGACTTTTTATGAACAAATTTTTGGTGATAGAATAAGGTATCCACGAAGAAATTTGTAGGTTTTTGCGCTGCTAAAGAACTTATAAACAAGTTAAAATGATCTCTATTTGTTTATAATAATTCCCTAAATGTTAACGTCTGAACTGGCATGAAAGTGAAAACGGTTCATTAAAAATTTTAGGTTAAATTTAAATCCAACAAGGACTAACGGGCTAAAATTACTAAAGCCTATTTGCAGAACTAAATTAAGGACTGATGAATTCTTTATTCGTAATATTAATTACTGGAAAAAATTACTGAGCGATATAGCTTGTGCGTCATCTTTAGCTATTTTTAAAAAAAGATTAGATAATATCATTTATGATATTGTTTCAAAAGTTCACATCATACAGGAAATGTGAAGTCTCGATTTTTACCATCCGATTATAGTTATTTCGAATTGTACTTGAATTGTACTTATTATTGTATATTATATATTATATATATTATATTCTATATTATTCTGTAATTTCCTCTTTATTTCTCTTGAATTGTTAATTATATTTTATTATTATTTTTTGGTTTTGTCATTAATTCTCATTATTTTAACTGTTGTTATTAATACAAGCACATGGCGTTTGCGCCATGCTTGGCTGGTTTTCAATAAATAAAAAACTATTTCCCATCCTGCTCACTTAGTGTCTTAACCATAAAGTTAGCATCTCCAAAAATTATTTACTCCGGCAAACCTCGGATCCTGCTTTTCTTCCTTTACATCCTTCCAAATCTGGCAGTTCAATATGAAAAAGTAAAGCTAAAAAAATCATGGATTATCACTGTATTAACAGAAAATTTTTAAAATCTCGAATTTCTTCAAATTATTTTGCTACTTATTCGTCTGATTTTTCGAATTATTTAATTTTTTTAAAATTGCTTCTTGTTTGACTTCTACTTTTATCGACTTCCACTCCATATCTTATTCAATTTCTTTACAATCCTGTTATACTTCACCAAAATCCCCTAAAGCTTGTTCTATCCATTCTATCCTATTAAGTATCCTTAAAAAGCTTTGCACGCCCTTAAAGTTCTCTCCCAACTATAAAATTATAAAATTATTTGCCTACGCTATCTCTTAATTGCTATAAATATCCTTACGTCGGTTGATTTTTTCCCAATTTTATTTTATAAATTATAAATATGGATATTAAATTAAATTAAATTAAAAAAGCAAATTTAAAAAGAATCTAACCAAAGTTTATTCAGAAAATATATATTCATATCAACATATTCATATTTTCGCTAACGAATATTTTAGCACCAAAAAAAAGCAAAATTGGTTGATGAAACATAAAATTGCAATAATTGCAATAAAATAAAATCGAAATACGATTAGCCTTTTTTAAATTTTTAAAAAATTATACTATGAGTTTAAATTTTTACAAAATTTTACAAGATATTCAATGTTTAATTTTTAATATAAATTTTCAATATTCCATTTTAGCAAATATTATTAGTAAATTTTAATAAATATTATTTATTTATTTTATAAACATTTATATATTTATATTTATATAAATATATTCATTTTATAAATAAATTTATATTTTTAAATTTGTGCAGAAAAAATTTAATTGTATGCAACTAATAAAAAATGAAATATTGAAAAAATATTAAATTAATAGCAAATTCAACTATATTTTTAACGAAAAAATTTTATTTTCTAATTTAATTTTCTAATATTTCAACATTTTATATTATTTATAAAATAATTTTAGTATTTATAATTTATAATATATAACACATTTGCAGTTTAACACAACATTTACAGTATAAAACACAGACAAATAAAGTACACCAATTATGCCCCGTAATCCTGAAAAATTAAAACTGAAGCAAAGTTACCAGGAAGAATTATTTCAGAGCGGAAGCCATGGATAGCAATCATGAAATCGTTGTAAGACCGGTTTTAATTTAAATATGTTTAATCTAGAACTAGGTAGACCCTCGGAAAAACAAACTCCTTGATGGTTCCTAAAAAAATTTTACAAATCAGAAAATTAATGCTTGAGGTATGAGACTAGTCCGGGCTGGGCATCTATTCGGGAGTAATCCGGGAGAAACAGTCAAGTATTACATGTCATCCTCCCACACAACCTCAATTCCCTTAAAACCCATGAGTATTCCTTAAAACCTCGCCTCGGCATACTGCCTTAATTTCGGTCTGCCAACTTGAAGCTCTTTGATATTCCCAAATGTTCTATGGAAAGTCTTATGCCAAATATCCCCTTAAAATTGCTGAAAGCTCATTATTCTCGCTTAAATTCATCAATTACATCATTTCGAAGTTCATTCTACTGCTTTAAGTTGCAGTCCTTCACCCCCATCTTGTCTCCCTAAAGTCTTCTGCTTGGAACCTCATTTTCTCACATCTTCTTTTAACCATGTAGTATTTACAAATTTTGAAATTTTGAAAAAGGTCGCACCACGATGACTTGGGAAAGAAGTAGGGTTTCTCAATGTGATGTCAAGGGAATGTAACAAAATTTTGAAGAAATATCAAAAGGTATGCCAAAGCTCCGTGTTGGCTCGGCGTTGATGGTGTCGTCGTCCAATGCTCTGC